TGTTATGATAATTTACTGCCTCTGCAGAGTAATCTCGGTCTTGACTCTGAGTATTAATGTACGTACTTAGGTCTACGGCGCACATGCCGGAGAAAGCCCGGCTCTGAGGGCCATGACGATCCGATCTGCGAGCCGTCCGTCATGATATTCGGAATTTCCGGTCCATGTCCCGTCTCCAGTCTTCTTCATTCTCTTTTCTTTTCTTCCTTCTGTCTGAATTTTGACCAATCGTCATTGATTGATCTGACAGCATTATCTTAATAGCCTCAAACCACCAATCCTGGTTGCTGTGATTGTCTCACCAAGCCGCCATGATCATGATCGTCGCTCTCGGTGACAGATTCCGGGCGTGAGAGGCTCAAGGTTTCAGAATCCGAAGCCTCGACACCAACCATGGTCCCGAACTCAAATGGGAGATGGAAACTCAGAAACAGACCAGAAGAAAACTAGTAGAACGGCAAACGATCTGCCCAATCTGGATAAAGGACCGCTGCAACCAGCATCCATTGGTGCGGTTAAGTCCACCAGATCCAGTTTTCCCGAACATATACCGAAATTTTCTAAGGACAGAGTTGATGCACAATTGCACGCTTTTGCACCTCCAAAAAGAAACCATATATTCAACCGAGGTCTGTTGATTTCGGCTTGATTATTATGGACATTCCATTATTATTGTCCGAATAAACCAGTTGCAAATTCTAAGCTTAAAGAGCGACATATTTCGCCAAGGATTATCTAAACACAACGTCTCGATGCGAATATATTTACAATCAACACCTACTTACGGAGTAGATCATGGACTGACTCCATTTGACTACTGCATCTGCCGCGCATATACTCCTGGTTAGCGGGAGCTGGTCTTCTCCATCTAGACTAGCAATTAATCTTAAAGGAGAATCACCTTGTCAATCTATACTCCTAGATTGTGCCTTAATAAGAAGACGAAATAACACCATCGATTCGGAAGAATCACAGCAAGCCTCTTTCTGCTTCTTCTCCGAAGGGATCGACTAGCGCGCCAACGGGTCTGAGACAAGAAGTTTAACCATCTTTAGGCCAAGGCAATATTAACAGAACTGGCTAACAGGCAATAACAAGAGGCATTGTGCACCCGTCGCTACGAATACCAGAGGTATTGGAATACTGTCCGCATTCCGATCCTCGGCCGTAGGAATTTCAGCAGTATCAAAGTAGGCAAATCGCATATGCAGCCATGAAATCTTCTTATCCAATACATACCTCGACACAAATTGCGCAATCAATCTTTAATAAATAATTAATCTATACCTCTAAGGTCAAGACACTTAGCCACCTGTTCAGTTCCTATAGATAGAGACACTATCCCTATTCCCTAGAGCAATCTAAATTTAAAAAGTTAAACCTTTGCCGAGAATGAGTCTAGTACTGTCCAGGCTTAATGTCAATATCGACTGGAACTAGATCATCAACTAACCAAGCGAGGTTACAGGTGTTGTTATTATTCTTTTTGCCTCGCACTTTGCAGCAACCTCGAACCAGGCATAGTAATTCACCGAAGCGAAGCATCTTCCGCTGCCGCTGCGGATCTATTGCGGATATTCAAGGAAGGTAAATAGTCTGAGCCTCGGATGCAGAATAATAACATTGTCTGTTGGGTAACGTACAAGGGCAGATCTGATTACCTAGGTAGATGAACCCTTACACGTGTGCTCGAGTCATGTCTGACTTGATTTAGAGAATTATAGCCCACAACGAACGAATACTACGGTATAAACTGATACTACGACCTTGATTGTTAATATCTACTACCTTATGGATCAGTGACCACTGACTCTCCACCCCTGGTAAGACTGTGTGAGAGTAGACGATTCTGAGGATCCTAGTACGTAGTAGCTGCTGCCAACATCCGCAGTAAATATCGATGCGCATGCACCATGTCTGATCCTCGGCTCCGTTACCCCCACTAACACCTAGCAGTTACTAGGGTCTAGGGACCGCCAGTACTCCTGAGTCCTGACAACCCATATGATCAAGGATCTTGGAGCTGTGCTCAGTGCTTTGCATATTGGCTAGGTTTGCTAGACAGCAATCTAGGGGATTGACTACCGCTGTTGCCGTCCAGGGTCCCGCATGCCTCCATTCCCGACACGGAAACTTCACCTTTTCTCAATTCGAATCCGATTCCTGCTGATCAGCCACTTACAGTTTGCACCGTAACATCGCTGAGTGATCTTTCATGATCGCAGAACCGTTGCCGACATCCCGACGGCCGATGGAGTCTCCCGTCCTTTGGCGCCACGCTGATGCACAGGTCTGCTGGTGATCGTACGGTAGCGTCGGTTCGAACCATGCAGGTTCCGAAGCCTCGCAAATTGCAACACTCATGCAATGGCACTTATGTCGTGACAGTAGATGTTATGCTACTAGTACTTCGTAGGAGCGATGATGTTGGTCCGCTCCTAATCCAAAGTATTTGTCAAAGCTTGATTCGAGCATCGGTTCTCCGTCCTCACGTCCGCCACTGTCTAGTCCTCATCCCTGCAAGCAAACGGACTTTTTCTCTCTCTCTGAGAGCATGTGAAGATGGCGACTGGACCTGGTCCTAACAATGTATGAAGCAAGTATAACCATGGATAATCAAGTTTCACTTGAAGTACAAACTATGAACTTCCTTCGAGCTAGGGCCTCGGAGTCGTCTCTAGCAACCAAATGAACGGCATCTCATTCATCTAGATCAGACCGACACTGAGACCTGATCGACAGACAGACCGAACCGAGCTTGACCAGAGCTGATCAGTGACCACTGACGGACAGTACCGTCAGGCGTCAGGCGTTAGCTACACCGCGGGAATATTCAAGTGCCTCACTGTCTATCATAGTATCATCTAATATGCCGTAGTTTCAGACAAGTATCTAACCGAAGAGAGAGGACAGACTTGCTGATCTTGCTCTCACCAAATCTGGATCGGCCCCAGAGTTCGAGTTAATCCACGTATAAACTTACTCAGTCATAGCCAGTCTGAAACGGGTCCAGCTTGGCATCCAATGATCCAAAGCTCTTCTAGCTAATCGTTTGTGGCCACTACTAGGTAAGGTAGCCGTCTATCTAGCCTAGCACCCAGCAGCCACTTAAACGTCTTGCCTCCACAAGCGACTACGTACCGTAATTGTCGTCATTGTCTCACAGCCAAATGCTCTCCCCCAGTCCCATGGATATCCGGCCTGCAACAACTCAACAACGACAGCTTCTCGATGTAACCATGAAAGATAGCATCCAGCCGGTAATATGCGATTCTCTGAGAGAGCAATTTACCCGGAGCCAGCGACAGTCGACAAGGATCCAGCACGGCTACAGACTACAGCAGACTAGATATATGCTAGTTAGTTACTCCGTAGTCCGTACATACCAGCCCATCAACCAGATCCATTTGTGGCCAACTGCCCGGTGAGGCAAACCAAATAGGATCCATGCGCATTGCATACGTCCGCAGCACTGGCACCGTCTAGTGTCTTAGGTTGCTAAGCAGCCATCCTCTAGTCTTCGGGCCCTCGTATCAACTACCTCAGCAAAGACGCATTGTGCCCTGAGGCGCAGTTACTGTCAGTGTCAATGTCAATGTCAGCCCAAAAACACGGACACACAAGCCGAACAAGCTGAGCTGACCACGGCACGCACCACAACCTCCAAATCTCAGCTCATCGGCAAGTAAGCCCGTAAGGGAAGGGAAGCAAGCCAAGGCTGAATCTGAATGTGAGGCACCGCAATCCCCAACCGTCGATCCGAGACCTATCTACCCAAGGGCTCTGACCCTGACTCTGTGAGTCTGGGCTCTATCTACCTTAGGTACTAAGCGTGATCGTGCAGGCCAAAAACAAACAAGAAGTAAATTAAATAATCATCGGTACTTTTCCGTCCCTGCACGAGCCAGAACAAAGCTCCAACGGCTACGCAGTCCCGAAGCAAACCGTCCAGACTCTGCCATGCCCTGGACTTTTGTTAGTTGTTACAATCGAACACAGACAGCCGCCAAGGGGCCACGATCCGAATCCGAATCCTCCTGTTAGCTCAGTCCAACTGGAGAGCCAGTCAGAGCTCGGCATATATATTAACCTGTTAGTTATCCCAGACAACATCCTAGACAAACCTGACAAGCACGAAAAATGGAAAATTTCGAATTAGGGAAAGGGGGGGCACAGATCAGCGGTTGTACATTATGTATCCTGAGGGTGGGTACATAAATGCATGTAAGTATTTTTTTTCTCCTGTGGTTATGAAGAATATACATGAGACTAGGTACGGAGAATGCCCGGATGATGGATGGGGATGTCGCATGCGCAGATGCTAGCAAGCAAGCATAGCTGCCAGAGCCTGCGCCAGAGCCAGGGTCATCGGTGTAGATGCTTGTGATTGTGGGACCATATATAGATTCCTCGAACCGAAGCAACGTTGTTAATATGTTAGTCCTAAGAGAGGTAAATTATCGGGAACCATCGGCCGACTAAAATAACCGAGCGTCTGAACGACCCGTCAGGGCTGTCAGCACCCTGTTTAGCTCGCTGGATTACATGAATATGTCGCATCCATGGCTTTCGTCGTTGGGTTGCATATGTCAGTTATATTAAAGCCCAGGCGACCTCCCATGCAACTCAACTCGTATGACGAAACACTCTAGAGCAGAGTCTAAAGTTTGTGTGTTTCTGTTCGCCGGTCTGCGGTATACCCTTGTACCCTTTCAGTATATGTTGCGAATCGACAGCTACTTTTTTGAGACTTATTTGAAGGGAATATGGACCGGGATTGAGACGAGTAGATTGCTTTGGATAAATACGGTGGCAGAAGCTTGGTTTACTTACTCCTGACTTCGGTATCCTCTTCTCTGGATACAGTGTTTCAGGTGCCTGTCTTTGTTCGATTATCCAAGCTCTTGTCAGAGCTTTGAACTTTTATACGCAGATTGAAAAAGAGAGCTCATGTTACAATGATACCAGGAGTTACTCATACTCAATCATATTAACATAATGGGTATTGCAAAAGCATAGATTCATTTGCGATGGCTACCTTTTTAACCGTAGTAAAAAACAAACTCGTGTCAGACCCTAATCATCCCAGACCAAATTTACTCCTCGCGGAGGGTGTTCATGAACTCCTGGGCGGGACGAGCAGGCTTTTCCTCGGACTCAACAGGCTTCTGGCCCAGCTTCTCCTTGGAGAAAGCAGCGGCATAAGGGTTGAGGCGGAGCATGACCTGCTTGTTGCGCAGAGGGTTCTTCTTCTGCACAACGGTACGCTTGGTGCGAGCCTCGCCCTTGGGAGCGCGCAGCACGGACTGAATTTCAGAGGAGTTGATCAGGCGGGCCAGATCGGCGTTGGCAACGAGGTTCTGGGGCAGGACGTAGTCCTTCTTGAGAGCAGCGGGGGTGGTGGTGCTGCCGTAGACCTGGTCAAGGGCCTCGAAGGCGGCGGAGGTCCAGACAATGAAGCGACCGAGGTGGCCACCGGGGGCGAGCTGGAGGAGGTTCAGGGAGAAGACGGAAGAGGTCTCAACACCGGGGATGTTGCGGAAAGCACGGACAAGCTCCTTGCCGTCAACCTCGGGGTTGTAGACGACGAGGGGACCACGGCGCTGACGGAAGCGGCGGTTCCTCAGCTTACCCTTACCGGCGCGCATCTTCTTGGACTTTTGGACCTTGACGAGTTCGGCGCCGGCACCGACAGCCTTGAGCAGGGCAATGGCGGCCTTGGTCTTGGCGATGGCGGCGTTCTCGAAGGTCTTGGACTCAACGACCAGAGGAACCTCAGGAACGTTGGCAATGCGGTGACCGCGAGCGAACAGGAGAGAAGGAACGGAAGAAGCAGCAAGGGCGGAAGCGGTAGCGAAGCGCCTGTGAAATTCACGTTAGCCTTTCATCAATCCCATCCATCTCATTCGAGCGTCTCTTCTCCGACCGCTCGATTCGTAGAGAAGGGTTGCATACTTCTGTCCCAGGTTGACCTTCTGATGCCACTTTCTCCAGACCTTGGTGGGAGCGAACATACGACCGGAACGGCACTGGTTACCGAACGCAGCCTGACCAGCACGGTGAGTACCACCACCAGAGACACGAGGGATACGAGCGACGGCACGACCTGCACTCAGAATAAGTATTCTGTAAAAACCTCCCTCTCAATCGCTCCCAATCGAGCAAATTCAACATACCGGTACCCCAGGACTCAGCGGAAGTCTGTTCACCAGCCTTCTCGCTCACGGCATAAGGCTGTCTCTTGTTCTTCGCCATACCGGTGTGAACCTGCCTACAATCACAAAGTCAGCCAATAATTTTCTCTCCATTCCCCTTCCTCGCGCCTTTCTTCTCTCCCCCTGGAATTTCTGGATTGCGGTAGGCATACTGGACGATATCAGGACGGATGGGCGCAGTGAAGACAGCAGGCAAGGGCAGAGTAGCCCCGCTGGGCTTGCCATCAGCCGTGGCGATAGTGACGGTAGGGCGGGACGCCATTGTTGTCGACGGTGAGCTGGTCGTTGTCGTCGTTTTCGGAGTTGAAGATCGAGTCTCGAGCTCACGATGTGCTGAGGGAAATTTTCGCTTAGCCCGCGCTCCCGCCAGTGGTGGGTGCGAGAAACCCTAAACCCTTCCTTGCCGTTTTTGGTTGGCTCGCTGCCGAGCGCCAAGACATCCAACATCCAGCTGTAATCTGTACTCTGTACGATTTGAACAACCTCAAAACTCATTCATTACAGGACTTGTCCTTTCAGTCTCGAATAACAATGATAATTTGATTTGATAATGAATCGGCAGATATCATATCTGAATTGCGAGTTTCTGTATTCTAACCTGCTGAACACGACTTGCGATCTACGAGGCGACACTTTGCCAAGACAGCAGCAATTTATTGACCGACAGGACTTTTGCTTGCTATGATCATGGCACTATCCATAACAATACAGGGACTAGTTACGAATTACTTTAAGATTGCAGTTTTAAAAATGGCGTCAATTGCTCATTTCTATTCAAGTATCGCTAGCAGACTCCCGCCTAATAAGCCACATTTAACGCCAGGAAATGTTCTTCATTGCTTAGGATGGTACAGGAGCCAGGATAGGCAAAGGATGAGATTGACAAAAGGGGTCCATTGCAAACTACACTTGCGAACGGAAACGAAAGTAGAGAAATTGTTTTGTTGCGTCACAACTTCTTTTCTGCTGAGCCAACGTATCTGATGTTTCCATACTGAGAGTAGACGATTGCTTGTCGCCCGAACCAGCGGAACGCAAACACTCTCTTCCCATGAACGTTGAGCTTAAGCGTGGCGGTGACCACCGTGAGCGCGCTTCCTGTGGCGCATGGCGTTGATCATGCGAGGCTTCACAGCTGTGGCCGAAATGGCGAAATTCGCGTTCTGGCCGACGGTGCACTGAGTACCAGCCGCCATCTGCTGGGCCACAGTCCATTGACCGTTGGCGCAGCGCTGGAAGGAAGAGCCATTGATGCAGTTCCAGAGACCCTCGGTGCTGCAAGAGCCAGTCAAAGCTCCAGAGCTCGAGGAAGAGGAACCGGACTCGGAGCCACTACCGGAAGACGAAGACGAGGGTGCTGCCGACGTCGTAGGCTTCGCAGGGACGACAGTAGCCGAAGTAGGAGCGAAGACACCGGGAGCGCCTTCAGACTCGGCAGGCTCGCTGCTGCTGGGTTCAGGCTCAGCGGTGGGAGTAGCACCGACAGTTGCGCCGACGCTGACGCTGACGCCGGCACCGGTACCAGCAGGAGTGGAAGAGGAGCTTGAAGTGGTGGAGGGAGAGCCAGAGCCGGCGCCGACAGTCCACGCGGGAGTACCAGAGCACGCATCTTGACCAGCGGGCTGGAGGTTGCTCGGGTTTCCATCGTACTCGACAACATCACCAGGGTTGGGGAAGCGAATGTCAACGCCCTCTTTGGTGGTGCAACCATTGATGTTGGCGACGAACATGGCGGGGAAGTTGGCGGAGCGCTTCTCAACCTCGACCTTCTCGGCGACAGGGGCCGCATCACGCTTGCTGGAGCCGCCCGTGACCGTGATGGGAGCACAGTTCATGTACATCTCACGGTTACCGATGCGGTTGAACCAGGTCCAGGCCAGAGTATATTTGCCGGGCTCAATGCCAGCAGGGATAGTGTAGTTGAATTCATACGGATCCGCGACGTCAGCACCGCCCGACATATTGCCGTCCACGTTGGCGGGACATCCACCTTCAATAGACTTGATAACCATCCACTTGGAGTCCTTGGAAGGCTTGAGGTCGGTGGTCAAACTGACCTGGCAAGAACCACCGCCGTGCGTGGCGCTGCCGGTGAAGGTCAAAGGCATAACCTCACCGATCTGAGCGATGGTCTCCTGCGAAGGAGGCACGAAGGCGTTGTCCCGGAGCTTGCAGGGGAAGTCACTTCCGTCAGCAGCGAGAGGGGAATTGTTGAGGCTCGAGTCGCTGTAGGGAGTGGGTTGCCTCATCTTCATGTGAGCTTCGACTGCAGAGGCGCCCAGCATGGCAACAGCCACGAGACCAGACTTGGAGAACATCATTTTGACAAGGGAGTGTCGTTTGTCGGACTTTCAGAATGACTGTTTGACAGCTGAAATGAAGGAGGGGCTGCAAGGCTTTCTGATCGTACCAGACGATTCAGAAATTGTAGAGAGAAAAGTGGAAGCTTTCTAGGGATAGAAGTTAGCCAACGAGGAAATCTCGCAAGAATGTTGAGCAATTTAAAAGTCCTCAACAGCAACACCTCGCCATTGGTAAGACAGTGACAGTAGTCCTCTGGCCCGCCTCTATTCATCTCCTCCACAGAAGACCAACAATAGAGACCGGTCACAAGGACATTGTAAGAGACAAGAGAAGACATTGAATAGGAGTGCAAGTAAATAGAACAATACCTTTTGTAGCGATCTCAGAAGAATCAGCGGGACCGTTCAGATGTCTCAGAAAGAAAAGCTTTGTGTTGTTGTCTGACACTTGTGTTTCTCTGCTTGCAGGGAAAGGAATGTAGGGGTCTGCCACAGGCAAAACACCAGAGTATCAAAAAGGAATGAAGAAAAGAAAGACAGGAACTGGCCTGCAAAAGACTGTCGAACAGTTGTAAGTCTGAAAAAACCGAAGCGCTCAGCGTTATGAGAAGGAAAGAATGCGAAGAGAGATCATTTCAGGATTATATAGAAGGCATTCACCTCACTACCGTAGTGGGGTTAGACATCAGCTGCCAGTAAATCGATGCGATGAGCCGCAGTTCCACTTGGTCGATTTCATTTTTTCTACGAATCTCCATCTCTGCAGGGTTCTCGAATAACTCAGGTCCAACAATAATCCAGCATGGTCGAAAGGCATTACCAAGTAGCCCCAGGCGTGCTACTCCATACTGCCGTACAGGAAGAACATCTGGATCCTCAATGGATGCAACAGGGAGAACCTGAAACATCTAACAACACGAAACTCCACTCGCACATTTTGTTCTGCTGATCTGTAGAAAACTCAGGTACGCAGCGGTAGCATACGCCACCGGATTGGAATTCTCAGCCGGTCCACTCTGCGAGAGACGCGCGCTGAATCGACCTGAGTGGCTGCTCAGGTTTGCCAGGGGAGAATGTGCATTGACGCATTGTAGCGAGTCAGCGATCAGCATGCCGAGGGCGCTGAGATACCGCCGGTGCTTTTGGACATGGATGTCGCACCATTACCCAAGTGCAGGGTACCCGACCTTAGCTGGAGGTGCACATTGGCTGGGGACGTTTGGCTGGTGGGCGCTTTGCGAGGACAGCGATGGCAAAGAGCGGATCACCGGCCAATCAGATCGAGGGTTGGATATGTCTTTGCCTATTCTTGATGATCCTCCGTGAATTATAGTTCATTTTTAGTCAGTGGGACAATGTCGAGACAATTATATTATTAAATAAATTATTCTTTATGGTGAGGTAGTATTTGTTACTGATACTTATTCAGAGAGAAATATGTCAAGGGTTAATGGCATTGAAGCCAATCTCATTTGACCAGCATATTGTGGATAGGTCGAGTGAATCAATATCTGTTCATTTGACAGGATACACTTGGCAATCAGGACTCCAAACCTACGTGAATCTGCAATTCTGCCTAGTGCCAAAGAAACTATGATTGATGACTCGAAATCAGGCAGTTACATACCCCTCTAATGACCATGCTACAAAGCCGCGGTGAACGGCCCCATTTAACCCCAGGTAGTTTATACATCTAGCTCTCTACAAGATGTCTCACTTTTCTCGGACCACGGGATAGAGTAGCATCTGAAAGCCATCAGATACCCAGATAGAGTACCAACGTTGCATAGAATTCAATTGCTCAAAAGATTGATCGACATATCGTGTTCCTCGACGTAGGCTGTTCGGTGCTCTCAATGGTGCAGCTTAGCACCTTCTGACGTGGACTCGACTTTCCAATGTTAATTACAGCACCATGGCCTGCAAGTTGATGTCAATGGTCAAAAGTTTGGATTTGCCAGCAGCATCATGAGCACTATCTAGATAGGTCGACACATATTAGTATGTATCTAGTAATTGCAGGTCCAGCCTCCTCCTCCTCCTCCCAGCCATGGATCAATTCTCCGCATCCGACCCATGAAGCGAGATTATCTGGAACCAACGGACGGGAGTTTCAAGTGATCATAGATCCAGAAGCATGTGATCTCAAGGGCAAATTAATACCAAGAAAACACATCTCGCTTGAAATTAGGCCGTGACCAAGCGAAAGCGATGTTTCAAGGAGTCAGGTTGCCCCTATTGGAGACTCAAATTCACGACCGATGAGCTTGTGGAGTCTTGGCAAGTAACCTCATGTTTCAGATAGATGTTTCCAATTACCGTGTGGTTCCTTCCCGCCGCTTGTTGCCGATGACTCGGTAGTTGTTTCCTCGCTAAGGAGGCTCATGATTCACTGTGCTCAAAATGATGCCTGGTAAACCGAAGGCAACTGATACAGTAGTGGGTGGCTATCTACCCATTTAGCGAGATGATCCATTGACTGATCAAGTCAGATGATCGAGTCTCGATGCGATTAGAATATCTAAAGCAGGAATGAGTGTCGCTGCGCTGTCAAAGCTACGGTGAGAAATTTTGATAAGATACGTTTAGTTGCAATGATTGCATCTGCACAATCAGGCTGCAGAGTGCCTTGTGCGACCAGCGGATGTATCATTTGCATCGCGTCGGGTAGGCAGGTACCACATGGCCATTGCAGCCCATTTACCTGTCAGGCACCGAGTCGTATTGTACTATCGTGGCCACTTCCATTTATTAGAATCCAGCTGCCAAAATAAACGTGGTACTTCCCACTCGTAGGTTCATTCAGCTAGAAGTGGACGCACTACTTGGGATTAATCTCTTCGCCTTTCATGTGATGTGGAGTTATGAGCTCCCAGATGTCACCTCAGGCCATGAGCCCGGCAGGCACCAGTACAACATCGAATAGTACTGATTTGGCTGGCAAGGTCAAGATCAGACTGGTCGCTAAGCCGTCCCTAGCGTGTTCGTCTGTTTCAGCAGCTCGGTCGAGGCGAGAACTCAATTGATGCATGGTCAAGTGGTCCCATAATCGAACGTTATGCACCGTCCGTATCAAAGTCTTCAATTTTCCTGGCGGAAGTGAGCCAAGCTCCCAGACTCGTCTAGATCGTCAAGGTTCTGTTTTGATGATTATTTCGTCCGACGTTGCTGTGGATCAGCTCGGCCGTCTCGTTGATGGTTCGACTGTTCATCAAACTGTTGCATTCAGTCTTTACGTCATGAACTGCTGGAGCTCTCGTGGACCATGCACTGTTCTTTGAAAGAGCCGATTCCCCTGGGACGCTCGTCAGGAGCAGCCGTAACTCCAAAGACAACGATAGCTGAATGCCGTGGCAGCAAATCCGCCAAATGAGCCATGTCCCTGCGCAGAGGAAGAGCAATCATTTCTTCCCTTTCTTTCGAGCCTTTTCAGCCCCTGTAGACTCCTTGACGAACCCACCCTTGATCAACGCATCCCGACCGACGGCGTTGATGATTCGAAACCGGTCCGGCCCAAGGAGAATCCCACCGTACCATCGGGATACGACGACAATCACATCCCACACATCCATCAACTGCATGAGGTGGAGCAATCGCCCACCAGCAGCCGTCTCCCCGTCATCATCGCAGTCCTGCACAATCATCTCTGCGGACTCGCCCTTCCCATTGGCCGGTTTCTGCTGTCTAATACGCCAAGCGCTGATATTGTGCGTCGCAGCAGCAACCTTCTTATCCATTGCCAGAAGATGGTCCAGATACCCCTGAGCCTGCTCCAAACTGGTAACATGCGCGGCCCGTCCCACAAACACTGACTTCTTCTCCATCACCACATCCGACAGCACCCAGTCGGGGGGACTGTCCAGCCCAAATGCATCTTGCAGCGAGAGGGTGGCGGTATCCTCTGCGACCCGCGCAGGGGATGCCCTTGCCTCTTCCTCTGCTCCCTTCTTCTCGCTGTCCTGGTTCTTGTTGCTGCTGCTGTTGTTGCCGCCCAAACTGAGCTCTCGGAACGCCTCGACCGCATCATTGATGACATCGAACAGGCAAACCGCGCCAGGCTGGTATGTCCTCCCTACAATATCCTCCAGGACATCCACGGCTATCTTGCCCTCACCCCGTGCACCGGTGGATGCCGTCCGGAGAATTTTCGGCGGGGTATCCGGGTATGACGCATCGAAACCGAGGAGGAACGATAGATTGGGATGCTCGGGAATTTGCAATTTGACCGTGGTGCTGGATAAGTCGCCAGGTCCGGAGCCGCCCAAGTCTAGTGTTGAGTGGGCTGTGGCTGCTGATGCTGATGTCGCTGCGCGATGTACGGTGATGGTGTCAGGTTCGTAAATTGCATTGATCGCTTCGATCTCTTCGGCGAGGTCAGCATTCGGAAGTGGTCCAATCTCTGTTGCCATTATGCCCGTAGCCCTAGAATGAGGTATCTAGACAATTGCTCGAGGCGACGGGACCGTGAGATGTAGTTTTCTTCCTGGTGATCAGTTTGTGGTCGGATGGTCACATGACATGATCTTGGGATAACTTCCTCTGCAGGTGTTAAGTAATCATAGATGGTTCTTTGGTGGTACTGCACGAAGAAACAGGGTCCCTATTCTGACTCCAGTGTATACCAAGTGTTTCTAAACCACTGATGCTCCTTTTGAGGGAGATTGTAGTGGCCAGTTCGCAGTTGTTTTGGCGTTGCATTTACTCCGCAGACATATATTTTGGGTGTGGAGGTAAGGCACTACCTGTGCAACATGCTAATATCTATTATTATCAAGGATGGTCACGCTCTTGTGAAGGAACATCTCATAAATGTGGGCTTGCCTAATACTGAAATCGCTCATCCAAATCGCCTTGATGCTATTATAATCAATTAACAACCAATTCCCATCATATTTCCCACGCCTTCTACCTGCAGATTCCTGAACTTCTGCGATAATTCCTCAGTATCATCCAAGCCATCCAGATCCTTCCTTTGCCAGAATGCCTGAAAACCCTCCACCAGTCTGTTGGTAATCACCGCCACATCCTTTTCAGGCATCGGGGCAAAACATAATCGGAAGTACTGCCAGGCTCCGTCCAAGGCCTTCTGTGAGGGCGCAAACAAGTCGCCCGGAACCATAAGACACAAGAATGGCTCCTGTGTCATGTGCACCCACAATGCCTTGGACAGCGTTTCAAGAGAATATTTGTCATACAGAGGATGGGTATTGAAGAGTACCTTGATCCAGACAAACATACCCCCCATGGGCCAAGTGAAGTCATACATTTGCACTTTGTCAATCACCTCCCAGCCACTTTCCTCGCTCGACTCGGAGGGCTCTGATCCATCGCCTTTGATGACATACTTGCCTTCTTCAAGACTGATGCACATGGCCTGCATGCGCCGCTCGTATGATCCTCGAAGACCTTCAAGCCAGCGAACCCAGCCATCCATCTTCCAGCCTGATTTACTTTTGCTTCTGGGATCTCTGACTTCATCACCTTGTTGACCTAGGATCATCCCAGCCACCATGGCCTGGACAAAACCGGATGGGAATTGTGTCGAAGTCTCAGTGAGACGGGTGATCCTCTCGATGACGGCAGGCTGTGCAGTAATCCAACCCAAGCGGCAACCAGGCGCAATGGTCTTGGAGAAAGTATCCAACCGAATGACTCGTCCATCTGTATCTAGAGACATAAATGATGGTACAAGAGAGTCCAAAAACGGGTATCCGGACGATTTTCCATGAGCAGTATAATTTTGCGTGGTAAGTGACTCGTCAATGGGTGTGTTACGGTAACAGGCCGCCATTCTTTGAGCAGATGGATACTGCAAGTTCCAATACGGATCGTCCTCGACGATGATAATGTCGTACCGCTGGCATAAGGCGTAGATCTCTTTCCTGCGATGGATTGACATGGTGCCTCCCGTTGGATTTTGACCAATCCTGCAGCCGCGCGAGATAAAGCGGAACCGTTAGCTGCATGACCTGCACCGACTATTGCAACGACCAACATTGATCCTGACCGTTGAACTTACGTAATGGTATACAACAAATGAGGACGACGCCCTTTGCGGTAATCCCAGTTTTCGAGAACATCGGCCAGACCACCTTTGCCGTATGCCAGTATACCTTGGGCATCCATAGTGACCGCGGCTATGTTGAGACCACGAGGCCGAGCTGTTTGTATGGCATTCATGTAAACAAACTCCTCGCAAAGGATGCCTTCCCGCTGTCGAATCGGGTCCCTATCTGGGCTCCAGGTGTTCGTGAAAGTTTCGATAACTTTGTTGAATCCATCGGTCGCACCGCAGCTGAGCAGAGTTTCTGGACCTCCCGCATACGGCACATTGGGATGAAGATGCTCCCTTGTGAAATTCCGAACGAATGATGCCATAGGAGGTAACCCCTGAGCAGTGCCGTACTGCAGGGCAGTGGCGATGTCGATTTTCTTTTCCAGATCGACGGTTTTGCTCTCTTTGGGGACAACTACGCGGGTTGGCGAATCTGTATCCTTCTCCGGCGCCGAGTTGCCGTTGTCTGGGCTAGGGTCGAAACGCTGAGGATGAGCAACGGCAGCTTCTAGTGTGTCATACGGGAAATACGAAGCGTGAGGCATGCCTGGAGGAAATGAGTCAAATGCATTGATTAACGTTACTATCAGAAAATAACGCCCTGCATACCGCCAGAGAGGTTTCCCATGCCTGGGATGACATAGTACTTATATAATCTCTTGAGATTACTCGACTCACGCCGAACTGTAGTAGAGGAGAAGTGATGCGACAAGTCCAATGGAGCAGACAGCTCCATTTGCTTCAACCGAGCCATCGTGAGCAAATCAAGCCCTTTCACAGCAATTTGCAGGAGGAAATGGTGGATGGGGGGAAAGAAGGACAAGCGCCAGGTCAACCAGGGGATAAGAAGAAGAATCAGGGCACCCTAATAGAGGGACCATGGATCCTGCCCGTTATCTCCTGCTAGTCGACCACTGGAGAATCATCAGAAATGTCATGATTGATAAGCAGCTTCAACGGTTAGAATAGTGGGCCATCCGGGGGCGCCATTGCTGGCGCCCCTGCCTCTTGGCCTCGGCAAAACCTACGGAGTATCTATGAATGACTCGTGGACGATGGCTAATCCGGTAATTATTGGCTAGAGGACCTTAAAAGAATTCAGTCGAAAGAATGCCCACACTCAAAGCTCAACGTGAATGAACAGTCGTCCAAAGTCAGATATACGATGACCGTTGTCGAATTGCGGAAGGTAAATCATTGTAAGAACGTGGGGCGATTACGGTCAAACAAGCATGATAGCATCACATCAACCACTACGGAGTAGATGTTAGGCTCTACTCTACTTGGCATATCTAACCAGTTTTGATATGCGGCAATGGTCTGCAATTATATCACCAACTGCATTGTGCTAAGAATGATGCAGATCTGGGGAAATTCAAAGCTCCACATTTTCGTACGTTGATAGTCACAGGACTCTACATAAGTCGATCTGCATAGTCTATTACCGGTCCTCTGTAGAGAGTTATTTTACTTTTCTTCAGCGCAAATGCTACTAAATGCTAACTACTCATCCTGATCCTTTCCGAACATCTTCTTTGCCACCTCCATGGAAATGTCTTCGCGCCACTGAGCTTAGATAATCCTGTGTGATAGGCTCATCTCAACACAGGTGACAGCGGATGACTAAGGCCGTTGTCGATCTTCAGCCGGACAATGACATCCCCATCTTGCTCCAACTCCCACCTTTCTATCGTTCTATTCTTTGGATAACCCAGTATACCCTCATTATCATCTGTAACATTGGAGGACATGCCTTTCTGTTCCAGAAGAGAATGAGTGGTGTTCTTTCACTGGCTGTGAAATTCATTCTTTTTACTACTAGTCCTATTGACCCCACTCCGGCCATCTTATCGGCTTAGATCGATTAGCCTTCCCTTTCCGCCGACTCCGAATCTTGATATTGATATCTGTCGCTGGCTTGATACTTGTGTCATAGAGCCATCTCACAATGATTGGTGAGGGCCCGGAGGACGGTTCCCGAGTCTATATCCCACCCGTTCTCGACTCTGAGAATCGTACGGCCGATCCCGATACTTCCGACGACTGTTTGCTCCCTCGAGATGAAGAGGCCGGCCCCAGTTATGTCCCCGTCTGGTTACGGGAGTCCTCCAAGTCGTTTCGCTGGGGCTGGGTACCTCTGCCTATTCGAAAGGTTGCACGCGCTACTGCGAATTGGGTGAAGGGCCCGAATCCTCCACATTCGCTGCTGCTCAAACCGCTATTTCCGCAAATCCAAGAGCTTCCGGTCCGGTATCTGAACCGATTGTTCCCTAAGCGGAAACACAAGATCTCTTTACTTGTACTCCTATATATCGCTTGGTTTACTCCTTCGACCCTTGTTCTGCTTCACTCTCGTTCGGCTGGCTACATCGAGGGATATGGACGACTGCAAACCCTTTCGTGTTCGACGACTTTTTGGTAAGGCTTCCTTGCTTGATTTGTGTTTAAGAGCCTGTTCTGACTACCTATCAGGGAGCATGGAAATGGATGTGGTCTCAACGGGAACGATTGCCGTCCCTTTTCTGCCTCGACCGTTGCTTTCCGTTGCCCGGCAAACTGCCACGATGTCAAATTGTTGCAACCTCACACCGTTGGCAACCAGACTTACAGCTACCGAGGACTAGTCGTCGGAGGACCACAACCAGATTCGTCCGAGCCCGGTGTGTACCGAGCCGACAGTTTCGTGTGCCAGGCCGCTATCCATGCTGGGGTCATCACCAACGCAGTTGGCGGCTGCGGTGTTGTGAAGCTAGAGGGAGCGGCACACTCATTCCCCGCTTCGAAACAGAACGGGATTCAGTCTGTGGGCTTTCCGTCGACTTTCCCAAAGGCCTTCAGCTTCGTCGACCTGGCCTCGTCCCAAGGTACTTGCCCTCCAGATCCGAGATGGACTCTTCTGGGCATAACCATTGCCGCCCTCGCACTTCTGTGGCTCTTCTCGACGTCGCCGCCGGTCCTGTTCTTCAGCACCTTTTTCATGCTCTTTTGTCAAGTGGGATTGGTGTCTGATCCGCCATCAATGCCCCAGTTCACTGACCTTTTGTCCACTCTACTTGCGCGATTATTACCGGCATCGTTCGTAGTCTACGTGCTGTACAAGTATTGCGCGCGTCCTCTCCTGACGCCGCTTTCGCAGCCCAAGTTCCAGTTGACCAAGACGTTCTTATACCTGCCACCGGCGTTCATCGGGGCCTTGAACAATTACACTTTTGCGAGATTGATTCCGCTAGAGCGTCTGACCCCTCAGGATATTCAGCGGCAGCCGGGAGCGAAATTGGCGTTGGCTCTGGTGATTCCGACCGTGGTCGTAGTTATCCTCAGCCAGGCCTGGCAAATCCGCCAGGGTGGCTTGATGCCGCATTATCTCAAGGTGTACTGCACCATGGGTCTCATTCTTCTGATTTTGCTTCCACTACCAGGGCTTCGCCTTCGGATTCACCATTACATTCTTGCCATCCTGCTGATGCCAGGAACGGGAATTCCCACGCGACCGTCGTTGATCTATCAAGGGCTGCTACTAGGGCTATTCATCAACGGTGTGGCGCGCTGGGGTTTCGCATCCATAATTGAGACACCAGCAGCCTTAGGAGAGCTACCGGGCTTTGACGGAGTCAAGGGTTGGTGGGGGCAACATACCCCAACGTCACCGATGCGTCTGTCATCATTTCGCTTCCTGATGCGGGCTCCCACGAGTATCGTGGCAATGGTAATATTACTTTCGAGCTATGGGAGAGAGAACGCATGGCTCAGCTTGATGTCGATGGAATCAGTGTTCTGGTCAATGATGTGGAACGCTGGCGAGGATACTTGGACGAGGATAAGCGGGGAGAATTCACCTGGCACCGACATGGACATAACGGTCTCGAGTTGTTGCATGGTCCTACGATTGAAAGTGACCCGGACGCCGGCGTGGCTGTCACCAATGCGAAGGATGACGACAAACCCGAGGATCTCTTCTTCCGCTTCGCCTTCCTTCGAGGAGCTGAAGCGGGCAAGTACGGACCAGCAGGGGTTTGGCTTGAAGACGGGTCGTGGCTCCCACCTGCGCCCCCGAAGGCTTAGATGTGATACCCTTTTATATCGTACCTTGGTTTATGACTTGACGACAAAGACTCGGTTAGATGGTACAAATGATTAGATCATGATGATAAGATTGGATATTAGGGCGCTGTTCGGATGATATTCGTTGACAAGATTATGAGTTGTTTATCCCGCGTTTGATTCTCAATTAATTTCGGTCTATCCCCGCATCCTTCTCAAACAGTGTAGTAGCAACATTCTCGTCATCATCTATTCATTTACTCCGTAGTTCACTTTTTCAAGCACAACCGGTCGCAGTAGCTCCCACCTCGGTCGGATAAACCGCCGTCTGACCCGGCTGCTCACACTGGCAGCTCGCCGTCGTCGTAGGGATCCCCTCGCTCGCACACGCCGCCGGCGAAGTAACGCAATACTCGTTGGTGGAGGTGGCAGTGCTCATCCCAGCAGGACAGTTACTCGACGGCATGCAGAAGGTATCAACAGTGGACCGCCCAGGCAGCAGCGTCATACTGTACCACTGATCTCTGGCGCAGGAGCACGACACAACTATCATTCACCATTTAGCCTTGCCTCTTCGTCATCCTGGACCCGCAACAGGGGGCCAGGGGTGGCGTAGGGAAAACTCACTACTAATCGTCGTGCTAGTCGTCTCACCGGCAAGCACACCCTCATACAGCGTCGACGTCGACCACGGGACCCCGCCATTCGAGCACTTGGTTGTAATCCAGCTCGCGTCAACGGGGTAGCATGTCGAGGCCTCGATGCAGTGGCCTGGGTGGTAGACGCCTGGGAAGAAGCCCGCGGAGCATGAGATCGGGGGTGGCGCGCTGTAGCAGTAGGAGACGGGGGTGCCCATTGTGCAGTCTGTTGTGTGGATGAGGGTGGAGCCGGGGGCGCAGGTTGGGGTTGAGGCTGCGGGTGTGGTCATGGGGGTGCTGTTGTTGTTGTGGCTAGGGTTGTTGGTGTTTGGGTTGGGGTTGGGCTTGGGAGGGTCGAGGCCGAGACAGCTGCAGCTGCGGCGAGGAGGAGGGAGAGGATGCTGGCAGTCATTTTGATGGTGTTGGGTTTCTTTTACTGGATTAATGAGTGGTTTGGAGTGATTGTGAGGGGAGTGATTGTGAGGGGAGTGATTATGAGGGGATGTTGTCTTTATATAGGTGTTTGTTTTCGTTGGAAGGTACAACGGCAGAGTCTAAGAGTAGTAACGCAGAGTAGTACCGAGCTATATTCGGCTCAGGCAGTCAGGGCTGAGAGGACGAGTACATCCTTACAAGCTTAGCAAGGCAAAAATGTCTTAGACATGCAGTGCCAGGGCTGTGACGGCAGTTCAAGCAGACTGTCGAAGCCACACGTTCCACGCAGTGATTGGACCGGTGGTGTTGCAGGATTGATCGACGGCCAAGACTGCCCAACACGAGTTTGTGGTTGGGCGACGGGGTGGCCGGGTGTCTCACTAAAGTCAGCTTGTCATGATGCTCAAATGATTCAGTAAGAAACCATATACTATTTATAAAAGGCCCCGGGCCAAGGGGAAATACCGGATCTCTCCAGTCTTGATTCAATTCATATATTCAACAGGACTTATCAGTTCATCGAGCGAATGAACATGACGCTGTCCAGCCTCCTCCCTCAGGGACAAAGCGGTAGGTTGCAAAATGTACAGAAAAAGTGAAGAAAATTGACAACAGGAAAGAATGATAAAAAGGGGATATCCTGAAAATCAAGACGCGAGAAACATAATCTGACGGTAGTCAGCATCCCAAGAAAGACAGTCCCATACGGACTTTTGAGTCAGATGTTCTTGCAGAGCTGAAACATCAGGCAACAAGAACAGGATTTTACGTAGAAGATAGAAGGCGCCTAGCTCCTTTGGTGAAGGTGGCCGTGGCCATGACGCTTGTGGACGTGGTGAACATGCTCTTCTCTCTTCACTGGTGCTTCCGTGGGAACAGTGACAACGGTCGAGACGACACGGGTGGTGGTGCGTGTGGTGGTTGACAACGTCTCTAGGCTACCGGTACCGGTCCCAAGGATGTTTTTCTGGCCGTCAACCCAGACGATAATCTCCTGCTCGACATAGACAACCGCTTGAGTGACGGCACTCTCAACATAGGATGTGGTTGGAGTCGGAGTCCAGGTCGAGGTCGGCTTGCTGACTTGCAGGTTGTTCCCAAAGGCGCTGGCATGGAGCGACAATTCCGCAGAGGCCGAGGCAACCGCGTGAGTGGCTGCACTGAGCGCGCTGGACACCACGGAGCTGACGGAAGCAGAAACATCGCTGGCATAGGCGGGCCCCCACTGGACTGCGAGTTTGTTGGGAAGACCGCCGCTAGTCAAGGTCACCTTTTCGTGCTTCAAGGCGGGCGGCATATCGAATGTGCACTGTTGTTGCTTGTCCTCGCTTTGAATGTTGAAAACAGCACAGTCCTCAACCTGACCCGAAGGATTGGTGCACTGCTCCACTGCCTGCTGCAGGACCCCCGATTCCCAGCCCTGCATGAAATCGCCATGATAACCGAATCCTGTAGGGTCACCGTTGGCGAGAACGAAGTAGCCTTCCTTGTCCTTGAACGCATATGTATCCCAGATGCTCTCGTAGAAGAGAGAAACGAGGCGTGTCTCGAAGCCCTGGGGACATGTCCCGTCCATAACCAACGAGGGATAGGCCACGTGTGACTTGTGATCATCCGAGTCAACATCCTTGCCGTTCCAGCACGAAGGGAACATCAACTCGAACCGGACACCGTCGGTGCAGTGTTCGTCCAGGTACGTCTTGTTGGGAAGGAAATGGCGGCCAAGCGAAGGTTCGGGATCGAGAGCGTAGTTCAGACAGTTGAAACCGATCGCCTTCTGCCGAAGAGCCTGCTGCGATGCTTGCTTGCCTGTCCATTCCGACTTGGGAGGGTCAGGGATCGGCCAGGGAAAGTCGCGCAGGTATGTGTCGCCAGCAATCATGCGGAAGTTGTCCGGAAACGCGGTTACGTTCTCTCCGTAAAGCAGGTAATAACTGTTATTGACGCATCGTCAGCTAGTGCCTGCGTTCAACTTGGAGACTAACTTACGCGAGCATGCCTCCAACCTGATTGACAATTTCAGCATCACCATTCTCATGCATAAAGTAGAGCGCTGGAATCCAATACGCGGACTTGTCCTGAGTAACGGCGCACGAGGTACAGCTTGACGCCTTCAAGTCGGCCCCGCTAGCCGACATAGAAAAGCCTATCAAAGATGGACATCAGTACAAAGTCGAGTGCGTATAAGGGCCATCCCACTAACCGCCAGAACCATGAACTGCATGCACGTGGGACGAAGGCTTGCCAGGATCCATGAGAGGGTCAATTCTTGCAAGACCAGTCCGTCCACGGCAGGGAAGACGCCAGAAGGCGTCAGTGAGACCGGACAAGGCCAGTAAACCGGTCACGAGGCCGACATGCAGCCTCATCGTACGTGCCATAATAGTCGTCGTTTCTAGACTGTGGTTTCAATTATAAATGAGCGGATCTGATGTCGGATTTTAACGAGCGAAATGGTCGGCTAGAAGCGTCACCAGGAGCAGTGAGTATGAACCAGACACAGAAATTCAAGCAAAAGAGCGTAAGAAAGGAATGAAAGGCCCAAAAAGAGACCGTTCGCGTGTTGATGCCGTGGAAGTCGGGGGTACATGAGGTGCAGGTAGTATATCCGACTATCGCGCAGCAGCCGGCTGGAGATAGTAAATACCAGGCAGTCCAAGGCCAGTCATCAACGTCAACAACAACAATAACAATAACAATGGCATAACTTGCACATTGCACATTGCACATTCAAGGCACGGCGCACTGACCAAGGTCCAGTCAGGAACAAGCCCCACGGTATAAGGGAAGAGCTTCAAAATCGTTTCAACCCAAGTGGTCCATCTCTGGAAGTGGAATGTCCCTTGCAGCGAGGGTGGACCGTCACATTCTTCGCTCCATCATAGCCCCACGAGGCGTACCAGGACAGTGTAGATAAAGAGAAAGGATGATCAAAGAGTATTGGCCAGCTTGAAAGAAAGGGAACAAGGAAGGTAGAGCAAATGGAAAAAGGTACATACCCTTCTGTCGAGGGGCTGTTCTTATTGGACTTGTGTTTGTTGTATTGAATTCTTGACGGACGGAAAACCGGATAGTCGATTCGATGTAATGTGGACGAATGAGACTGGAATGCAGGACCTTTCAAAAGCACTCTATGGAGAGAGTTATTTGGTTTAAAATTCGAAAAGCTCAGTTGTGCTCTCAGACCAGCCGATCACCAGAGGCGTGGAAACGAACGATGGGAAGTGGGAGAAGCAACGGTGCGATAGAGAACGACTGGATCCCGAAGAGAAAGTAGTCAAAAGAGTGGAACAGACGACCAAGGCGTCTAAGAATGAATGAAATAATGAGCGAAGGGGGAGCACAAGGGATGGTCGCAGGTCGAGGTAGAAGACGCAGAAGAAGGGAAATGAAACCAGGGTCTATGAAGTATGGAGCATCCTTTCTGTTAAATAAAACCAACTACAAATAAAAGGAGAAGATGTCTGGAGATGAAATAAACTCTCAAAGAGCCTAATTCGATTAGCTCTATGGAAAGGATTGTGAGTCTTGGGTCTGAGCTTTTTTAGTGGCAGCAGTAATAATTTGTAGTCGCTGGCGATATCAAAATCCAATCTCCAGATATTAATGAGCGGCATCGCCAGATCATTTCGCGAAGACTTTTACTAGGAAACCTTTCATCTGTCCCGCGTGTACTCTATACTACTATTATTATTCTTCTCAAATCACCCCCTTCTTTCTTGTCTTCTCCTTGAGCAAAAAGTTTGAAGACAATACGTGTCGTGCTTGGCTTGGGACTGCTAAGAGCCCAATAGGCCTTTGGTGTTTGACCAGAGCGACAATCACCCACACCAGAGTCAAGTCCACAATATGATAGGAAGATGCTGTATTATGACATCCACTTGACCAAGACTCCAAGCTGCTCAACAATACCAATGACTGACGACGCAGACTATTGCCGACGCGTTCCCAACAACGGGGCGCTATCGAGCCGCGGGGGTTTGGGAAACGGGATCGAGGGGCTCCGAGGGGGGGGCTGGAAAACTATTTCTGAGCGTTAAATGATGTGAAGACCGTGTTCAGCGGGTCTTTATCAATGAAATTTGACTGATAAACTCGAGACGATCAAACAGAATAAAATTAGGGGGATGATTCGAAACTGATACACATGCGGCGTTAATCGTGGGCGTTTCATCACACCAGCAGATGCTCTCTTACCGAGATAATCAACACGCTACCGAGCGGATTAATAGACACTAGAGGGGCCAAGGGAGGCGCTGCGCCCCTGACGGCGTCTTAAGTGATCTCCACCTTGATTAATATAGTGTGTGCTGTTCTTCATGATTCGTGATTCAGAATTCAGAATTCTTGTTTGTTGAAGCTGCAGACTTGCATGCCCCCTGAAGATCGTTGATACTACCCGCCACTTGAGGATCAGATTTCCAACGTTGATGGAGCGGTTAATCACTTGATCTGTAGATGCTCTGATCATCATGTCCCATGCCAAAGTAGCAAAAAGGAACAACTCCAGGTACCCGTGGCGAAGATCATAAGATGATTCCCCTGTTCCTGACTAGTGGGAGGCAAGAGACGACTATGACTGGTGGTTGGATATTGTCCACGCAGATTGATGCTTGGCGGCGGTTTTTAGCGGTTTCTAGCGGTTTCATATTTGCGCTCATCTCCCTTTTTTCCTGATTTCCTTTCGTCTATTTTGCTCTGGCTTCTGAGAGTTTGTTAGACTCAAGTCTGAAACACAGTGACATCAGTGCGGATTGATGGGGCGCTTGCCCAGTCGGCGGGCTCTCTTGTATGGAAGGAGACATAAATTATTATTGTTGATTCTGCTATACATCTCCATAGTGCTCGGCTTCCAGGAAATTCAAAATCGATGTCGCCTTTGAGATCTCATCGATCGCGATGCATGTCTCAGTTATTCCAGAAAACCACATCGCGAACGGTGGACCAATTGCACCATATCTTGATATACACAAAACAGCCTCCATCTCGCTGACGAAGCTTGATATAGACAAGCACTCAACTCAATCCTGGTCTGAGTCTGAGTCAGTGAAATCTCATCCCCCCATTGCAGTGGATGAGCCGCGTGCTTTATCCTTCCTCAAGATGTTATGATGCAGCTATATTTATTCTTGCCACTTCCCACTGGTGGCCTGTTACCATAATATATCTTGCCACAAGCTGTTTCACCATACTGTTCGTACCCTTCTCCATAATGTAAAGATGCTTTGCTGTTACAAACCCTTGCACTCGCAAGTCCGGTCAAGTCCTTCCCCTTAACCCGTGATCACTACATCCTATTTATATCAGCCAAGCCCTGACACAGCGTTGAATCTTTCTTCGTTTCGAGTTGCACTCATAAAGTCAGACCAAGGTCGTGAGGGTTTCAGCCCCAAACGCAGCTGTGACGCTTCGCACGGGCTCTATGCTGGCAGGTCCTTGACCAGCACGAAAGATTTTGGTATACTGTGCTGCTGTCCTTACGGTCATCAACCTCCTCTCGTCTATCGACCAATCCTGCTCAGTAGCCTTCAGGCGTGTTGGCCTCTTTTTCTATGATTTCCATTTAACCAAGGAAAAGGTAAGTTTATGAAAGTTGACAGACGCAACTGGTCAGGCCATTGATGAGGGGTTGGACCTGCCACACTCCTTACATCCTCGATCTCACCAAATGGAGATTCTCTCCTCAGCACACTATCCCAGAAAAGTCCAGTCGTCGAAGACCCTCCTGTTCACAATCTTGCCTTTTATTACAGGGAAACCTTGCCATATAGCGATTAGCGGCCCGTCTCCATTCGGGGAGCACTATCCCAAAATAGTAATGTTGTCCCAGTTCATCCCACGACGCGTTGCTGCAACCACGAATGAAACATGCATCTCCGTATTCTCGGGAGTACCCGGGATGCTATTGTTTGACGTGACTGCGTCCATAAGATATTGTTGTGCAAGAATAATGAATCCTTGCATGCGTCCCAATGTTTCTGGAGCAGAGTCGATGGCATTTTCCTGCTCGGGGGTCACAGCGTACAACTGTTGCAGTCGAAAATGGTAAAGCTGGTCGAACAATCTGCGAACGCGAAGCCTCTAGGATCTGAGATCTGCAGACTGCGGTGTAGGCTTTGGCTTAGTCCAGGTAACTATTGCCTGCCTTGGCATGGATCGTTGCCTGCTGCGTTAGTCTGCTAGCCTGCGGGGAGATTCCGTAACCTCCCCTGTCTATGTATTCTGCCACGAGATTACAAGCCGTAGGGTCGATTCACCACAAAGTGCACCTTGAAACTGAAGCCAGCAATGTCAGAATAACAGCGAGCACTATGGAGTGAGGAAGTCGATATCCTGCTCAGGGTAATTGGAAGGAAGCGATCTAGGAGTGAGTCCTCATGACTACTCGTATCAAGATGCATGAAGAAACATTCATAAGCCGCTCGGTAAACGGCACTACTTAGTCAACGTTTGTTACAATGCCGTCATCGCTTCGGAACGTACAAATCAGAGACCCGGGCTGCGGTGAGATCCGCAGGCACCAGTCTGAAAACTGTAAAGCGTGCATGTTGGCGCCGCGGGAGGCTGGAGAAAGCTCGGAACTATAGCCGACAAAACATTAATGCCTCCGTGTTTCTCCAATACAGCATACTACGTGAGACGCTGATCAATATGAGCATTTTCGGTCTACTGGTCTCAGAATGCAATTGTAATTGCTGGTAAGGATCATGTCCATATCATCTTGTGAAAGAGCACCATAGTCGTGACCCGTGAGGATTGTGTTGGCCCGAACGAGCAATCTGCTCAAGGCCGAGCCGAATCCCGTGGCGGATCACAACTCCCGAGTACCAGCATACATGGGCGGAAATGACGTCCTCACACACAATCGAGAGACGGTAAGTTGGCACCAATACTTCACTAGCAGTCCACGGATCCCTTATTGGCGATAGAAAGACATTCCAAGTGCGGTTATGTCATCCCGTAACCAGTCAAAAAATTTTGCAGTGGAGCCACACGCAGCAGTGGAGAGGAGCGCCACATCTGGAGTAAAAATCTTAAGGATCAGCCAACGATCGTGTTAACCAGACATATGCGATCAGTGTCGCCCTCTCAGTTGCCTCTCAGTTGCCTCAAGGGATATCCTATCGGAAACCAGGCAAGAGATCCGCTATGCTTCGTCTCTGGCTTCTACCTACAAAGGACGAATGAGAACGCAGCGGTCCTCTCGGTTCATCAATTGAAAGATTTCTCAAGACTATGACATAGTTTGCATTAGGAGACTGTCCCTGGACATGCAGATATTTAGGATCAAACAATCAAACACTCAGCAGTGGGGAGGTGGGCACTGTACTCCAAGACGGAAATGAGCAGTGCGAGCACTCCCAGTGAGCATGAGAATATCAGCAAAAGTCTTTCACTGCTTATAAACTCACCTTCATCCCTCAATCTCACATCGCCTTTCCCAATCCTCCTTACTTCTTTTGCCCCCTCTTTACCTCGCCTCCTCTTCTCCTCTTCTCCGCATACCTTTCCACCTTAGCACTGCAGTGCAGGCTCATCCCTTGCTGTCTTGATCGCCTGTGGCAGAAGCATTGTCTAGCAGTTTGTTCTCGCCAACACTTTCCGGCTTGTTGATAAGTCAACCAGGCAGACAATTGGCAATATCGGTTTCGTAACCTTGTTGTTCCCTTTTGGTATCTTGTATCGTCGTACCCTGTATCGCCATCCCGATATTTGTGTCCGCCTGCGACAACGCTTCAGTCCTACTGCGTCTCCGGCCGGCAGTATCGACGCCCATAGCAGCAATAACATTAAGCTATCCCGCAGCGGCCAACCTGCCCCTCCAAGTCGAAGGCTTGTACGACGATACCCAACAACCCTTATGCGACAGTGATTTCGATTGCCCCATTCAAGGCTTCCTAACGACGCCCACGCGGATACCCCAGCAGCTCGGCCCGGATTCCTCATTCGACTCCAGTGCTATCTGTCTCTCCATTGTCTTTGCTGATTTTCGCTTGCAACAATGAGCAACCCTGATCTAGAGAAGAAACCGAGCGTCAAGCCGGGGTCTAGCGACACCTCGTCTGGATGCGACGATGCCGACGCGATTCGACTTGCTGAGATGGGCTACTCACAGGACCTGCAGCGCAATTTTGGTGTGATATCTCTCATTGGTATAGCGTTTTGTATGTCCAATTCATGGTTTGGTATCTCGGCGTCCTTAGTCACTGGTATCAACTCCGGCGGCACAGTCCTCATCGTTTACGGACTGTTGTGGATCACTTTCATTTCCATGTGCGTTGCCTCATCGCTTTCCGAGCTCGCCAGTGCCATGCCAAATGCTGGAGGCCAATACTTCTGGGCCAATGAACTGGCACCCCAAAAGTACGCTCGGTTTGCGTCCTATGTCACGGGCTGGTTTGGCTACGCTGGGGCTATTTTCGCCTGTGCCAGTGTCGCGCTGAGTCTTGGGTCTGCTGGTGTTGGCATGTGGCAGCTTGGTCATCCTGAATTGTATGCTTGAAAATCCCTGGTCCCTCTTCTCCGCCGAAATGGTTATCTTGCGGCGTCGGGCTGACACTGCAATTCAGTACGGTTAAACCATGGCATGTGGTTGTGGCTTATGAGATTATCAACTTCTTCTGCTACCTGTTCAATTGCTTTGGGAAATCGCTGCCTCTGGTAGCAAAGGCCACCCTGTACATCTCATTGATCTCCTTCCTGGTAATCTTGGTCACAGTTCCTGCTTGTGCCAAGACTCATCCCAGTGCGTCATACGTCTTTGGTCACTTTGTCAACTCCACAGGATGGAAGCAGGACGGCATTGCATTCATCGTGGGCCTGATCAACCCGAACTGGATCTTCGCCTGCCTGGACTCCGCAACACATCTGGCGGAGGAGGTACCTCATCCCGAGAAGAATATCCCGATTGCGATCATGGCCACAGTAGTGATCGGCTTCGTCACTTCCTGGACCTATTGCATCGCCATGTTCTTTGGACTCAACGACCTGAACAAACTCTTGAGCACGGCAACCGGAGTCCCCATTCTAGAGCTTTACTACCAGGCCCTCCAGAACAAGGCCGGTGCTATTGTCCTTGAGACCTTGCTGCTGGTCACAGGCATGGGATGTCTGATTGCCTGTCATACATGGCAATCCCGTCTTGCCTGGGCGTTTGCACGCGATCGCGGGTTGCCAGGCCACCAGTGGCTTGCTCAAGTCAACAAGACTCTGGACGTGCCACTGATGGCACATACTGTGAGCTGCTTCATCGTTGCCGCATTGGGTCTGCTTTATCTAGGATCGTCTACTGCGTTCAACAGCATGGTGACGGCATGCATCACACTGCTGTACCTCTCGTACTCGTGCCCTATTCTCTGCCTCTGGTACCGTGGTCGCAACAACATCAAGCGTGGACCATTCTGGCTGGGTAAATGGGGCCTCGCGGCCAACATTGTCACCATAGCTTGGACTGCTTTCTGCCTGGTCATGTACTCTTTCCCAGCGACCATGCCAGTCACAACAGGGAGTAAGTGTTCACTCATGTTACTCGACTGTAAACACCTTTGCTAACATCCTCGACAGATATGAACTATGTCTCTGCAGTGTATGGTGTCGTTGTCGTCATTGTCCTGATTGATTGGTTCGCTCGAGGCAGACGATGGTTCCGAGGCAGCCAAAGCTGTTCGGAGGATGCAGCGGCATCGGAAACAGAAACAGAGCACTAAGTATGAGGTTGAAAAGAGGGTTTGTCATTTCTTGATAGCGTTTATGCTTGTTTCTTGAAGCAGGATTCGACTGCGCCACAGAGCCCGGAGCTCGAGCAAGTCCTGGATCAATGTATATAGACGATACCCTACAGTGTTACATAGAGAATCAATAGACTGCACGAGTCCAGAATGAGGAGTTCATCAACGTAATTCAAAGTAATGGCCCCATTGAACTGACCGGTCTCGAAACAAGGACAAGATCTCTATCGAATAAAAGGAGGCCTACAACTCAGTAGTCTGTATGGGTGGCAGAAGATGAAAAGAGAAGCCTGCAGAGAAGCAGGATGAATTTCAAAGGTGCTGTGACTGAGAACTGTGCCTGTTCTGGCCAATTAGCAAACTGAGGTTGTACTCCGTATGCCTTATCAGATCGAGCCGTCACTACTCGATGTAACCATGCCTCAGCTCTAAGGCAACAACATAGGTGCTCATGAAGGGTTGGTATGAGTTGCGCGATGCGGCAAGAGGATTTTTTCAGCTTAATAGCTGTATTGGTATATCTTTTGTCCGGGTGAGTTACATTGCTTGAAGCTCCGGATGTTTTGATAGGATTGTGGTGGTAGAATATTTCCATGCTGAACGGGCCAACTGGTCAACATTATTACCCGTACAACACATAAAAGCCCAAAAACGTCAATGTCTGATGGTAGATATTGCCTTTCTAATTTGCTCAACTGAGGCATTGCAAAGAGGATGAGTCCTATTGCCGACAATATTCCATGCTTGAAGGCAGTGAAATTGTTGACAATTGATTTCCGTACAGTGGGGCGCGGTTTAAAGTTACCGCATGAAAAAAATCTCTCATTGCGCTGGTTATTCACGGCCAACGACCGAGACCTCGAGGCTTCCGCTGTACGTAATAAGACAGCCGTTGGTTGGAGTAACTCCAATTCTCCCCCAGAATGATCTGAATGTGAGCGCTTCTAGAACTGATCCAAAGGCTCGTTGAGTTCTTTTTTCTCGTAAGCTTATGTCTTGAATGAACTTTGTGCCTGCTGGATTCAAATATCGTCACCCCGCAATCGGCGTCCCGCTTGTGTGACGTGAGCAATCATCAAGAGTCACTAAGACAAGCTCTGAGAGCGAACTTGCATGTAGAGTCTTTGGAGACTGCGGGTTTTCTTTGACGCATCAGCTGGGCTTGTCTGACAAAATGACGGCCGCAGAGGCAACCATTCCCGAGCTGCTCGAGGAGCAAGCGGACTCGGTCCCGAGTCCAGAGTATTGATTATCATGACCGGAGGGACGATCTGCATGAAACAGTCGCCCTCAGGGTTTGTGCCAGCCCGGGGATTCCAGGAACAGTGCCTGGCCCGCGTGCCTACTTTCAACGATGGCTCCTCCTCCACTATGATGGATGTTGTGGTCAATGCAGCGGGAGAGATCAGACCGCATCCGAGTCTACGAACGCCGCAGACACTGTACGGCCGCCGGGTGAGATATACAGTGTTTGAGTTCGAGGAGCTCCTGGATAGCAGCTCCATCGACGCCAAGGGTTGGACCGAGATCGCGCGGACGATCGAGCGGAACTACACACTCTTCGATGCCTTTGTCGTGCTCCACGGCACCGACAGCTTAGCATATACGTGCTCCGCGCTGAGCTTCATGCTCCAGAATCTCGGCAAGACGGTCGTTCTTACGGGAGCACAGGCCCCGATGCTGGAGCTACAGAATGACGCTACGGATAACCTCCTGGGTTCTTTGGTTGTGGCGGGCCATTTCGTGATCCCGGAGGTGTGTCTGTATTTCAACAACAAGCTCTTCAGGGGCAACCGATCGTGTAAGGTGGCGGCCAGTGACTTTGCGGCATTCGACTCGCCCAACTGCCCGCCGCTGGCGGTGACGACGTCGATGCGCACCAACGTCAACTGGGAGCTTGTGAACCGGCCAAAGAATATCGAACACTTCAGCATTCAGACAAATCTGGATACCACGCACGTCGCGTGTCTTCGTATCTTCCCTGGCATCAAGCCGGAGATGGTGGACGCCGTGCTGAAGCTTGAAGGACTCCGAGGATTAGTGCTGGAGACGTTTGGCGCTGGAAACGCACCTCACGGCCAAGACAATGCCATGACCAACGTCCTCGCCGATGCAATCAAGCGGGGGATCGTCATTGTCAACGTCACTCAATGTAAGCTCTCGTGCAGGGCTTTTTTTTTTTTTTCTACGAACGATGCTGACCACAACCAGGCCTGACCGGCAGCGTGAGCCCCGTCTATGCGCCCGGAATGAGTCTCTCCCGCGCAGGCGTCGTTGCAGGTCTCGATATGACGACAGAAGCCGCTCTGACCAAGATGTCCTACCTTCTGGCTCTTCCGGATTCCACACCCGAGTCTGTGGCCAAGGCCATGTCGGTCTCGCTTCGCGGAGAGTTGACTGAAGCGTCGCAGCCGATGTTCCGCCACCCTGACGGTGCACTTCCGGAGCGGGTGCAAACGCTCACCATGCTGGGATACGCGATCGCGCAGGGAGATTTCGAACGCGTGGTAGAGATCTTCAAGATCGAGCATCACTGGATCTTGAACGACGCAGATTATTCCGGAAACACTCCAATCGTACGCAACCCTCTATTCCTGGGTCTTCGGAGAACAAGCTAACGTGTGAATCGCAGCATCTTGCCGCAGCCTCTCCGTCCGTCGAGATTCTCCGCTTCCTTCTGCTGCAGGGAGGGTCAGTGCATATTCGAAACCGCAACGGGCGCACACCTCTGTTCCTCGCCGCCAATGCAGGGCTATCGGAGCATGTCCTCTTGCTGCGCAAGTCAGGCGCGCATCTGCATTCTGATGAACGACAAGCGGCGGAACTCCTTGCACGGCGCAGGCCCGCCGTTTGGGGTCTAGCCGGTATTGGGCCGAGGGAAGTTAGCGACCGCGAGATGGAGGAAGAGAACGAGTCGCTCCTAGGACGACGAGAGATTCCCAGTCGGATGCTGTCTGGCTCTGCTCCTTGAACTTTTAGGCCATTTCTTCTCCGCAATAGAAATAGACTGGTCAGTCACTTGACCTGTTCGTCTGTTCTAGATTCAGGGGCGCGACTGCTCATTAATCCAACTTAACGATGTATAGACGTCCAACTAGATTAAACTATAGGACTTAGTGACTTCTTATAACTTTTTAGTGCATGATGGTCCTTCAACGGCATTCCCTTCCTGAGGAGTAGGTTTCAAGCAGAGTCGACCCTCCAACGATTTATAAAACAATATAAAAAGGTGACTAACAGCCGCGGAGATAGTCATCCCCAGGGCGATAAGCCTGATCGCCCCAGCCAGAGGCAAATTGATAAGGTTGAGTTCTCACTCTGCAAGGTGCAACCTTCATCACTAGTACTACCTAACTTTTTCTACTCCGTACGACCTAGATACCTATCTCAAGACCCTACCTAACAGTCTAGACACAGTTATGGTTTACAGTTCACACTACAATCTACTCAGTCTAGCGGCTAGCTCAACTGTTGTCCGGGGAGTACCTTACCCCGCATCCGGGAAATGCAGTTATGCACCATCAGGAAGATAGTTCGATTTATACTTTGCCAACCCGGCCAGTAAAGACGGAACTAGTGGGAGTACCTCGAGAACCGGTGATCGAGCATGTCATGTGGTTGATGAGGATTTTCTAGATGCGAACTAGCCCGTTCTACGATGTTACCTATCGGTGCTGATAATGGTATTACCTGAGGTGATTTCGTGATTGATTGATTGCTTCATGGTGCGATTTGGAAGGGCGATGGTGAATTCGGGGGGATGCGACAATTGTCGATGACGGGATGAGTAGCCAGAATTGATGAAGATTGTGTCATTGCCCACATGGGATGAGGATGAAGTTGTTTGTTCCAGGTGCGAGCTGCCAGCATTTAGAGACTCCCGTCCGCAGCAATGATAAGGAACAATCAGCTTCGATCCGGAGTCCGGAAAGGAGCCGGAACGACTGCTGTAGGCTCTGGACTTATCACTTGACCATGAGCCATGACTATTACCTAACGTTAGGATTTTTATGCTAATTGTGGTTTGAATATCCGCTAGAATAGACACCTGTAGGTGTTTGATGCTTCACTAAAGTATCAAATACCAGCGATTGATGGATCAGTAGTTGATGCCGCACAAAGGGCAACAGTGACCTCGTGTGTAATTCCAGGTCAAGATTGGCTGTCCGCTTATCCGGGGAGGATCAGGATGGATGCCGGATGGGTCTTGAAACGAACGTGCTCTGGAAGGAGGATTCTGCTGGTCCTTCTTGGATGATGTTCGATATCACTCAGGCTCTTGCGAGACTTGGAGTTAGAAGCAAGAAGCTCTTGGCGCAATTGTTGATTAGCACCAGGACCCAGGTACAAAGTGAGCCTGGCTAGTGATGGAGTATGCATATGACAAGGGTCCATACTTGGAACCCACGTTGCAGCTTGATGCTGGCCTCCTACTCGGAGGTAAGAAAACCAAAGAATTCTGCATAGATTATCTGCATAGATTATCTAGCACATATCAATTCAATGAGGTTGAGGTCGAGCAAACTACTTGCCATAGGATAGTCCCGTGAATTTAATTGGCCAGCAGGCCGATCACCCTACAGCAAAATACAGACAACCATCAAAAACATGCACATCATAAGTATATCTTCCTGGCGCATGAATAATGCCAGCGTCAAAAGACCTATTGTTTTCTTATAGCTAGTCTTTCCTAGCAGTGATATGATATTATTTATGGATACCTACTCCAAACTCCAAATTTCAAAGTTGCATCGGCAATGTCTCTGCTAGCATCCCTGAGCATCGCAGTGCATCCCGAGTTACGTAAATTAAAAGAACCTGTATGGCCCAACGCGCCACCACTGCCTTGATTCAACCAGCTTCTCAGAATTGTCGGTACGTAGTAGTGAAGATTCTGGTGAATTCTGCCCTCAAAGCGCGGTTATTGCGATCATGCACCATCGACTCGAATTTCCTGTCTAGTCCTGCTACCCACCTGCCATCCTCTGCGTTGTCGCCGGTGTCATTCCGTCTTGGGTCCAGATTCATTGATCAATCAGACCATGTGGATTCTTTTACCCGAATGATAGGTATGGTACTCGTCTTAGCAACCCTTAGGTACGAAAAATCAACATAGCGGCTACTCTACCAGCCCATGTTTCTCAAACAGGGGCTGCCTGTAGGCAAGTTCGATCTTGTCAGAACAAAGATAGTCTAGATAAATAGACAGACCGAGTGAATAAGGTGCTGCCCGAAGCCAATTCTATTACTCGATAGTTTGAGTGGTTCGGACCTGAATCGGAGGCAACGGTGACAACCGCGACACTCTATGACACTGAACGATGAGAGACAACGACAGAGGATTCTCTGTGATTCCTTCATCAGAAGTTTCTACTAGTAACAGTCGATAATTGTTGGCAACCCCAGACGATCCCAATCCAGACCAGTCACTAGTGTCTCTAGTATTATTCTTAGTGGGAAGGTCTGAGACTCGAGTATTGATCCATTCTGTAGATGGATAGCATCGGTCCCTCGCAGGTTTCAATACACATCGCAGAGTATATAAGCCCAGTGTGTGCTCCAACAATAATTTCTGCATTTTCTACAGCCAGTAATCCCCTATACTTACCCAAAGATCTCTTTTCTACTCGAGAACAAAGAATAAGGACAAGAACATTATATTGCATCAGTCCATCAGAAAAGTGGGCTGCGAATCTCGGAACCGACAGACGCTTTGCACTGGATCCACGGCCAGCGTCATTTTTTTTTTTATTTTGAAATTTTTCTACTTTGCTCACGGGGTCTGGAGTCTTTTTGCGAGTGCTGATTTTTCCCCTATCAATTCTAGTGCGTGACCCGTTTGCGTGCTTTACTTTATTTTTCAGTATTAATGGGTTTTATTCTTTGGAGTAGATATATGACTTAACGACGGAGTATACTTAATCACTTGGGCGCTGGTCAGCATCGGCCGGATTCAAGGTCACCAGAATCATCACCTTGGGGGCACAGAGAAAACCACCTTGGGAGCGACATACGACAGTTACCTATATTATTATTTCATTGCACAATTAGCTCAGCTGATTGCGGCATTATTTTATGGTTGCGAGAACCACGTTGAGGGGCATCAATTGATTCCCATTACTACATCGCCCATACTACTACTCAGGTACTATCAACTAGTTATACAACTGCTGCCCCCTCTCCTCCTCCGCCAATTTACCCCACCGAGACTTTTTTTCCCTTCTTGCCCTCATCTTCGTTTTGAAGCGGCGCCTTTGGGGCTGAGGAATTCCTTTTCTTTCAGATACTGACTGGAGGCTCTTAGAGTCAATCTTCATACACAGAACGATCATACGGGCCATTGTCTTCCTTATAGAACCGCTCATCACTACTCCAACCCATCTTTTCGCGGTCTCCGATCTCCAGACTCACCGTTACTCTATTGGGTCAGCCTGATCCTCCGACTTACTTCCCCTTCCACCCCTTTCTACCCCGCATCCTCTATTTCCGCCCATCTCCCTCCGGCCGACATCTTTCTCGGGGTTGAAGAGCTCTTCGCTTCCGTCTGACTGTCGCCCGTCTCGTTTCAGAGGTCAGCACTCCGAATGACACAACAAAGCAAAACCATTGCCGTCGTGAATGCGACGGGCCGTCAGGCTGCCTCCCTTATCCGCGTCGCTTCTGCCGTCGGTCACAATGTACGAGCTCAGATCCATTCCCTCAAGGGGATCATAGCGGAGGAGCTGCAGGGACTCCCTAATGTCACACTCTTCCAAGGATCGCTGCTCAATAATACCGCGTTGATGGACACCCTGTTTCAAGGCGCGAACCTCGCGTTCATCAACACAACATCACAAATGGGAGACGAGGTCGCGATTGGAAAAGCACTGGCGGACGCTGCGAAACGAGCAGGGACCATTCAACACTACATTTACAGCAGTATGCCAGATCATTCCGTTCATGGCCCGTGGCCTCCCGTACCGTTGTGGGCTCCCAAGTTCACCGTCGAGAACTACATCCGACAGCTCGGATTGCCTGCGACCTTTGTGTATGCAGGAATTTACAACAACAACTTCACAAGTCTACCCTACCCTCTTTTTCAGATGGAGCTCATGCCGGACGGGAGCTTTGAATGGCATGCGCCGTTCGACCCGGACACTCCATTGCCTTGGTTAGACGCCGAACACGACGTGGGGCCCGCGCTGCTTCAGATTTTCAAGGACGGGCCCAAGAAGTGGCACGGTCATCGGTAGGTTACGTGAGAGAATACCCCGGTCATGTGGAGACAATTGCTGATGGTTCTCTGTCGCACAGGATCGCCCTTACATTCGAGACCCTATCCCCCAACCAGGTGTGCGCAGCTTTCTCGCGCGCCTTGAATCGTCCTTGTCGTTACGTGCATGTCCCCAAGGTTGAAGTCAAAGTCAATATTCCCGCCGGATACAGGGAACAGCTCGAAGCCATCGAAGTGGTCTTTGGGCAGTATAACGCGCCCTACTTTCCTCAACCCGAGTTCTCCCGTCCTGCAGCCGGTTCACCCAAGGGGCTGGGCCTGCCAATGGTAAAGGCGCCGGGGCGGGAATGATGCAGGGCCCCGGAGGGGTCGTCTCACTTCGAGTCACCGACGAGGCTCGGCAGCTGTGGGAGGGCTGGAGAGACATGGAGGAATATGCGCGAGAAGTGTTCCCGGTAGAAGAGGAAGCCAACGGGCTGGACTGGATGTTGTGATACAAAGCACAACTTGAATCATCGCTCCAATCTTCCAAGCGTGCACTCATTGTTGCACTGGAAAATCGCTGGCGAGTTTGGAACACCGTCGGGGTGCCTGTTGAGAGCGCACCCCTGCCATCAGCTGATAAGGAAAACAAAAATATACCCCGAGGCCGTTGCGTCCAGTTGCTGAATGAGACCCGATTGGCTCGATACGGAGGTTGCATTGTCTATGCGCCACTAACGACGCTGTGCCCCGTCCTTATCTCTCTCTCCGTCTCACCTCCTCTTAATCATCATCATCGCCTTTTACCCGCTCTCACAATCAATTCATTTCCAACCGCATTGCTGGCGAACGGGTTTCATCTAATTTCTTGGGGACTCCCATACATGAAGGAACCACGCACACAGCTGCCAAGCGGACTAAAGGCCCTGCGCACTGCTGACTGTGTGCTTGGATGAAAATGGATGTCACGAACTCTCTTTCTCTATTTAATGTTCCTCCCCTGCGCTATGACCGACTCATGAAAAGTTGACCGCAGGTATGGCTGCGGTTACGACCTGCCACAAAAAAGTTCTTGTCCTTTTATTACGTACTATATTCCCCTCTGGAGTTTGGTAACCAAAATCTCACCTTGGTGGCTGTTGTGGCTCTTCAATTAACTGTACTCCTTTTCTCAGTCAACATTGACTTATTCTCACTTGGGCCTCAGATACCATAGCTCACGGCTGAATCTTTCACTTCAATTTGAACTTCAATTTCATCCTCCATCCATCGCATCAGGAACACTAGAATACGTACCATAACCGGAAGACTCACCCCCTGTCCCAATTCAGAACGAACAAGCCCACAACGCATCCCATTTCCCCGCAAAATCTGGATCAAGCAAGCAAGGTGGTTAGTCTAGTGTCAGTGTACTAATGTAGTCGAGATAAGCGAAAAAGCAACGCCCGTCCAAGATTCATGGGTGATAGTCTAGTCTAGTCAGGGACGGAGCTGAGCCGAAGACTGGCCTCATTTCTTTTTCCCAATGTCGATCATTGCGTTGGTGTCGCGTGTGGCGTTTGCTAACGAGAATCTTGATTCAGGTTCATGTTGATACCTCTTTATCTCTATCTATGGGAGGAGAAACGGGTGGTTTGATAGTATCTCTCTACTTTGTAACAAGTGATTTATTTTTGTTAGATGATGAATGAGCCGACCGAGGGAAGGGTTAGTAGGAGTTGAGACGATGACTCTTCTTTTCCTGTAGTCTGAATGAGTGCTATGCTGTTGGTTGTTATAGCTCGAAGGAGAATAAAGTTTACACTGATGGATCTCAAGTGGACGGATAATTGTGAAATTGTGATGTGTACCAGGGCATTATGTCAATTTCCAGGTGGATCACATCACTTGGTACTCAAACCTGAGAGATTAGAAAAGAGAGAGATACAGGTATATTCTCCTGAGTTTGATAATGTAACATTCCTCTCACATTCTTCTCATCTAAAAATAAGGCAGACACATGCGTAGCTCTGAGTGGCTCTGTCCCTTAGTCAGGAACAGCTCCAGCGGTGACATCACCTGACCCTAAAGCGGCCATCAGCCGAGTCGCGAACGGGACAGGAAATTATTGCGATTGCCCGTCTGCTCGGCGTTACCTTACCTTAGCAGAAATTTTTTTTTACCCCTTCTTCTCCAACTTCTTTCCTATCCCGTCTGCAACTGATTTCTCACTTGCTTGATCTTAACAATCTGCTCAAGTGATTGCTTTATACCCTTATACCCCCAGCTCGCTCACTGTTCTCCTTCATCACCCCTTTTCTCCTAGCTTATCGCTCCTCATCCTTATCGGTCATCATGGGTGCCGAAAACGGTCAGAAGTCGCTCTCTGAGCGCATTGAGATGCCTGAGATCCCCATGGAAGTTGCGCGGGAGTTTGCGCTCCTGGAGCAGAGATTTATCCGCGCTGAGACCGACCGCCGTAAGTTGCCCTCGCCATTCGTCTCGCCTGGGGTGATACTCATCCACCTCATTTGAGCTCATCAAGCTGACCCGTTTAGTGCGCCGATCCGCTGTTGAGAACCGCCCTCTATGGGAGAAGCGTAGCGAGCTCATCTCCAAAGTCCAGGACGACTTCTGGGTTCGTGTCCTCTCCCACGCCCCCGCCGAGATCGACGAATACATCCAGCACTCCGACGCCGCTGTTCTGGGCTCTGCCCTGAAGGACCTCACTGTTGAGAGATTCGAGGTCGACGAGAAGGGCAATGGCGAGCCCCGAAGCCTTCGTTTCACCTTTGTGTTCCGCACCGGCGAGGAGAACCCCTTCTTCGAGAACGAAAAGCTCGTCAAGGAGTTCTACTGGCGCAAGAAGATCACCAAGACTCCCAAGGGCAAGCGCAGGACATGGGAAGGCCTCGTCTCTGAGCCAGTCCGCATCAATTGGAAGGAAGGCATGGATCTGACCAAGGGATTGCTCGATGCTGCCTGTGATCTGGCCGAGGCCGAGAAGAAGGGTGGCGACCGCAAGAAGCTCCCCGAGTTCGAAAAGCTCGCCAAGAAGATGGAAGAGCTTGAAGCCGCTGCCATGGAAGATAACGATGAGGACGAGGAAGACTTCCCCACCCCTGCCGGAACCAGCTTCTTCGGGTTCTTTGGTTACCGTGGCAATGTTGTCTCCGCCGAAGAGTCCAAGGAAGCCAACAAGGAGGATGATGAGCGATTCGAGAGGGCCCTTAAGGGAGAGAAATTCGATGATGAGGAGGATGACGACGACGAGGAGGACGACGAGGAAGACTCCTTCGATGAGATCGAGATCTTCCCTGACGGCGAGGACCTTGCCATCGCTCTCGCGGAGGACCTGTGGCCCAACGCTCACAAGTATTATGGTAAGACACTCTGCTGTAGAGACGATGCGACGGTGTGACTGACTCGATTCCAGGACAATCCTTTGAGATTGGCGATGATTACTCTGAATTCGACGAGGACGAACTCGAAGATGAGGAGGACGAGGAAGACAACTCTCGGCCCCGCAAGAAGGCCAAGGTTTAAATCCATCGTCCTGCTTTGATTTTCAAGTAAAATGCCATTTCGTTACTCTCGTGCCCATGGGTGGATATCTGATCTTTAATCACAATGCGATTACCAAAATTAGTAGTAGCACCAGGACGAAGATGAGAGCCGCGATGCAGAATGAAGACATTGTATCTAATGAACCAAAAATGATTAGTTGACTGCTTTTGACTACGTTCTCGTGGAACTTTATTTCAACGAACGGACTGAGTACACTTACCTTCGTTCTTCCGTACGATGTGCTTTATCCGTGACATCCCGTCGCTCAGCTTGCCCCCAACTCTATCGGCCAATGTATCGACCTCGTCGATCATGACTGTTTGCTCTTCCAGCTCTCTCCCCATGTCATCTGCCTGCTGCCGTAGGTTGCCCACGGTCCGAAATACCCCGTCCAGCTGTTCATCTTGTTCATGCATCAGCTCCATCTGCCGCTGCTGCTCAAGAGCAGCGTAGTAATCATCCCCTCGATCATCCGCCGAGGGAGACAGGACATTGTCAAAGTCGGCCGGATTGGGCAGTCCCGACGTAGAGCCTGTAGCTGCTCTGGTCCCGCCAGCTGTGTCGGCAGTTGTGACGACCCTCTGCAACTCCTCCCTCATCTTCTCGACCTCATCTCCAACCTCGTCCACTAACTTCCGTCGGCGTGCGACTTCTTCGATTTCGAGGCCATACCGGTATGGATCTTGCTCGATTGCGCGGACACTCTCGACGAGATCATCCAGATCCGCGGTTAAGTCTGTCAGCGTAGCCTCGAGTTCGGAGCGGGCTTGTTGGAGTTCTGGATTTGATGGCGATTTGGCGAGAGATCTGATACGGAGGTATGAGGAGAAAAGGGGCCTGCTGGATTGCAGCGTCGATAGGACGTCTCTATAGTCGGCGAATGGTTAGATTTCCTGCGCCGAGTCACCTAACGCGGGTGAAGTAGTCAGGCTTACGCTTGTACTTGAAGGAAAGGGTCCGTGCTATCCATGTTGTATATACCAGTAGATCAAAAGGACACAAATAAAGACTAAGTAAAGCGACTGTAGGTTCGCTTGCTAGTTCGAAAGGTATTATTGACGTCCTGTTTAGATGAGCTTGAGTTATTGACACCAGTCCAGATAGCTGGATATGGTCGGTTCGGCGGTGTGATCAGCGGTCAGTCGGACATCTTCACGTGACATCTCCAATACTCCAATTTCAATCGACTCGCAGCGAGATAAGTCTATTGTCAAACTCCGTAGGTACTATCTATATGACAAACGTCAGAATGTACTGAAGTGACCCATGGTAAAAGCGTGGTGGAGCCCAATATGTCTTTGACTCCACATCTCCTTTAGATACTTCTCCGCTGCTCGGTCGAATTCCCGCCCTCGAGCGTCAATCACTGCCGGCTTCACGCTCCAGCTCCGGACGCGGCGTCTACAGTCGCAATCGTGACATCGCAGCTCCAGGTCATTCTCCCACTCCTTCCAGTAACTGTCCAAGGGATCCGCAAAGCGACACTCTCTGACGCCAGCATCAGTAGTCTTGTCATCCAGATGACAACATTCGTCTTGAGGGCTTAGGAAAAGCTTCGCCAACGTTCTGGGTGATTGCTTCAGGATGAACCATGAAATCAGGCTGTACTCGTTCTTTGCATCTCGATACCAATCCTTTGGGCCGTGTCTAAGAAGCATGCGCTCCATGAGCTCCCGCAGCATTCGTAGAGCAGCGTGAAAATCAATTTCATTCTGTTCATCAAGATAGCTCCTCAAGCGAAGCCGTTTCCTGCCGATTTCCGCTTCCACATGACCCCATTCCAACACTGCGTAGATATGATCGATATTCTTATCGAATGTCATCGATTGGCTCCTATGCTCTAGAAGGTCGTCGTACAGGTCCGATCCCCAAGTCAGTACTAGACGCCGCCCAGGGCCATAGGTAGCTGATTTCGCCCCATCTTTCACTTGCAGAATCTCGGTGTCATGGTAGGCATCTGCAAAGTGAAAGAGCACATGTAATCCCCGTTCGAGTGTTTGTGCGAGTTTCAATTCAGCATTGTAATCCATCTCGGGATTTCCGTCATCAATGTACGGGCCCCATACAGAAGGAATGATACGCCGCGCTAATTGACTTGCAGTACTTTGACGGTAGATGAACTTTGGGAGTGTGTGCACTGTGACAGGTCGCTGGCCGCCTGTCTGCGAATCCAGTGTGATAAGAGGAGCAAAAGCATTGATACTGTGCAGGCGCATGAACCAGCGGCAGATATGCGGCTCGAGTGATCCAATCGTCTCATATGTTGATTTGTTGACAAGGCGGAGGTTTAAAACCGCGCTTATGTCTCCGTTTATGATGATTTGGAATAACACATCAGCGACACGGCCGAATAAGTCTTTCGTTGTAACCATTTGCGCATCCGAATTCTGCTGCATGTTCGCCGGTTTAGCGCAATGCTTTGGTTTTCCCAATCCCAAGGCACGAGACCAGATTGTAAAGTTATATCTTACCTCGACACTGAAGTCCCCTTATGTAGGTGCCCAAGATCTAACATTGCTGTTCAACATTTGCAACTGTAGCCAATAAAGTGGCCAAACACATTGGCCCTCCTTGCAGCAAGGGGACAATGAGCTGATGTGTACAGTGTACTTGGACAAAAACGATTATAAACGGTGTGACGCGTTGAATTACTTGAGTGTGTTCTTGGCTGTTATGTTTCTGTCGGGAGGGTTAGGTATGTTACGCGGGTCGTCAGACGATCATAGCTTGACTGGTCAACTTTCAGAGTGAGAACTCAAAATCAAACCGGACCCTTTCCAACTCACAGGAGATCTTCCCGTGCGGAAATGTTCAGAGAATCGCAGCTCGGCTACACCACGTCATGACAACGAACAGATCCTCGTAACGAGCTTCGCCGTTCCTTCGCTGCATGTTCATCAATGCCACGGCTCCCTTGCGAAATCACGCGGAGCAGACGAGACTGAAAGCTAAAGTGCCTAGCTCTACCAACATGGTCGGCATACAGAGTAGGATCAACAGTTTGACAACAACTATCGCCTGATGGGCTCAATAGTCCGCCAATTGGTTGTCAAAGTGGCTTGGCGGGAACAGGTCCAGGAGCATGCGCTACCGTGAGGCATAAGAGAATACTCAGGGCACGGAGTACGTTGGATTCTCAACTCTGTAAAAAACATAATAATAACGAGACTGACGGCAAAAGGGCTTGGAAAGGTATCGGATTAGGATGTCTGCTGGCGGACGAGTCTCCATAGTTCTGTTTAAACTACTCCCAGCCTAAACCCAATCGGTGATTTCCCCTCAGGCAGAAAATTTCTGGAAAAAGTTGAAATATTTCCCCGCAATTTGTCCATCTGCAAATCATCAAGTCAAAAAGGAAGCCTGCCAACTCAGTCGGAGTTAGTGGGCAGTGTCATGAGTGGCATGCCACATCCATAGCGATTTTCATCTGACTTCTATATCCCCGTTCAGCGCACGCATGCCGCATCCACAACCGCTCCCACTCCCTGGGGAGTGGACAGATCCTGACGCATACGTTGACGCCCTTCTGTCCTTCACGACCTCGTCTGAGCTATTCATCCATGTGTGCGGGGGTGTACATATACTGGACTTTCTGACTCGCGAACCCGATTTGTACGATTCACTTCTGCCACTGCATTGGCGAACATTCTTCGAGAAGCACGACATTCAAGATATACTAGACCTATTGCTGAGAGAAGATATACCGCCGCTGTTGCAGCAGAGTCGCGAGTTCTCTGAAAGCGATCCGAGTCGAGATGCAGAGGCTAGTTGGAGAGGGCAGCCCCTCCCTCCAATCGACCTCCTGGAATACGTTCATCAGATCCGTCGTCTCAGCCTGGGGAGAGATTTCACATCAAGGGAGTCTGGCAAGGTGTCGCTGCCTCACCATCTCGCGGTGGGAATGAATCAGAAAAAGTATCACGAGGTTGCGCACTTTTCCAAATATGTTAATGATCTATGTGACACCGTTGCGGAAGAACGGGGCGAGCCTATATCGCACATTGTCGACTTCGGATCAGGCCAGAACTACCTTGGACGGACACTGGCAAGCCCTCCTTACAACAGGCATATAATTGCAATCGAACGCAAACATCAGTTTATCAGCGGCGCAAAGGGTATGGATATTCATGCAAAACTGGCGAGGAAGCAGAAGAGAATCGTTTACAAGACCAATGGCAGGAGGAACCGCAAGGGCTTGGAGGATGATCAAGATACGACGCCGTCCACTCCTGAGGTGGAGGTAGTTGAAAACGTACCTAATGATGCTTCCGCCGAGCCTGGCGCTGGTGACGGTGGAGATAGCACGGTTTTCAACGTTTTGCTGGACATTGATATCCAACCGGACGAGTGGGGAACTAGCCCTTACAAGAATGGGCCCCCCAAGAAATTTGTGGGCAAGAAAGAAGATGAACTTGTGCTCAAAGGAGCCATGGATTACATTGAGCACGAGATCAAAGACGGATACCTGGAGCCTATAATCAAGGATGTGGTCAAATCTCGACCTTTGGAGACCGGAGGCTCCCAAGGCGCCGTGGTTGACCGAAACTCAAGGTCCGAGAGAAAGGCAGAGGACCCTAACGTCATGGTCATTTCCCTTCATTCATGTGGCAACCTTCTTCATCATGGTGTCAGATCTTTAGTTCTCAACCCGTCTGTCAAAGCTATCGCAATGATCGGATGCTGCTATAACTTGATGACCGAGAGGCTTGGGCCGGCCACATACAAGCTCCCCATCCTCCGCACTCAACATCCCCGCTTGACTCAGGATGCCTGTGCGTATGACCCCCATGGGTTTCCCATGTCGAAACGACTGGAGTCATATGAACATGTCAGTGGGACTGGCGTGAAATTGAATATCACCGCACGTTCGATGTCTCTACAAGCACCCTACAACTGGGGCAGAGAAGATAGCGAAGCCTTCTTCACGCGGCACTTTTACCGAGCCCTTCTCCAGCGCATTTTTGTCGACCGTGGCGTGGTTGAGAAACCTGTTAACCCCACGGATCTCTATGGATTGGAGACTGGCGGTCCTGTTGCGGTAGGAAATCCTTTGATTGTCGGTTCCTTGCGAAAGGCCGCCTTTACGTCGTTTTCTGCATACGTTCATGCCGCAGTGGCAAAGCTGAGCAAGGACCCGCACAATGGAGAGAAGGTCAAGGCAAGGATGGCTGGCATTACAGAGGAAGAAGTGAAGCACTACGAAGCGGAATATTGGCCCCGAAAGAAGCATCTTAGTGTCACTTGGGCTCTGATGGCTTTCAGTTCAGCACTCGTCGAGGCCCTCATCGTTGTGGACAGGTGGCAGTTCCTGCGTGAGCATGACTCTGTCAAGGATTGCTGGGTTGAGCCGGTTTTCGAGTACAGCGAAAGCCCTAGGAATCTCGCCGTGATCGGAATCAAGAAATGATTCCTTGACCTGTTCTTTGGCAGAAGTCATGATGCATACACGCTTTGACGATTCGCCGCGAGGCAATGTGACGACTTGAAACCCGTCTAGCATGGCAGCGGCCGCTTTGCCATTCATGAGGCATATTTGGAGTTATACTCGAACTTGGACCTCAAGACGGCACATCGCGATGCGGAGGCCGAATGCGCGTACAATACCGTGCAGCGACATAAAAATAGACCCTGTACTTTCTGCGAGCCCAGCAGAGCGACGGCCAGCTAGGTGTCACCAGAGTTTTACTTCATCATTTATGTGGAAGAAGGATAGAGTTACGATTGATGACTGTATAGACATAGAGTGCGATATAGTTCCTTTGAGACTTTATACCAATGCATTAACGAGGAAAAGAGCAAACGGATGCTTCTTACTCTTCCGATGTGGTTATCCCTCGAGATACATGTGTCAATTCTCCCCACATTCAGAGATATATCTGGTGTGGTTTCAGCAGTTGACATCGTTTAACTCCTTCGGAGTGATCGTTTAGGAATAGTGTGGTACCCCAAGAAGACAGAGTAGTAAGCAAAGTGATGACTGACTCGGTGGCCCCCTTTCCGGAGTCCGCGGGCTCCGACGCCACTGTCAGTCCAACACCCAAGGCAACACGATTCGCATTTGACGATAGCAAGACTATCTTATATTTTATCTCATATGTGCCGAGTGCCGACAAAGATACTAGTCTATCTAGAGTCGATATGGCTGACAAGCAACAAATGGAGGCCGAGGGAGCCGAATGTGACAGGAAGGAGCTTCTCAAGCACGCGGTGAGTGTAGGGTAGTATGCAAGGGATTGGCATTCCGCTAACTAGCTGCAGTGTGACCAATGTCGTCTCAGAAAGGTATGCTGATACGTAGTGGAATTGATGCCCGGAGCGCCTGGGGTCACATCGTGTTGCTGTTTTTTGAATTGACCATCCGTACTATCGACAGGTACGCTGCGATAAGCGATCACCATGCTCGAATTGTCGCAGTGCAGGAATCGTCTGCCGCTCAACAGGTGCAGGGCAGAAACCCAAGGAGGATCGCAGACGGGTTCTAATATCCAGCCAGTAGTGAGTAGGAAGCACTAGGGCCCGTCAATGCTCTTGTCTGACTTGCTACAGCGAGAAGAAGATCGATCTTATCGAGGAACGTCTGGGTAAAATTGAAGAAGTCCTTCTTGAGTTGAAATCTAGCCTTGCTCGCAATCCCAATACTGCTGAGACGTGCTACCACGCGACTCCTGTCTCGAAGCAAATGTCTCCAGATACATCTGGCTTTGCTTCCAATACAACGGCCGCGTTGGAACATGAGTCTGGTACTGGGTTTGAGGGCAACTCATCCCTCGCGGCTCATTCCGCCTACGCAAGTGCGTTTCTAGAGACCGTCGTTTCGCGAAGCGCGCCTCAAGTTTCTACCCGAAGATCAATGCAGCGCTCTCGGCGCTAAGGCAGATCGTGAGCATGCAGAGTCAACCACCTGGGTCTTCGTCAAAAGATGTTCCATTGCCGAATCAGAAAAGCTGTCGGGGTTCGAACTTGCGAGACCTGGTCATGCCCCAATTGAGGTGGTTCTGCCAATTTTGCGCCAAATAAAAGGTACTTTTCTCCAAGATTTTCATGATCAGAGTGACTTGAGGTTGACGCATAGCTAGCGAATCTCCCTTTCGCCTTCACATGCTACTTTCCTTTCCTCAGTGTTGATGACTTTATCCAGAAATGTCGCGAGGTGTACTTTGCAACAGAAGATTACTCTGACGCCACTTTCATGGTAGCCAATTGCGGCTTGTATCATATCTTTCTTGAGTATAGCTTCCTTGCGGAAAGTCCACGGATTCGAGATGATTACCAGAAGTACATCCAGCTTTGCCGGAAGAATTTCGAAACCGTGCTAGCAAGCTTGACATTGTTGATGCCGGCAAGACCGGAGTTAATTGAAGCGCTTACTTTGGGAGTAAGCTATTCGCTCCCGCTGTTGCTCAGCCAAGCCAACTAATCGTACCTTCTCTTAGGCTATTCATGCCATTGAAATATCCAAGCCCTCGTTTGCCTGGACGCTGACGTCAAATGCAGCTCGACTGTGTCAGAATCTTGGATATCACCGGAGTTCATCGATGAATCAGTTTAGCGACAACGAGAAAGCAAAAGCGCTTTCGCTTTTTTTGTGTGTTTACTGTCTCGATAAGGCTCTTTCGCTCAGACTAGGGCGTGCATCATCTATACAGGATTATGATATTACCATCCCTGAGGACTTAGGAGGACACAAAGTCGACGAACCTTGGAGAACAGTGTATCATCTATGGGTGAAGATCGCCGAGATTCAAGGAAAGGTCTACGAGCAGCTTTACAGTCCGGCGGCTTTAAGTCGACCGGAACGCGAAAGGGTACTTTGCGCTCGTCAATTGGCGTCGCAGATGGAAGTAGGCGTCATGGAGCCATTCAAGGTAGGCATTCCATGGAGATCAAGTTACCACAAGGGAAGCTTTTTGATTGACGGATCCCTAGGAGCTCGCAAGGTCGTCTCGTACTCTATCGCAGATTGAAGGCTTCGTGATTAAATCGGACGAAGTCAGCAGGTTGGCTATATTGACTTTAATATACAGAGCGATTCCTGCATCAGGGGCATCCACCAGCACTTTTGTACCCGAATGCATAGAGACGGCACGGGCTGCATTGGAGTCGCATCAGGTTTGCATGACAATTTTGAGGGAAAGTAACGAGGCTATGAAATGCTCATATCTGCATTGGTGAGTGTGTCTTGTGTTGTCTTGATGAGAAGATGTCCATTTTCTGATGAATCTTCAGGTCCATTCTCTTCTCGCCGTTTGTCCCATTTATAGTTATCTTTTGCCACGTCATCGAGACTTCTTCCCGAGACGATCTCGCGAGACTAGAAGACTTTGTTTCCTCACTCGGACCGAACTGTTTCCTTTCCGAGGCCATCACGAAACTACATAGTCTTTGTCAAGTACTCAGCAATGTTGCGACGCTATATGTAGAGGCGAGGGTACAGGCCCAGATACAGGAAAACCAGGATCTAGCATCTGTGGGTCAGGAGTTCGATACATATCTGAGTGCTCTTGGCTTGGCCCCTGCATCAGGAGTCGGCGGTTTCCGATGGAATACTGCTGCGTCGGATTCTTTGGCAGCGAGGTCTATGCCTGCACTTGAGAATAGTATGGAAGGACATGACCTTCCAGCTGGCGTCATACCACAGACACAACTGGGAAGCTGGTTTTCTGGAAACCAGCATATGATGGGATTGTTGGAAGAAGATATGTCATTATGGGATCCGGCTACATGGCCTTACTCTTGAAATGCGATCACAGGCGAAATCCGTCATACCGAGATGAATTCACTTTAGATTATATACACTTGCCACCATCAACGATCATCTCCGTGCCATTGATGAAACTGCCCTCGTCACTGGCAAGGTACAAACACATATTCGCCACATCATCTGGGTCGGTCAACCGGCCGAGGGGCACATTCCCGATAAACTTTTCACGATTCTCTGGCGTGTCCTCCATGCCGGTGAACATGGAAAACAGACCCGTCCCGGACAAGAGAGGACTGACTGTGTTGACGCGGATATTGTGGGGGCCGTACTCAGCCGCAAGCCCTTTGGTGGCCTACTGTTGTCAGCTGGCAGAGTTCTACAAAAAGTCAAGCACAGGAGTCCATACATTGGAAACAGCGCCCTTGGATGCATTGTACCACACCAATCCCGGTCGCGGCCTCAAGGCTCCAGTGGAGGAGATGTTGATCATAGAACCTCCTTGGCCCTGCTGGATCAACCGCCCCATCAATGCTTTCGATGCAAGGAAGATGCTCCGAACATTGACATTGAACACACGTTCCCACTCCTCCTCGGTGACTTCCAAAGTGGGCTGTAGGGCACGGATGTCAGCCAAGGGGCACCTCAATAGGATTCACACCGACATCACCCATCGGGAACAGGCAAGCCGTTGTTCATCTGATAGGCCGAACCTTATTCCTGTATGTGGTTCCGGCATTGTTGACGAGCACATCCAACCGGCCAAACTTGGCAAAGGCGAGATCCATGACCTCGTCCCAGTCCGAAACGCTCGTGACGTCCATCTTGTGAAACACCAAGTTTTCGGGATTTTGTGCGGCGATCTTCTCTCCGTTCTCGACATTGATATCGGTGACAATGACCTTGGCGCCCTCCTCACCGAAGCGCCGAGATATGGCGGCGCCGAAGCCCGAGCCTCCTCCTATGCTTGCTTAACGAGACTTCACTTTATTGCATTGGTGCTTTGGAAATTTAAGGAATATACCTGTTACAATGGCAACCTTGCCCTGAAGACGGGCACCGGCTGGAGCTTTGGTCATTTTGATTGCAGCGTATCTTAAACCAAGATAGATCGACAGTCGTACAGCGTATCTCGCGTATAAATAAAGACAAAGACAAGGCGCCATTTATATACCTAAAGCCTATAGCAAAGAGGGGTCAACTCGTGCGGAGACACCGCGGCGCAATGCCGACTCCCGAGTCGATCCTCAGCATCGGCAGTCTGTACCCCTTTCTTCCATGAGTGGTATGTATAACCCATTCAGGTCCACAGGTTCTCGAATCATGCATGCACGAATCCAAGAAGCTATTGCTCTTGGTCGAAGTTAAATGTGGTCGAGTTAGCAACACAAACAAATGCCAATCCTGCGGGGTATTTTCCCTCATACATCCATTCTCCCGGGAAGATGGCCGCAGCCCGCAACACCTACCGGAGTTACTCCATAGCCGTAACTTCAGCACGAACGATTAGAAACTGAGGTCAGCCAGCCCCTGGTTTATGGTTCATATTAGTCGTCTCACAGGTGTGCACAGGCTTGCTTATCCGATCTGCCTCAACTCCGATTAGGCTTCTAATCCCGTCTTTGGTATTCCAGTGTCCTTACTCTTTGGCAGGCGCAGAAGGAGTAATTCTTAAGTATTTCATTTCCAAAGTATGTCCAATCCCTCGTGTATAGAATAAGTACAATGTTATGTTCGTGATAGAATGTTCATCGGTAGAAGTAAGAAAAGAAAAGAAAAGAATAAAGACGGTGAGGGTATCATCCGCGTAGCCAATATTAACCAACCCAAGCCTGTACCTCCTTTCGGCCCCCTAAACGTAAACGCCTGTAGTTTCTGTCGACAGACCGCTTAGTGCGTCGTCACCGATGTCGACACATCCACTGTCTTCACGATACCCATAGCCTCCGACGGCACGATCCGCCGCGACGACGTATCCCCCGAATCGACGTCTCGATCTTCGGATCCCCCTGCGCATTGTGCATGAGGATCTCCTGATCGGACCCGGTATCCAAGTAACTCATCTGGTGTTTGCTGCGGCTGAGTCTCCGATCCGTGCGGCTCTGCTTCGTCACTTTGCTGAGTTCGTGCGTGGAGGTATGCGTTGCTTTGTTGTTGCTGGAGTATTCGTGGAGGACGCGGCTGAGCAGAGCAGAGAGGGAGGGGAGGCAGGCGCAGATGACGCCAATGGCGATTTCGGCATTTCTGCGAGGAGGATTCGCTGTTAGTCCTTTTTGCTTGTGTGGTGTCGGGAAAATGAAGCAGAGCGAGTAGAAAAGAAGGCGAAACGCACCCAAACATATTGATCCGCATAAACGAATACGTCCCGTCTTTGGACTGCCCGGTTTTCAGAATGAGGATGAGGCGGACTATGCTAGATGCGCAGGCTAGTCCTCCGGCGCCGAGGATGCCCATCACGCGCAGCTTCTTTCGCATGGCCATTTGCAGGCTCAGAGTTAGCGGGAGCGGGAGGATGAGGATGATCATGTCGCTGACGACGCTGACGACTGCGTCGGCGAGGATGATTGCTGACTGGTCCAGGCAGGTGCCGTTTGTGTTTTCATCCCAGAATCTTGCAATTGGGTTGCAGATGCGGATTTTGACGATGACGGCCGGGATGTAGTAGAGAAGCATGATTACTAGGAAGACATAGATAAAAAGAACGGCTTTGCGGTAGGGACTGAAGACCCTGGTCATGATCCAGAGGAGTGAGATTTTGGTCAGGAATGCCGTCGGTCCGTACATGACCATTGTCACGTAGACGGTCTACGGTGGTTGAGGTTAGGGACTGATGGGATCTGGTAAGAGATGGGGGAAGCAACCAGACCTTGTGGAAAGGGATCAGGTAGGAGTTTGGCACATCACTCTGGTGCAGTCCACCTCCATAATGTCCCACTGCGAGCTGTTAGCCGCCAGAGTTGCAATTGAAATTCGAATACTAACTGATGAGGGAGATGATAGAGTACATGACTCCAAGGAACTATCTCTCCCACCCAACGTCAGTATGGATAAGTCATAGGCGAATGGCTGGGAAATTGTATACCCAAGCGCCCATGCAAGTCCCTGTATGATGGTCAGTATCTCACATTGGTTAAGCAATTATTGACCTGACCACGCACAGTCTTCCTTCCCGAACCCATTAAGAATGAATATTCGAGTGTAGACACGCAACCCGAAGAATACAGTCATGGCCACGATACATAGTATCTGAGTCGCCGTATTCCAATTCTGCATCGACGTGTCCACGGAATCGCCAACATCTCGCCCAAGCATCACTGCGAGAGCCATGGTAATGGCTCCCCCGCGGAACACTTGAATAAGAGATAGGAGATCTGGTGCTGGATCTGATTAAGGAAATCTTGAGCGCAGAAAAGAAAGGACATTAAAAAGGAACTATGACCTGATGGATCACATAGGAGCGATATTTGTATGAAACACAACTGTGGACTACAATTCACCTATGAGGGATGCGCTAGACCATCATCTAAGAGCATTGTCTCTGTTGGTTCTCCATTCTTCAAGATCGATTTGGCAGTTCCCAGCTCCACACCCCTGACCATCGGGAGAGTCGTCGACTGTCCAGCACCACCAGAACGGTAGACTTGACGATCGACGTTGACACGGAAACTCTTGGCCAGTTCCTACAGAAATTAGCTGGAAAGGTCCCTGCAATCCGGCCGTACGATAATACATGAAGTAATTGACGATCAGGTAGTAAAAGTACTGTGACGGTCTAGTTTATACATTCAAAATTGAGGTGAGAATTTATGTGTAATGATACAATTATACCTATTTGACAAATTAATGAGATGCTCCACAGTGTGTCGGGTTTCTATCGACCTGTAAATTTCCACAATAGGATGGAGGCAAGTATTATCTGTCAGCAGGGGCAGCAGGACAGCATTGACGAGATCTATCTACCTCTTGTCAGACATGAGAACACTTATGAACTATACTTTGAGTAGTTAGAGTTTTGACCGTATACCATATACGGCAGGACGTTTGACATGCCAGGAACGATCTAACGAAGTCCACATAGGAAGGTTGTATTCCCATCGACGCTCAGGATTCGGACAGGATTCGGCCGGTCCTAGACAGTCAGGCCATCTCGAGAGTCAGATACACGGGACGGGCTTACCTGCACAGAAGAGTCCAGGCAGCTTCCAGGCTATCAGCCAAGAAAAATTGATTGGTTTTAATAATGGCTCAGAGCAGGGCCAAACAGTCGTGAAAATGACTGTTTTAGTCAATTTGATTGAGCCGCTGGTTTTCGTCCTACACTAAGAGAAGAAACTTCAGAAACCTCACTCTTGCTGGATATCTGACCCTATTCATAAACTTATATTCCGATTTCAAAGGGTCCATGCATCTAAGATGAGATCTATGGTACTTTGATGGTACATCGAGATAGCAGAGCCATGGTAGCACAAAGTGCAACCGTGCAAAGCATGGGCTGATGGCAGTCAATTCAAAAGAAGAAAAACGCCAAAGCAGCCACCCATTCCGGCCCCCACCACAAGAAAAAGCAAAGTCAAACAAAAGAAATGAAATGAAAAATGAAGAAGGGAAAATGAGACAAAAGGCGATGATCATTGATGTTTCTCTGACAAAGGCATTATCATGCAAGCCTCGTACCCCCTGTTCCTCAGTATCATTACGAAGGATCATTTTTTAAGACCAACAATAGGGCAGCCTTGATACCAGTTTACCCCACAGCGGGGATTGGATCCCACTTGCCGCCACCGCGCCGCCCTACGCCGTTGTCCTTTCCTAATCTGGATAAAGAAATGTGAGCTACCATTCACCGGCCAAGATGAAATGGTAAGCTTTCGTATTACAGCAGTAACTTTGTTGACGGTCGATCATTGGAATCCCAATTTACCAGAGTCTACGGAGATATAATCCGTCGGATTCGCTTAGGAGCTGATACTTTCAGCATATAATGAGATAACTATGTTCTGCCGTCAGCATTCTTCGTTCAGCATTTAATGTGACTTTTGATGCACAATATCCTGGGCGCATTTCTCAAGAGAAATGGACAAATTTCAAGTGCAGCAGTAGCCAACCTACTATTAAAGACTAGTTTCGGACGAAAAACTCTAACCTGCCTGACGTTTGTCGATCACTTAAGGACAGAAACTGCCGGATACACCATAACAAACAAACCCGGTGGCGTGGTTTCAGGGCATGGGGCCATTTTTCAGGCTTCTACAATAGAAGTTCACAGCTTGCTTCCGAGGTGTCGTTCTTTAAGTTCTCTCGTAGGTGCTGGAACAGGTTCAGTGTAATATCAGTTTGCACTACGGAGTACTACTGCGACTACAACAACTTGAACCGTAGGAAATATGGGCTATTGTCATCATATTTCTGAGCCGAAACCGGCCCCAGTTTAGTGTCAACGCCGGAGACTGTCCTAAATTCCCGAACTCCGAGGTAAGTCCTGGCTGCCGAGTTCCAGTAGCGTGTTTGTTGGCGGTTTAAAATTTTCAGCCCTGCAGGAAATAGGGAGACTGTGGACACGTTATATGCCAAGGCAGGTCCAGACATAAAACTGAAGATTGTGGTTTTGCATTTGGGGTTTCACTTGGAACTACCACTTGAAACTATCACTTGGAGTTACTTGGGGTTATCACTTGGAGTAACAGAGACTGCATTGACTTCTCCTATTCCAGCTGCCCAGGACAGGAAGGTCTTTCCGACCGTTGCAAACTTGCAATACACCATCAAAAATAGACCAGTGTATATTCTCAACCGGGATTGGGGTGTGGACCGGTGACTCTGCTCATCTCGGTATTTACTTATAGCCCGAACGGTGAGTAGTGCTCTGTGCGACCGACTTGCCTCCTGTGTACATCGGCTTCAGACTGTATAGGAACTACTCCGTAGCAAGGGGCATTATGAATCTGATACAGAATCGATTGCAATGCTTCATGTTCGACTTATTAGTTGTCATTCCTCGATGTCCTCCCCAGGGTCATACCGCTGCTGCCTTAACGTAGTTGCCTTACGTAGTCCGGCATCCTCAAAACTTTCTAAGAATCAGTCGATTCTTCCCTACCAGTACATAACCTAAAAGATTGCCATCATATTTGGAGGAGATGACACTCCACCAGGCATGTTCAAAGGCACCGAGGTGACGAAGAAACTCCAGCGTTGAAGCTCCTGGCATGTGGTAGCCAGCGCTTCCAGATCGAAAAGCTCTCCTGCTCAGCAATAACATCAACCGTTAGCACTCCACTCAGAGCCTGCTGTCTCAGCGATCAGAGGGTTGACTTACCAATTGGCATTCCCCATCCGGCAAGCACATACTCGTGCAAGAACACATCAGGGTTCTGGGGCGGATAGACCTGTCATTCACGCTGCGTCAGCCAAGCCCACATAGGTTTTTCTGGTTCAATGGTCGTCTCTCACCTCCCAGCTGATCGCATCGCTAGCGATCGCCGCAAACCCCGTATTCCACAGCCATCGAAGCACGTCAGTGGTTGCTTCGACTCCGGCGTGCTCTGGGCTCGGGTTATCGGAATACTGCTGCTTCTGCGCATCGGTCATGATAGTATCCCATTCCTTGGTGACCCCAACCCTCACAAAAAGGATATCGCCCTTTTGGAATGTGATGTTACATTCTTTGGCAATCTCCAAGATGTCCGACAAGCGGACCTGGTGCGTCGAGAAGGTGGTATATTTGATCCCCTTCTTCTCTGCCCATGTCGTGTAGTCAATCAAGACGCCTCGTCCTAGTTTCATACTCAGTAACAAGGTTCCAGACATGCGAATTGAAGCTTACCTGCAATGCCCTCCTTCGCCCAGTGCTGCAGACCGATTCGGTCGTTCTTACGGTCATTGATCTCCTCAACCGTCGTGCCGCCATAGAATACACGCTCTTTCTTCCCAGGAACGGTCTGCGAAAAGTGCCTTAGTCCATCCCATTGACTGCTCTGCTCTGAATAATGACCGTGAGTCCTAAAACCTCAAAAGCTTGGGGAAGACCTACGAGGATTCATCGTATATATATCATCAAACGCGACTCCGCCAAGCAGCGGAATGATCTGATGATTGCAGGGCTGTCGGTTCAAATTCGGATAGTCAAGCTTCGTCATATCCCAGTTCATTGTGACTCGTCGGCCGGTCTTGATCTCAGCTGCCGCTGCCTTGGCCACTACCTCTGGGGTCAGAATGGCGAGTTTTCCCAGTCCCTCTTCATGGCTCCCCGGCTCTCCAACCCAAACTTGTCTAGGGTTGGGGAGTTCATCGAAAGGGATATCCCAGGTAGAGTGACTTCCCATGATGCGATTTCTCTAGAGGTGAATTGGGCCAAGATAAATTGAAGACACGACCCTCTTCTATGTTAATTTTAAGGTCTATAGCATGCAGGGTTCTGCAGCATTCTACTTCTATAGCGCACTAGCCGGAGTAACTATCAAGCGATGGAGGGGTCAAGGAGGGGAAGCTGGTCTTAGTCTGTAGGGTTGAATCAGACAAAAGCAATATCAGCACTCAACACTACCTAGGCTCAAAGTACGAACTACGGCGTACAGACTACAGAGTCCGGACGCGGCATTTGGAAGCTGCTTTGAAATTTTATACACTAAGGTAATTGAGCGCCAATTATAATTACGAGCAGCTAGCTGGTAAAAACCAGGATCCTCTTCTTAGTGCATCCTTGGACGCCTCTGAGACCATGTTGCGCATCACTTGGAGTACTCTAAAGTCTCAGAGTACTTTTTGCGACTGATTCAAGTCCTGACTTCTGAGGCAATTGGATCGCATGGAGCGCTTTGGTTTATAGCATGTCTCTTGTAGTCGTCTCTAGAAAATAATAACCAAATTGATTAATGAGAACCAAGCTACACTATGGAGTGTCTAGTGTATTACTTTTGAGCTTATGAGGAAGGTGAGAATTGCGCCAGGTTCCATCACTTTGGGAAATACTGGATTGTAACAACAAATACAAACAGTGGTAGGTAATGTAATCGAAAGACCGGGATGGAGTGGGGCCGGATGTTCAAAGGGCGGAGCCTGCAGATTATAAAAATATATGATTGGATACGTTGCGACAACAGACCCCACTCAATTTTGGCCTTCTGTCTCTGTCAATCATTACCAGACTATCTCCTAGATGCGTGAGAGAATGTACTACGACTAACGGTTGATGGTCTAGCAGCAATCTATGCACAAATAGCGAAGGACTCAACCTTCTGCACTGAACCCTCAAGGCTTAATCCTTCCGTTCTCATCAATCTGCAGCAAGTGGACCGCGACCCCTCGTCTCCTCGGCCAATGATATACACAGTATGGAGTCATTTAACGCAAATCAGGCCATTCTCAAGGCTGGACCGACTAGCGAGGAGCAAGCGCAACCAGAGGGGTGAAGGGGAGAGCTCAAAGCTCCATTCGCCCTCGCAAATCAGTCTCTTCAGAGCTACTGCAGGGCGATAGACGCGACTATGATATTGGATGCTATGGCAGCATGCATGACTTGAATGTTTTGAGCATTCTTGGTGCTCGGTGTCAGGATTTTCGGTGTCGGCAAGCGAATCGCTTCTTATCTTCACGCGGAAGCTACCTCAGTCGTAACCTCTGCCGATTTTGATCCCCTTCCTTTCCCCCTAGAACCCGTACTCGAACAGTCTAAGTGAGGGGCTGGATCAGAACTGCTGTGAAACCAAGAGTCCGAGTTCCCTCGTACAAGGCCCGCCCGGTCTTTTCCGCTTCCTGCAATCTTTTTTTCTTCTTTGTGATACAGGTCATCTTTGCAGGGGTCAATTCCTCCATTTTGCGGCTCAGCTTGGACAGCTTCGCGTATCATTCAGTTTTGACACAGTATGGGGACTTTCGGTTCACAGACCAGTACCTATAACAGGCTGGTCACTATATTTGTAGCCATTGGGTCAATGGTCAGTATCATGCATCCATGGGCTATATCGGACCATCTTTGTGTCGGCTAATCTGCTCTCCCAGACCTATGGTTACTGTGCGTCCATCATCGGTAGTACAATTGGGCAGCCGGGATGGTATAGCTTTTTCAAGCTCCCTGCCGAGGGAGAACCGGGATATGCCTCAATTACAACGCCGGCTATCTCTACAGCTAATGGTGTCTTCAGCGCCGGAGGTGCTGTTGGCACATTGTTCATTATGTGGTCGTGCGATTACTTCGGTCGTAAGGTGAACATCCAGTTCGGTGCCTTTTTCTCGCTCTTCGGTGGCGCGCTTCAGGCTGGCGCAAACTCGCTCGCGTATGTCCTAACCCGCATTCTTGGTCAAGGCATAGCTGACATCCCGCAGAATGTTCCAAGCGGGTCGGTTTGTCTGCGGTCTCGGTATTGGTATCCTAGTCACGGTGTGTCCCATGTACCTTTCGGAAATGTCAAGCGCGTTTCGCCGTGGCTGGCTCGTCGGTCATCATGCTATTTTCCTTGTCTTTGGTTATATGCTTGCTGGTTGGGTTGGTTTCGCATGCTACTACGCCGAGGGTATTGGTTCGTTCGGCTGGAGGTTCCCGCTGGCCCTTCAGTGTCTGCCGCCTCTTGTGCTCCTCATCGGGTCGCCGTGGCTTCCGCGCTCTCCCCGTTGGCTCATCTCAAAGGGCAAACATGAGGAAGCTAAGGTCGTCTTGGAGCGGCTTCGTCAGTCCCCCGATGACCCGGACAACCTGGTCGCTAAGGAGGAATATTACCAGACTGCAGAGCAGATTCGTTTGGAATCTGAGAGGCTGTCCGAGTACGGCAATGTGTGGAAAGCAGTTGTGAAGAAGAAGTCGTACAGAAAGCGAATGGCCATCGGGTTCCTAACTCAGTGGGGAGCAGAATTTGGTGGGCCTCTGATCATTGTTAGTCTCTCTGATTGTCAAGATTCAACATAGACACTTACAATCTCATAGAACAACTACGCTGTTTTACTATACACGAATCTCGGCATGAAGGGCGGTATGCCTTTGCTCCTGAGCGCAGTGTGGTTGACAACAGCTGGTGAGTATACATGTCAATTCAGGTTTGAGCGCATAGCTTACACCTGCAGGTCTTATCTACAACCCCTTGGGTGCTTGGCTTCATGACAAGGTCAACTCGCGGCGCCGTATGTACATTACCGGTTTTGTTGGAATCATTGTCACCACTTCCTGTTTGGCTGCAATGACTGCCGAATACGCCGGCACAACAAACAAGGCCGGAAACGCCTTTGGTATTCTTTTCATATATCTCTACCTGGCGTTCCAGGGGTAGGTTTCTCCGCAGTGCTTGTGCTGTGCGACACTAACCGATGCACAGAACTTTCTGCGACACGACCATGTATCTCTATGTCTCTGAGATCTTCCCAACCGAGATCAGACCCATCGGCATGGGATTCTCTCTTTTCGGGCAGTTTGCCGGTATATTCATTTCGGTTGTGTTATGGTCTGACAGCAACTGACGACGATGCAGCTACCTTGATCTTGCTTGAGACTGCCCCTATGGGCTTCAACAATATTGGCTGGAAATACTACCTTGTCATCATCTGCTGGTCTGCATTCTTCATTCCAGGTAAGACTAACACGCAACTGCTCGACGGACATCCAGCTAATGCCTCAAAAGTCATCTACTTCTTCTTCCCGGAGACAGCCCGCTTGACTTTGGAAGAGATCGCGAAGAACTTTGGTGAAGAAGTTGCCGTTCATCTCACCGACGCGACCGACGAAGAAAGAGCCCAGCTGGAGCGAACTTTTGTCGACAAGACAAGCAGTGTGCCATCTGAGCCGACTGAGCCGACCAAAGTGTTTGAGGCAAAGGCTGCTTAGAGTTGGATATTGACCTTGGACATCAGTTATCGATCATTGACATTCATTATATAGTAAGGGTATTTCTGGCTGAGAAATACGCCGCTTACTGACTTGAATATAGTTGATTTCGCTTCGAAGTCAGCTTTACCACATGTCTGTACCGAGCTCCGCCTCGAGGATGGATCAAACATACATCATATTATAACATTGCAGTTTTTGCTTGAGTGACGATGGTCATTGGATAATGCGGGCGAAGTTGCACCATTACTTTCCTTTCCTATTGATAGAAGTGATACCTATACCCTCTTTGATGTGTACACATATTGATTTTCAGGATGAAGAGAAGAGCTCGGAGTCTGTTTCCAGGCAGCCAGGAGACTATTTTTGCGCCGAGAAACCAGCAGGATTAGATTAACCCAGGGAATTGAAACCCAAATGTCTCACAATTCTGCAGTCACACATCCCTGATGCTCAACGGCCAAGGCTGCAGAATTCGGCCCTCGGCGCTGATCATTCTTATTGTCCAAGTTTGAGTCAGCAACCATTCCTTCATCCTTAAATCGATAGAGCTCACCGGATCTACATCGTGATTTCCTTCTTGAATGTAGAACTGTCGAGCGGTCTAATATTCATAGCATCCAAACAAGGGACTAACCATGCTGTGAAGAACACATCCTTCTTGGCGAGGATATTCTTAGCATCGCCACTATACAAGTGACCTCATGTCTCACTTGATGTGGAGAAAAAACTGGAGAAGCATGATACTATCGCCTCGACTCTCCAGACCCTCAATCCTCGGTTGGCCTCCGAGACATAGGGGAACATGGAGTATATAAGGAGCTTCAGGACCTTCTGCATATAGTATCTCAAGATCAAGATCAACACCCTCTCATCTCAGCGAAACAATACGGAGTCAACCTACAAAACTACAAGCCATCAAAATGAAGCTCACCACCGTCCTCTCTCTCGCTCCCCTTCTCGGCGCCGCAACCGCCCAGGGACAACAAGAACCCTTCACCCTCAACGTCCGCTGGTCCAACAGCATGGGTACCCTTCAGGGCCCCCTGAACGCCAACGCCGGCGCCTTCTGGATCGGCAAGCCTACCTCCTCCTTCTGCCCGGAGACCGTCAAGGACTGCCCAGCCGCCGTGAATACCACCTCGTTCGTCGCTCAGGGCTCGAAGCTGTTCCTCAACGCCGCTGTGCCCGGCGGTCAGCAGGGTATGTCTCCCCCCCATTCGCCTTATTGCCCCATAGTATTTGGCAGCGTTAGCTAAATATCTGTGTACACAAAGTCTACTTCTCCCCCGAGGGCCAGTTGACCTACACAATCCCGCACAGCGGAAACATCCCCGACGGCTCGCTCACCGACCTCCCCATCATGAAGGACGGCTTCCTCAACCCGTTCCTGACGCTGTGGCTGTGCAGCGCCGACAAGGACGCCAAGCAGTGGCAGGTTTGGGCCGAGTACACGAATGGCACTACGGGTGCGATCACCAACAATGGCTCCAATGGGCAGAATGCTTGCACGAGGATGTCGCTCGAGGCAGAGCCGTATAAGGGAGATAAGGCTTGGGAGTTCTGAACTAACTTATGATGCTTCTAGCTGAGCTGTTGGGTTAGTCGAGTCTAGCGGAGCCGTTGGATGCCAATTGTAAGATATTAGATAGTTAGCGAGTTACAGTAATAAGATCGATTTTTAGTGTTATTGCTATAGTTTCCTTTTTTAAATGACCATGATAAGAATGCATATAGGCATTCAAAGTAGATGAGGAGTCTGTAATCTACAGCTAGTTAAGGCTACCTATGGCCTATATTTTGATCACATTATTGTTGGATTGCCAACGGGATTCTGTCGGCACCGCAAGTATAGTCGACTTGAGTAACATGATATTATAATATCGTCGGCGGCTGTCCATGTTGACTCATCTAGAAACCTCCGCATGGGCCAAATCGGGCATCAAGATGTCTAATCAAGATCTACACAGTAATGAGATTCCCACAAGGTATCAATGACTCTTACCCCAATAAGCCTGGAAAAGGTTTCCGTTCATCCGGGAGTCATTCGCGGAATCCTTGGGCAGCATGACACTTGATGGAGGGTAGCACAATGCTACGGGTACGCCACAACCCGGAATAAGGTGCTGAATAGGACAATTAAAGTTTGGAGAGCACAAAGGCCGGCAGATCTCGTCGGATAAGGAATGGCATCATGTCGCAGGTCGAGATCATTCGATAGATAGCTGGAAACCGGGATCCTTCCTGCTCGGCCGACAGAGATTCAAAGCAAACTCCAGAGTCTTCACTTGCCGAGAGCTCTCCAAATGACGAGAGACAAGAAAAGGGAGGATCCGCACCTCTCCGTGGTGTGGAAGGGCGATTTCCCAGAGGGGAATCCTCGGAGGTTATGTGTTCTAATAAGCTCTCGGGAACGGGATAATGTCGTGGCGAGGCTCGTAGTACGTAGCTGTTTGAAGTTCAGACAGGCGCAAGGAGCTGGGATGATCGGCTGTGCGTGTGAGACAGAATACGACTCGCATATGACACGGACCGTGATGGCCAGTAGGCCAAACGCGTTCACATGACGAGCTTACTTATTGCCCAATATCCCGATGTTTTCGATCAGTAGCTCGAAGAAAGGGCTATTTTTGCTGTCACTTATGATCTTTAAAAATAGTCTAGTCGTCACGACTCTGCTTACTGACAAAAAGCCGGCCTACCAAAGAGAGTTATCGCTTTCAGCGACGACCATGGAAACAAGCTCAAAGAAACCCATGGCAGAGATGACAGCCAATGGCTTCGACGGCTGTGCTCAGGCCCACCACCAGGACGACGGCGATCTCAGAAAGCAAGATCGGCCATCTGCATTCGAGAATCAAGGATATTGTTTCAGTCCCACCGATCCTGCAGGATTGTCATTGACAATCATCTGAATCAGGTCAACCAAGGTGGTGAGGCCGCAGTGGATGATGAAAAGTTGATAACGCAAGAGTGGACCACCGATCGCATTGAGCGTTACATTGACTTTGGAGGAACACAGAAAGCACCAGGTGCGACTCCTACCATGCGACTGTGAGTCTATGACCTTGGAGGCTTAAAGCTAATTATCAACGGGTGCCAAAGGCAAGTCCTCGCCGCAGTTACTCCTGAGAGTCTCATGGTAGATGATTGATTATTTATGGGGCCAGAACAGTGAATCGTTACTAGGATTCCGGCCCCCACTAAAATACCCGAAGGCCCCCCTGAGTCCAAGTTTTGGTTGCAGTTGACGACTATTGGTTAGATACTTCTGCTGCAGGGCATGCATGATATGTCCTCTTCGAATCAGAGACAAGCAGCCAGACACTTCTTTCAGCATAGACTCGGCATTAGGCTGCTTTAGTTTCGCACAGAGATGCCACTAGAATAATTGGCCGATAGCGGACATGCATAATTGGGATGGGGAAGAATCCAAGCTTGCATCGAGGATATAGATAAGTGGTAGAAAGCGAAGGAAGTCAATGGAGGATTGCCCCAATACATAACACTATTGCTTGTCGCGACTCGAGATGGTGCGGTAGAACCGCAGACGAGAATCTGGATCCGAACATCATTTGTTAGCAACCGTGGGGAGAGTGGCCCACTGTTCCCAGTCAGACACGGGTACGATCGGGGCTTCAGGCAAGTGGGAACTGAACGCCTCGAGTTTTCCAGGCTCGAGTCGAATCACGAATAAGAATAGCCGAACGAGGCATTTTTCCCTCTCACGCATTTCTGGGATGCGGATTCTGGACCAGTAGCAATCAGTTGAGCCCGTGTGGTTAGCGATGCACAGGGTAACCTCCACTGACTGGACTAAGGTACTCATAGTCATGGATCATCTTGCCAAATAATAATCATCCACGAGGCACCAGGACCACGAGGCGAAATTGGCACAGCATGATCACCCACTAGGGTCGATCATTATGATCATACCGTCATTCATCCTCCTCCATTAGCAATAGCTCAGGTCCTGAACGTCGAAACTGGTTTAGGGACTGGTTCTGGAATTGGAACTGGGCGCATACGGATTGACTCCATCTGGTGAGGCTGATCGTCGAATTCCAAGGACAGAAGTTGAGTTTGTCGGTCAATAATAAGACTTGGAGAAAGACAAGGGGTGAGTCGGGTGAGGAGTGAGGACCGCAGGTGGGAAGAGAACAACAAAGTTTGACAATCTTCCGTAAATCTTAAATGGGCTGTTAAGAGGTAGGTACCTCGTAATAATAATAATAATCGTAAAAGTAAGAACAATGGACTTATGATGAAGGCTTGAAGCCGAGCTGAGCTCAGTACTCCGATACAGCGGTCAGGGACTGACTCCCCAGAATTGTCCCCTCCCCCCCAAGAAAAAGAAAAGTAAGTGATGAGCATGAGCTTCCTGCTCTTCCCCCGCCAGATCCGGTGATTCGCCGCTCATTTCTCTTTCTTTCTCCGACACAACGACATAACCTCCTCCTCGCTGCAAGTGATTGCAACTGATTCCCCCTCGTTATTATCTATCTATCTAATGCTTCTCATCTATCTACCTCTCAATATCCTTCCATCCGATTCTTGGTACTTTTGAATGGTGTGCCACTAAGTTTGCCGTAAAAAGTATCTCATCATCCCGGTCTATGTTTTGCTTCTGTCGGGATTTCTAGCTATGATTATTACCGTTCGAATCGATCGTTAAATTGTGCCCCGATTTTGGCTTATTATTATTATCATTATTTTATTATTATCCTCCGGTCAAACCGCTGGTCTCCTCTACTTCCTCCCACATCCTCAGCTTCATGTCGCTGCCTTTTAGTTCGGTATCGTGACTCTCCTTCTCATGGAGATGCATACAGTGGTGTTACCCCCGGAAAGCCTGCTCCTCCGCCAACTGCACAATCGCAGCCTGTCGCGGCTCCTGCGCCGGAAAAGAAGAAGCGCGTGCGTCGATGGCATCGTCGTGGGTTTACAGGTTGTTTAACCTGTAGGCGACGTCATGTTCGTTGCGACGAGGCCTCTCCTTCATGCAAGAATTGTACACGGTTAGGTCTCGATTGCGATGGGACTCAAGGTCGAATGACTTTCAAAGTGTATGGCCCATCGCAAGGTGCGCAAGACTTGTCCCAGAGTCCGAACAATATCAGCACGGCAAATGCAATAACGGTCAAAAATCAGCAATTCGATATCAAGCATGTCAAGCAGGAGCCCCAGGACGATAAGGATGATCTGGTTGATGGCATAGTGATTTCTCCGACGACCATTAGCGACTCGACTCCCGTCAAATATCGATTCCAAGATCCCATGTCTCCTTCAGGCTTCATGCCCTCGTCGTTAGACCTCGTAGAGGGCCGCTATTATACCCATTTCATCGAACAGGTCGCAACGCTGCTCCTTATTTACGATAATTCAAATAGCATCAACCCGTTTCGACAATACTTTCCCGAACTCGCTCAGTCGTCACCATCCGTGGCAAGCGCCATGCAAGCGCTTGGTGCGTTGCACCTCGCAAATACGTCGGCCGGCCCAAAGCGCAATGTACATTTTCAACAAGCAATGGGCAAATATGGAGAGGTGGTCAAGACCTTTAGGACGAGGTACACACATCCCGACCACGAAGTTCAAATCACAGACTTTGCGACTTGTCTCTTGCTGTCTTTATTTGAGGTAGGTAACTCCGCAACTACACCCGTCAGCTCCTGACTTAACCTTATCTGATTTAAACTAGATGATGGATTCTGGACATGATAATTGGGCAATCCATCTCAAAGGCGCTCGCGAGATCTACAAATCGTTATTTTTATCGAAGAGAAGCGACCCTGCAAAAGAGGCCCAACGGCTAGCGGAATCGAATCATCCCCTTCGACATTTCCTCATTTCCCTTCTCTCCTATCTCGACGTCGCGGGCGCATGCAATACCAGTGAAGGCACAGTAGTGGAAGGAAGCTACTGGAGGACACACGGAGGCGGATGGGAATACAATCTAGGCACCCCGAGTCTGTCATCGCCCACACCCGGTGATGACCGGTTGAACGAGCTTCGGCAATGCTGGTCCATCATGATGGAGATTCAAGCCGACATTAGCGCTTTTGGAAAAGCGAAACATGAAAAGTGGCTCACGCCTGCGCAACAAGACGTCATTTACGGTGACTTGTTGAACCGTCTCGTTCAATGGCGCGCCGATGCACCGCAATGCATCCAGCAGCTAGGCGAGTTAGACGACGAGAGCCTACAACAATACCAATACCCGGAAGTTATGGAGTATGCCGGATGTATCGAGGCCTATGAGAAAGCGACGATCATCTTCTTGCACAAAGTGGTCGCGGCTGAACGTCCCGATCGTCCTCCCCAGACACCGTTCCTGCAAATGCTGGCCACTCGCATACTCAGTCTGATCAAGAAGCTGGCGAGAGATGTGGGTCAGCTGGCCGTGATGTGGCCCCTCTTTATTGCAGGGCGAGAAACCCGAGATGAAATCCAGCAGAAGGCAGTCCGCCAAACAATGGTTGACTGCAAGCGGTTCGGCTTCAAGGCACGTCGGCCCGATACCCCGTTGCTCAAGATGACACATGAGCTAACTCGTGATATAGAATGTCGATAAGGCCCTCGAAGAACTAGAGAGAGCCTGGTTTAAACAACGCGCGTTCCCGGAGGGTTGGGTCGACAGGATGGATGATATTCGCACATCGATCCTTCTCCCGTAGATGGCTCTAGGCCACTGGATTCTCGGCGCCACGTTTTTGGGGGATGCTTCTTGGTACTGGTACCGGCATGCCTCGGACGGAAAATTTCAGTTGATTCGTTCCTTTTATTAGCGATGTGTGGGTTGTTCGGATTGTTTTTCTCTGGCGGGCGTTAGGTTGGGCTGGGCCCCTCACGACTTGATTCACGGATTTCGCTTCCCAGTTCGATTCTCATTTGTGGACATTTGGTGTCTGGTTATCGTATATAGGACTGTTATTTACTAGCGGGACGGAAGGACGGACATATGGGTTCATTTACGGAATGGGAAATAAGGAATAGACAAGGTGGCTTTGTTCACCATTACCACATTAGCGCTCTCAAACTTGATTTTTTTTTTTTCTCACGCTATATTACATACGTTACTGAAACGCTTCTGCAGCCAACCAAAATGAGGGCTAAATAGGAGTATATACTACTTTTTGGATAATGTACAGTCGACCCCGTTCAAATAGGTACTTTTTTCACTGAGACGCAGTTCCCTCATGTTGTTCCCTTCTTGACGAACCGACCTCCTCTACCGTCTCGGAGACGGCACCCTTGCTGTCAATGAAATGCGAGATACGGTTCCGGGGTAACCAGGCGTCCTCAGGCATGACGAAGTACGAGATGAGAGCGAGGATCGTCACGCCTGCCATGATGATGGGGGCATCTATTCAGACAAAAGACATTAGTATAACTAGCACGGTCTGAAAATAGAACGAGCAAAAAGGATGCGGTATCTTACAGTTGAGATTCTCCCCCGTCACGGGAAACGCGTATGGAGAGAACAGGATGGCAACGACCCAGGCGTTCCAGAAGACGCCGATGAACTGGAAGGGCTTGCTTAGGCGGCCCAGACTCCACTTTGGCTTGGGGAAGCGCTTGGGCGTGCAGAGGAGGCGGCCGAGGCAGATGAGACCGTATGCGGCGGCGCTGGGGACACCGGCTGCGGAGACGAGGGATGTGAAAGCCACGCTTGATGGGAGGAGGGTACAGGTGACGAGGGCGGCGACGGTCCAGACGACGACGACGGCGTTGCGGGGCTGGCCGTTGTGGACGCGGGAGACCCAGCCGGAGAAGGGGAGGACTCCGTCACGGGCGACGGCGAAGACGAGACGCGAGGCGGCGACGATGGCGATGGCTGTGTTCTGCGGAGGGGTCAGAGTGTGCTTTGGGGGTGGTATGATGAGTGGGAGACGACTTACAAGCCACAGAGCTACAATGCAGATAATGTTCATGAAGACGTGGCCGCCTTTGCCGAGGACAACGGCGTATAGAGACACAAAAGGCTGGGGAGAGCCGAATGAGAAGAGTGTATCGGCGTCCGGCTGGAAAAAAGGTCAGTATATCCTATGCGTAACATGAATGGGGGAGAAATCGAACCGCGCAGAAGAGGAAAAGGATGATAGTCGCCAATCCGCCGACTCCACTTGCGACTGTACTCCAGAAGATACCACGAGCGGCTGTGACAGATGCGTTCTTGGTCTCTTCCGCGACGTGACCCGAGGCATCAAATCCAATCAGAATACCTGCAGTTGCCAGGTAGGAAAGACACCAGTTCCAGGCTGGCGGGGCCCCGGTACCGTTGTAGGTGGACATGAAGGCTTCGTGGGCAGACCGGAAGCCCCAGGTGTCGTGAGCGCCGATCGGAAGCCAGATGATGTTCAGCACGAAGTCCAGCAAGACCATCGAGGACGATAGGTAGAAGACGAATCGGAAGTATTTGGCTAGAAGAATCAGTACAATCTAAACAAGGATTATATCACGATCAGTTGGAGTTACGCACGAGGCAAGAAATTGAGCAGTGCAGCCAATGCGAGCAAGATCTCGGTACAGATCCATTGCACTGCCCGAAATTTGACATCACTAGTGTCAGTGGGAAAGTCGACGTTGAAGACTGTCAACTCCTGTTAAAGATAGGTCAGCTCGGCCCCTGACTACGTGGTGAACACACTTGCGAGCTTACCGAGAGCATGTAGTTCACAGCGGCCTGAGTGTTACTGGCGCAAAAGGTAGTCCAGGCAGTGGTACTCCACCAAGCAACGGTGAAACCAAGAAGTCTTCCAAATCTAGGACCGCCAGCTTCGGCAGCCCACAGATAGATTGAGCCTGCAGACGGGGACGCAGAGCATACTTCCGCGATGACCGCGGCGGTGATGAATGTGAAGACCATAGTAACCAGATAGCTCGTCCTACTCATTGTGAGTTTTCCATATATCGCAAAGAGGGGGTTCTTGTCTTACCAATAAGCTAGATTACCACCAGCTGCAATACCAGTACTGAAAGTCACACGAACTCCACCAACGAAGTAGAGCGCAGCTGTTCATGGTATGTTAGCGATGTCATGGAAAGAGTGCTTCGATAAGAGCATATCTCACCAAATGTCGTCGAAAAGCTCTCAAGGAGAGTGTACGTTCGATGAAGCACCTGAGATTGTTGTAAGCACCAAAGCTACACCCTATTATATTGTGGATCAGGACTCATACTGGCTTGTAGCCCATCGATTTCTGCAATCCGAGTCAGTATTGATATTATCACTATTATTATTGCAGTCCATCTCCTTGTTGCAAGAGTAAAAGAGTCTATCCACTAACCAAGAGAGCCGCATCATCTTGCGAACTTGTTTCGCTTCTGTCTTGTTCACCAATGACAGGGACCTCATCTGGGTCGACCAGAAGGTCTGAATGGTTTTGGGTCGTGGGAGCCATGACTGTTGTAACGCCTTGACGACAGACCTCAAATATTGACAGTGTCCAAAACCCTCACTCCTGAGGCTCGAAGAATACAAGAAGAAAGGAAAAGTCAAGATCGAAAAAATTCCGATATGTTATCGTCTCTTCGTAGATGATTTGAGTTTTGTGGATATCTTTTGCACGTCCCGCCAGGAACTGCCAACCCCACTGTTAGCGGCGATGAAAAGTTTAAAACGGCAAAAGGATATGCAGGAGAAAGTCCTTGGTTCGTTTTGGAGGGTTCAAAGCCTCCAATATGCCGCGAACTAATGGACAACTTTTGCTTGCCGAACGAGCAAGGGCCTGGAAGAAAAGTCTTCACTTACTCGCTACCCAGGACTACTACTTGGATCCTTGTCTTCCAAGCTTCGATTCGGCCCCGGAGATGTCTGGTCCGCAGGAGATTCAACGACCGAGCACGCTAAATACGAGGCTAGGGACGCTGAGGCCAGAGCACTGCTTTTTTTTTCCGTTTTCCACCCAAAAAAGCCAAGTGGTGGAGTCTCCAATCAGAGCTCACTGGATGGAGCGCAAGTCCATGGGTCATAACTGGGTATCTGTCCCTTTAGGATCAAACCTTTTGCATCCTCAAAATGAGCGACAAATGAAGCCAAGGGGAGATTCTGTCATTTGCTTTTTTCAGGCCTGTTGGATTGGCTCATTGCCATTGGTGCTTTTTCGCCATTATGCCTGTCGAAAGGACTGGTTTGAGCATCATCTTGAGGTCCTCAGATCGAATGACAAGAGCTGGACAGCTGCGGGACCAAGACTGGTTGAGCTGATCACATCATCGACAGTTATGGCCCCACCAGTCATGAAAGACAGGACAGCTTGAGAGCATTAAATCCATCTTTGATTATGCAGTATAGTCATACGATGGACTCAACTTGGATTGAATTGCAACAATTCAATGGAACCATCATCTTCAGTGTCATTTGTGCTAAGAGGGAAGAACACAACTGATGTCGTGCAAAGTATTAGATCAATATAGATCACGTGATATACACCGAATATCAGCTGTCCTACAATCAATCAACGTTCTCTTGGCCCTCATTCATTGACATCTGGATTGGAAATGCACATTAGGAGGATCCTCCTACTACCTACAACCCATCTTTGAGCTCAAACATTTGACTCTCTAACTGTTACTGAACAACAGATACGCTCAGCAAACTCGCCAATAAGCCTGAGGGTGGTATGTGCAAATCACCTTCCTTTTTCTGTGCATATATTGGTTGGAAATTGTACATTTTGGATCAAGTTTGCCGATCCACTTCCTGTCCGAAGCCTCTCTTAGCTTGATATACTGCCTTGGTTTCTGCTTAGAGGCACCTGATATATGTAGCTCGGCCGGGTTTGTACGTAGGAGATCATGATGTAGCCGTCTACACATGTCTCGAGGAACGCATTCAATTACCCGGAATAATCTGGAAAGAAACTAGCATTGATCTCATGGCAGACAAAAACTCTTGTAATATACTGACTATGTCATGGTGTATATAGAGCATGCAAGGCATATACAACAGATGTAAAACAAACAACGACTCATATCAAATAAATCAAAAAACAAAGATTCCTGTAACACTTTCACTTGCGTGCCTCAAGTCCAGCTTTGATGGCTATACCTAGTTAGAATCGGCCCTAAAGTTGACAAGAAGAAAACTCACCGTCACAAGACGCTTTCGCATCTCCAAACAACATCCTCGTACCAGGCATGTAGAACATGGGGTTGGGAACGTCGGCTATATTCTCTTAGTGATACGTTCCGGATAGCGTGAAAGAAAGAACTTACCATATCCGCTGGACATGCCGCGCTTCATCACAATGACTTCCTTGCTCTTCCAGGCATGCAGGACAGGCATGCCGGAGATCGCAGAGTCGGGCTCCAAGGCGATGGGGTTGACGGTATCGTTTGCACCGATCACCAGCGTGACGTCCGTGTCCGGGAAATCGTCGTTTATCTCGTCCATTTCGAGTACGACTTTGTCGGGGTCAGCGTTATTATGGGGGACCTCGAAATGTGTGGTGGGACTTACTGTCATATGGCACTGAAGCTTCAGCGAGAAGCACATTGCATTGTCCGGGCATGCGGCCAGCTGCAGCATCAGGTCAGTCAACTATCCTTCTAGGACCCGCCGAGATAGCCTGAGGTGAAGGATACGTACCAACTGGATGGATGGCAAATCGTACTTTGACGCCTTTAGCACGCAACATTCGGACGATTTCTGCAAGCGCGTATTGGGCCTTGGCCACAGCCATGCCATAACCGACCACCTGGAGCACTGTGAGCGTCGAGCATTGAAGAGTCAACATCAACATACAATAATCACGCTCTCTGCATTTGATAGGGTTTCCACCGTGTCATCCACCGTAACCTGAGTAACCTGGCCCTCGATCTTCTTCTGCCCTTGTTGAGGGGCCGCAATGCCACCAAAGAGAACATTGGTAAGAGATCGGTTCATAGCGACACACTAACCCTAGTCAGTGAGATCCTCAAATAAGCACATAAAGGGACTGACCATGATGTATGACAAGATCGATCCGCTGACCCCAATCAACGATCCAACGCTGGTGAGTAGTGGATTGTTGAGCATAAAGCCTTCTGCAACCAGAGCGAATCCCGAGTATGCATTGAGAACGGTGATGACAACAGCTTCATAATGTTAGTTTTTCGCTCCAATGTGAGGGCGACTGGACATACGCATATCAGCTCCTCCAATGGCAGCAGTGGTCGTATAGCCTTTCAGGAAACTTAGGACGGTATTCGCACCCAAGCACGTAGCAGCAATGAGCGGCGATGCAGGGCCCATCGATACGAAAGCTCCCATTGTCGCCAGGTTCGTCCCAAGCAAAGTCGAATTAATAACGTGGCGGCCGGGAAGTATCGTGGGTTTTGACGACAGGCGGCCTGCAAGCTTCAGGAAAGCTACAATGGAACCAGTAAATGTAACACCACCTGTCCAGTATCAGTAGTGTATCAATCACCAGAATCTGAGCTAATACCAATGAGAACACCAAGATACGCAGTCACCATATGCAAGGTTGAAATGTCACCAATGTCGGCCATCACGCTTCCAATACTTGTGAGGACAGCAGCCAGACCGACGACTGAGTGAAGGGCAGCCACAGTCTGAGGTAAGCTAGTTGGAGTAATGCGGCGCCCAATTAATGCTCCTGTAAGAATGTGAGCCAAACACCTGTAGTAACCATAGATACTCAGCCGAAACAGGCATAAAGAACGTACCGACTAGAGCACCGCCGCCAGCCATTGCTCCGAATTGAGCCAAGACCTCTGGTGAAAATCCTACAGCAGCAAGAGATGCAAGTATACCAGAAGCAACTCCTAGAATACCAAGGATATTTCCACGGCGAGCAGTTTGCTGGGAAGCAAGGCCAGAAATTGAGCCTGGTCGCCTTTAGTACACGGATCGGAAAGTTCGACACAGCTCCACTTACTGATGCAGAGAAGAGTGCTGACGAGATAGCCAGCGCTCACTAAACCAGCCATTCCAGTGCTAGCTGCTGCTATGAATCCGCCACCGAAGATAACAGCTGGTATCGCGTAGAGCCATGGATATTCGGGCGGGTCAGTCGGGCCTACAGGACGGTAAGTGCTTCATCTTTTTAATCAGAGGTGGAAGACTGACGCTTGAACATGTCTAGCATTCGCTTGGTAATAACAAAACCTCCAGCAACGTTCATTGATGCCAACAGGACCGAAACCGCTCCGAGAGCTTCAGGGATCGTGCTAGGCGTATAGCCTCCACCCATGACGAAAAGACCACCGATGCCGACCATGCCTAGAGTCCATGCGTGAGGATGCTACAGTAACGGGTTTCTGGAATAAGATGCCTGCTCACCTGAGATTGCATTTGTCACACTCATCAAAGGAGAGTGGAGAGCTGGAGCAACACCCCATACAGCACGATAGCCGACGAGACCGGCAAGCCCAAAGGTCATCATGTTGCTCATGAAAATGGGACCAGTGGCTTTTCCCAGAGCAAGTGCCGTTCCCATACCAGCTGTAACACTTGCAACATCGCGAGTAGCCTTTTGCCAGGGTGTGAGTGATAACTCGGCTTGTCCCTTGGCTGCAGTTGCCGCAGCTGCCGGCTTAGGTGGCGGTGGTGCTGGTCGTGGAGCTGGGGGCAATATCTCGCCGCTGAGGGTGACAATAGAGCCGCGCACAACCTCGTCCGACAGGTCTATGCCGAACGATTTCTCCTGCGGTGCCATGGATAGAAGGAACTTGGTGATATTGTTCGAATATAGTGTGGATGCTTGGGTCGGTAGGCGTGACGGAAAATCAGTATACCCTGAAATGGTCAGCATGGATTTTACTGAGATCGGACAGGGTTGAAGTCAAACTCACCAATGACAGTGACACCGTTGTAATTGACCAATTGTCCTGGAACCGTTGCTTCACAATTACCACCAGCCTCAGCTGCAAGATCAACAATGACAGATCCAGGTTTCATGGCAGCGATCATCTACTATGAATTAGCTCGTGCCGCAAGGGACGAGGTTGTGAATCATTCAGACCTCCTTGGTAATGAGTTTTGGTGCCGCCTTGCCTGGAATCAGTGCTGTAGTGATAATGATATCAACATCACGGGCCTGTTCCATGAAGAGCTTCATCTCCGCGTCATAGAATTCCTTGGACATTTCCTTCGCGTATCCGCCCTGGCCAGCGCCTTCTTCCTGGATCTCGACCTCGATGAATTCGGCGCCTAGAGATTGAACCTGCTCACGGGCAGCAGAGCGCGTATCGAAGCCACGGACAATGGCACCTAAGCGGCGGGCCTATGCATCGTTGGTAGAGAACTTTGACTGTCACGCAGGGCGGACCTACCGCAGCGATGGCGCTCAAACCAGCCACACCAGCACCAATAACCAAGACCTTACTAGGAGGTATCTAATGCAACAATCAGTAACAGCTCCCTTTTCGTGGAGGTGAACAACCTTTCTAAGAAGCATGGGTTAGCAGGTCAATATCTCAATCGGTTCCGCATCTCTTACCCAGCAGCTGTAACTTGACCAGTTAAGAAACGACCAAAGTGGTTCGACGCTTCTAAAACAGCCTTATACCCGGCGATATTGGCCATAGAGCTTGCCTCACCGTTAGCATCCATCAACTATCTTTTGATCCCGCCTGCTCGTAAGCCCGTTGTAACTCACCTGAGGGCATCGAATATCTGGGCACGAGAAATCCGAGGTATCATATCCATGGCGAAGGCCGTGACTTCGCGTGACGCAATAGCCTCTACCAACAGTTTATTCTGGGCAGGATACAAGAACGAAATCAGGGTGCTTCCCTGGCGAAGGGCTTCGACTTCATCTATGGGGCCCTCCTGTCGGGGACTACGGACTTTCAAGACGATGTTACTTTCGGACCATACAGCGGCTCGGTTGACCAGGGTCGCTCCGGCTTGTTCGTAGGCCTGGTCATGGATCTGGGCTTGTTCGCCGGCACCGCGCTCGACTAGTATGCGCGAGAAGCCTTTCTTTAGTAGCAAAGTCACATTCTGCGGTGTGAGAGCCACGCGGCGCTCGTTGGGCCATGTCTCGCAGGGGACGCCAACAGTCAGCGAGGAGTATGGGACAACGGGTACATTTGACGGGGCAGAGGCGCTGCTCGCGGTTCTCTTGGTGATTTGCGGCCACTGAGGGATGAAAGGGAGCTTATGGTCGTTGCTCTGGCGAAGTAGGTAGTATACCTGTCGTGCCTGAACCGCTGAAAGTTCAAGCAGAGTTAGTACTCTAATAGCAGACCCTCTAGTACCAAGAAAGCTGCTTACAAAGATGGTTCAGTGAGAACAATGACTTCCCTAGGTGGGATCTGCAAGCCGTCCGAGACGGCCCCAGAGCCGACCGCAGGGTCAAAGGCACACTCATCGTCAAGAACAACTACTCGAGGATATAGTGTCGTGAGCCGTCCGACAGAGATATCATTCCTGGAATTCTCAACCCATCGACAGAGGCAAGGGCGTGAACTGCAAAGCAAAGGTGAGATGGAAGGGAGGGGAAGATCGGTGGTAAATAGTGCGGAGTCGACGCGGATAAGTGGTACCCGACCTATACAGGGATGAAGGAAGAGGTCAATCCGCGAATCCTAGAACTGATTGGAGTAGGTTGCCTACCTTTTGATACGCGCTGTGACTCTGGTTACTTGGCCCCGGTCTAGCGATAGGAGCAACGCAAATCGAGAACGAACATTGGATGGAGTCTGAACGGACTCCCGCAAAGAAGGGGGAGAAGACTTCGGCGTTGCTGGGCGTGGCGGGGAAATAATGATTGATCAGGCGCGACACAAAGAACGAATTCCACGAGTGAATCCTCAGGAAGAGGTGTGATCAATCAGGATAGGTCATCCTGATTGGTGTGCAGCGCCCCCGTACTGTACATAATTCGATCGATGCAACAGTGGCTGCCACGCATAGTATCCAAATATCCCTATTATTTATTCCCTGCAAGCTCAACAAGAGAAAATGAGGGGAAAGCTGGGGATCATGTGGGGAAGTTGCCGGAGGCACTCCACTACTATTTTTACTATGCTATGGATCCACACAATTACTGAGCATTCATTATTTAATGGTCATCAAAATGACACTGCCATCAAAGTCCTGAAAAATGAATGTTTGAAACGGATTTGAAATGTTAACACGCTCTACAAATGTCAAGCTCCAAACCTCTAAGACCTACCCGAAATCATCCCGCAGGTGATACAAACCCCCACAGTCCCGTCGTACTACGCCGATAAGGCAGCCAGTTTGAGGCAGCGCCAGGCAATATGCATCTTGTGGCTTAGCCCTGCAGATATGTCGCTTATATAATATCTTGACAGAAAAGACTGCTCAAGCTCCGCGGCGAGACATATATCGGTTTGAGGGTTCGAAGATTGTAGACTTCTGCATTCCTTCGGCCATAGGGACTTGACGCCAACCAGCACGAACTAGCATGGGAGGTGTTTCGCGTGGAGGTATAGAGGGAGGCGGCAGAAAATGCATCGAGCCGTTCAAGATGAGTATCAATCCGACACGCTTTGAAGCACACAGTGCCATGCTTCTATCTCCATACATATTTCAAATAGTTCTAAATGTGGCTTTGGATGTTCTCGAACGACGCCAATGAGCGCCTAGCACTACAACTGAACAATGAAGACCGAAGCGCACGATTCCGAGATACACGAAGATTCAAGACCGAGGAAACTATGTGTGAGGGTAGCCAGTTTCAGCCGTTGAGGACTCTCACTCTCAGGGCTTGATCATGACCAAGACAGTTGTTGTTGACTTATAGTCGCCGTAGGAGCTGAGATGGTCGAAATAGTTGTAGGTTCTGAAGGAATAAACGTAGTATGCCTCTGGTAACACAACGGTTCCACAAGAAGGGCGACAGAGCATTTACCCTGGTATATAGACGTGTGTTCCGATCAACTCATGGTGCATATAAGTGGTACATAGTAGCGTGGCAGAAGAGCAGGAAAGATGAGCATCATGATATCTATAGGCAAGATTGGCGAGCATAGAGAGCGTTCTGAGACATCATTCTTTTGTCAAGACAGGACTACAAATCAGCTCAAACAGAGGGCATCTACCACGCAAGAAATATGACGTAGTGAATCTGCAGCGTCTACACCATAAAGCAACCACAGGACGTCAAAGCGATCTTCCTTTTGCGGATATCAACAGACAGCGCATGAGCTTCCATTAGCAAACAGAACGAAAACCTTTAGCCAGTCCAGCAAACGGATTTCCCAAGTTGTGTTGCGGAACTTAGAAGGTAACATGGACAATCAGTTGAAGAGACCATGGCTGTAGAATATTCATCAGGATAATGATCCCTGTGGTCATGGCTGGTATGGCAGGCCAACTTCGCTAACTGTCTGATTGTCTACGACGATTGATAATCTAAGGTAAATTGTACGCGAGAAAACGAACCAGAATAATCTTCATTCCAAATTCTTGCAACTCGTCATGGTAGTCGATGACAAAGAAGGACTCCAACCTCAGTCCAGGAGGCATCCAGCGATGATTGGTCCAGTCAATAGACATTATACAGTAAGAAATAGACAATAGGGTAGACAGAAGGACAGTACAGACAAAATCCAATTTCCCAAAATCAGAAAGCCGCCATTAACCAAATTAAGGAGGATATCGCTTGAGGGGTAACGCCTTTCGCCAATAAATAGAACCCAAGAATGAAGAAAAGAAATACGAAAGAAGCAAAAGGTAAAAGCCATGCTATGATCGATGGTTCCAGATGGTAGATTTCCTCCTCCCTCTCAGCATAAAGCCCATGATGCTCTTAGCGGTGGACTGTTCCTTGCCCTCCCGATTCGAGAGCTTGCTGCGCTTCAGGCTCTTCTTTCGGCTCACAGTAGACTTTCCTGCCTGATCGACTGGCTCAGGTGCATCCAGACTGTGGACACTCTCCGCTTCCGATCGAAGGCTGCTGGAGTAGGATGATTTGAAAGAATGCATAGTGGAGTTCCGCACCGGAGGGGGTGGGCGATAGCTGGTCGGTGTGGGTGCACTGCTGTTGCTGTACACAGAACCGGATCGGTCTCGGCAGAAAGTTGGCGAGGAGTAGTATGGAGTAGAATTTTGAAGGATAGGAGAAGGAGTGCGACATGTTTGTAGCGGGGATGACTGTTCAGAGCTCACGCGCATGTGGGATGCGGAGGTGGATGCTGTGCGAGTGTCCAAGCCTGCGGACGTGGAAGCGTGTCGGGTGTGCGAGAGTAAGACGCTCGCACTACTCAAGCTTCGCAACGAAGGGGGCCGTCGGAGGGATTCGGCGGGTAAACGCGAGCGTACGGCAGTATATAGTGAGGGCAGCTTCTGGGCGGGTAACGCTCTTGCGCCGGAAAATGTCCTAGAGCGAAAGCGGGGCGACAAGGGCTGGGGAATCTCGGGGACTTCGGACAGCGACTGCATCGTGGCACTAGACTTTGGCACCTCAATGCGTTTTAACTCCTTAGCCGATCCCGATGAGTGCCCGGCTACCGAGACACTGTTGCGTTTGAGCTGCTTTGCATTCGCTCTATCAGACTCGCCTGAGATAAGTAGAGGTTGAGACTTGGCTGCCTGTCTGAGCGAGTAGATACCCTTGCAAGCATCCTCATCGGAGGCGTTGCTTGAGCTATGCTTGCAAAAGGTGTCTTGCTTCTCGTCAGCCGACGCAACAGGCAGGAAATAAGATTGCTCGGGACTGATTTGAATCAAGTGAGGTTTGGCCATAGGTTCCACATATGTGACCTGCTCAGCCACGAGGACGTCGGTATCTTCCACTGAGAAGACAGAGGTGGGAGACGGCGATCTCATCGACCGAGCAGCCGATGATCCGGGCGACCCCGGGGCACATAAACAGTTGGCTGTAAGAAGATTGGTGACTGAAGTGGTGACATTTGATCCGGAGGAGGCAGCTCGATAATCACATCATCATCATCGTCCTCGTCGTCGTAGACGATGGAGTCGGTGGCAAAGGTTGCATTGCTGCTTCGCTTCACTGTATCTATTGATACGGGACGCGACTTCCTTCCTCTCGACGGGTAGGGAGCAAGCAGCCGGGCAATTTGACGGTTCTCTGGCTCAGGCTCAACGCCGCGAGATAGCTCTTCCGTGCTCATATCAGAAAACGTCCCCGTAGTGTCATCAACGGGTGAGAAAGCGTTATCGTGTCCACCATGTTCCGACTCTGATATCTCTTCCTCGTCCGACTCGTAACGTCGTGGCAAGAGCTGCTGGTTTGTGTAATCGAGACTGAGAGAATCCGCGGATTGGTACATTTTCTATGTGAATGCAGAATAAGAAGATGAGCACCCAACAGGCCAGTGAAGGAGACTTCTTCAGACAATAAGGCAAGAGATTAGTAAATGGAGAATGAAGAAGTCCAAGGGTCTCAGATCCTGAAGGTCATCAAGGGTGGACGAAGGAGTGCAGTATGTCAAAAGAGTGTGGTGATTGACCCAGGGGAACAGGGGAAGAGAGCAGTAGTTCACGGGATATAGACAAGGATATATTAATCCTGGATATTTGGATATTTTCTATCTCCTCTTGTCCCACACGGGTTGGCATGCTCTAAAGGAGTGGATCCTACCCTGGAAGGTTTTTTTTGAACAAGGAGGAGACCACCTTCGATGCCATCAGATTATACAACCGCCAAAGAGGACGGACTAACAAGAGCTCGGTCCACAGTCGGGTTAGTCAATATCAGCGCAAAAATAGGGAAAACAGCCGTTCACACGTGCACTTGAGAAGAATTGTTGCGCCTTTCTTTGCCCTCTTTCTCTTCCCCTTTTCTTTTTTTCACGCTGGGCCAGAATCAGGACCGACTATGTTGGAACTGCAATGGACAGTGCTTACGTCGGCGGTTCGTCCTTGCCTGCCTCCTGCAGGACAAGGAGGGAACCGTTGCCTCAGGATTATCCGGAGAGCAACCCTTGCATTTGGAGTTCCTCACTAAAACCCTGCATTATCGCCGAGCCCCGAATTAAAAAAAGGAAAATAAAGCTGTGAGAGTGTGAGCGTTAGGCCATTTCATGTAAAGTGTCATTTGCGCCATTCATTCAGAATCATATGGGGCACCACGAAGGTTGGAGAAAATTCGACGTATCAACGTGAGCTGTCATTTGATAGGAAATCAGAGGTCAATGCTTGCGGAGCAAAAATAGTCCAGGGATAGCGTATTCTTAATGCAAGCTCTTCGATTAGGAAAATTTTTGCGGCAACAGCTTGATTGCAGGTCTGCATTGTCCACCTCAACGGGCATAGGAAGGATCGTTTGGGTAGCGCTAACGGGCAACCCTCTCAGACATACGGATCTAAGACAGGAAGATGGACTCGGCCAAGACACGCGCTAAGTATTCGGGCCAAGAGCCGGGGCCATGTGGTAGAGTAGATAGACTGTACTACTTTGGTACGGAGGAGTAGAGAAGTTTAGATGTTCTACGCTCTTGCTGATCTGCCTGTCTTCCTGAGAAGTAAGAGTTGCGTCGCTGATGGAGAAGAAATGCCCAGTTCGAAGTATGATTGATCCACAACAGGTTCAGCGATGTGGACTGCTGGTCGAGCTGCCTTCTCGAAGGCCCGTTTGCCTTCTTAGTCGGTGATCAGTTCTCTCGTTCTCTGCCCTGATTCTCATGTCGATATCTCAAGCCACCAAATGCTCTGACCACCCATTATCATCGCACAGTTGCAATTGGATAGGTCGGGTCTCCACAAAGCCGCGTACGTACGAAGCAGTTATGCCGCAGCATTAATGCAGTACACAGATAGATGGATAATAGCAGATCATATCATACCGTTCTGGCAAAAGCTTGCCGAGTGTGATGTGTAAGATGTTCCTGACGAGTTGCCAAGGTAGACCCGCTGCTACACCATTGTGGGGCGTCTTTAACTCAAACGCACCATCATCCACCAGCAGCCCAGCGAAGCGAATTATCGCCGAGTCCGGTTTCCACTCGTTTATGGCTTGATTTTTCGATTTCTCCTTTGGCGGGCGCATATTTGTGATTTCGGCTTATTTTTGGGCACATCGAGACGACCAAAAGCTCGACAGAACAACCGAGAACCAATAGGAGATTTTGAAAGCTCCACGGTAGATAATAGCTGGATGACCTCCCTGCAGGAAATCCATCCTAACCCTTGCAGCAACCATCCAAGTGGACTCGACTCTCACCACTGACAAGCGGCAGTATGGCCAACTTCGGATAGCCCAGCCGGATACGGCGGTTTCAGAAAGTCTCAGAGTGGTTCGCTCGCAGTTTCGAACTGTGTCAAGACAGAACGACGCTGAACTTAAGCGGAAAAATAATTGAACACCAACCGCAATAAACCTAGGTAGATAATGGAAAATCAATGGAAAATCATTCAAGCCTAAGTGATCGAAGTAGAGATTCTGGCTCCGTGCCGACGTGGTCAGTAAGATAAGGTAGGGACGATACTTTTCTGCGGTGGCTGGTCGACACTCGTCCACATCATCAACTGTCTTCAGCGCCAAGTGTAACAGACTGACTCAGAAACTCTACGCTCCCTGTAGTAAGGAAATGGTTCTGACTTGCTGAACCCTCAGACCTCCCGAGAAGCGAGGAAAAAGCAGGTTGGTTTGCAGATGGTTCGTTGTAGTTACTGGCACCATTGGATTGGTACGTGTCCAACTGTGGTTGCAGTGTGAAACACCATGGTGCTCCGGTGCATATTGAGGATGTGCTTGTCCTTAATGCTGCATTTGCCAAGGACCTACGCAGGAGATAACATAATCCATCCCCTTTTGTTGTTAATCCTGATAGTCCCAATGCAGTGCTGGTTCCCCAGTTACATGATCAAGTGGATTTCTTGGTTGAAGCCTTGAATGCTTGGTGGCAGGAAACATCATCCCCCAATCTCTTGAGCGTTCGAATAAGACGATATGGAGTACATGGATGCAAGCTGTATTGGCAATTCGCATTTTATGCTTTTCTCCTTGCGTCAACCTCCTCCACGTCGACCGCGTCCTCGATGACCAGCACTCCTATCTCCAGCTTTACCGTAGTATCAAAAAGCAAAACCCGGAGTGTTGATCAGCAATATCAACATCAACAACGTCCGCTTGAGCGTTGAAACTGCTGTCCTTTACCAATGAAAGGCGGATGGTCATGCATAGATCACACTCACTCCAACCGACGCAGATAATTCCCAGGTAGCCATGCATACTTGGATCTATCATCTGCACCACTTGATCGTGGCGTCGGTAATCTGCCAGGCTGCTAACAACAAACATGATTCCGTATGTCAACAGATGGCTGGTTGAAACGTCCGTAAAATATCGAAGCAGAACTTGTCATCTCCTCTACGTTGGTAGCTGGTACTCTCATCTATTTCTCCCTTGCTGCTCAATCGAACCTGTATAAAAGCTTCTTCAGGACGACCAAGTGCCCGTCGGGTCTCTGTTCTCTTTCCACACGGATAATCACAACTGCCACTCCATATGTCTACAACTTCCAAATTTTCAACTCTTCCCCTGAAGTTCCCCGGCGCAGAAGGCACTACCGAATTGCAATCAAATGGAGAATGCATATCCCGTCTCCCGAGTATCCAGTAGAGGACCCAGGCTACTGTACCTGACACAAAGCTCCCCGCCGAGCACCGCAGTCCTAGCGCTTAGGGACGTTATTCCCCACATGACGTCCTAAGAAAGCAACTATCAATTCGAATGCCTTGAGCTTTGCCTCTACTGGCGGGTTCTCCGGCAATCCCCTTTTCTGCAAGAGTATGGCGTAGAACGCGGATACTGACCTTGAAGTGTGGGTCATACAGTGGCCTTGGAAAGACCACTGTTGACGCTCAGAGGCGATGTCTCACCTTGGTCCTCTGTAGTCGACGAACTAGAATTTGCTAGATTGCGCACTCTTCATCATCCGAATGACCATGTGGGTATTCATTGTATATCAACCTCGGATGATTAGTACCTATCATGGCCCAATGTTTGTCCACGCGCCAGAAAACTTCACTGAGCCTTAACAAGGAATCCGGAGTCCTCCTTCATACCCTCAATGTCAGGGTCAGCAGTCCCTTCATGTGCCTACATTCACCTTGGAGACATGGACATCCTCGTTGATGTCGAGGGATGAAAAGCACAACCCAAGTATGAAGGATGAAGTCGCCTAGTTGGATACTTACAATCCTACTATTCACCCTTCGCATTCATGCCTCGTTAACCACGATGCAATGCCAAATTCTCCCCATCATGTCTTCATTCCGCATGCCATGCCCCTGAAGGACAATGTCTCAAATCTTACCCTTCACCCCTTGCTACGGCTCAGTCCGGGCCTGTCAATATCATTCTTAGTCTTCCCCAGCCTATGAGGACCAATGTAGGCGCCTTATAAGGTACTCTTATTCTTATTCGTCTGACTTACTCCATACTCACACCCTACACAAACACCGTAGGGATGCTGACCAGGCACGAAGTACGGAGTCCAGAATGCATGTACCAGATTCTCGTCCAGCCTCGCACATAACCCAGTTTCCATCTCAATGTCAATACTGTCAATGCTCCAACTCAACCTCAGCCGGGCCTGCTCTTTATAACCATAACCATGGATGGCAGTTGACCCAGTCATGACCATCCAGCATCGACATTTCCCTGAGTGTCGCTGTCACCATGATGAAGATGTCTAGCTGCCGTTGACGCCTTGCGACTCTTAATCTCACACTCTCTCATCTCATTGCTATACCAACAAACAAGCACTTGTTATCTACCTGTACCCGCGACCCGAGACCAAAGAAGCGCGTGCGCGAGCCTCTACGGGTACCTGGACTGCTTGGAGTAATAACCCACCACTCTGAGGCCAAGGGAAGTCTACGGCCATATGCTTGTCATGACAAATGTCGATAGAGATGGCGACCTGTCACCCCGGTACGATGAACGGTTTCTTGTTCAGTCATGGATGATGATGTGGATTGTCCGGAATGCATAGGAATAGATACCACTAGGCCCTAGTATATAGTAGAGGTAATACTTTACATACCTCTAGTTAATCTTAGCCTCTTTGTTAGTATTATCTAACTCTATAGATATGTATAAGATATATATATTATACCTAGGTATTCCTAGGCGGCTATAACTAGTAGTTTAAGAAGGTTATAGAGCGATATAGCTAGAGCATAAATGAATATAGAAAGCATTGTCATGAAGAGCTCTGAAACTGCTACCAGCTATAAATACCTGTGAAATAGCAGGACAGCATTCGGCTCAGAGCATTACAGCTCAACCCACGACGGGCCTCAAGTCTATAATGCGACAGACTACAACATGATCTAATGTACAAAGGACACAAGGTATATCGTCACCATTAAATTTATTTACCTGTCATCTATAGATACTAGAATAAAAGCAAGTATGAATCACAAGCGCGAATAGGAGGACAGAAGGAGGAAATGGCTGCAACCAGCAGCATGACAAGAAAAACACAGAGGAAGAAAAGTAGCACGTAAAATACAACCTGGAGACCGTCAGAGCAATATCTTGTCGCTCTGCGAAGTCTCCGGGTAAGGAACTTGGACATTTCTCCCCAGACACTCGTAATCCACCCAGTGCTGACCTTGCACTGCCCATGCTGCAAAGTGACACCGCCATATGAGCTCATTGCAATGCGAAAGCGACCAGTATCATAAGGTCATTCATTAAACAGTGATAAAAAAATCTAGGCAGCAGAAAAGACATCTCTGAAGCAAAATTAAATGAGCTCGGATTTTGTTTTCATGCACACCAACGGCGGTTCGCGTGCTGTCGATCATCGGAGAAGCTCAGACCAGTTGAAGGAATGAGACACACGGGGCGATATTTCAGGAGGTATCATGAAGAGGAACCGCTCAAGGTGAGTTCGACCCTTCAATCACCCGCAAGCCGCTCTGCATCTAAGCCTTGCGAGAACGAGTGACGGGACCATTGGACCGGCCACTTGCCACTGCCTCTCCGTTCGCTGTGGCGCTGCCATTGGCAGCAGGAGTGACGGAGGGGACCTCAAAGTTCTTCATGTCAACCAGGGACTGCTTTCCAGTGTTGCGACGAGGGCGACCAGTCTTGGCGGTCTTCTTGTAGGTGGCAATGTAGAAGGAGATGAACAGGAAGAGGTAAGAGCTGATGATAGCAATGCCCGAGAAAGCGGCAAACTCCTCTCCGGCACACTTGCCCATGTTGGGAGCCCAGGGGAAGTAGGTAGAAGAGAAGTAGGTGTAAGAAGCGAAGTAAACAAAGCCTGATGCCCAGTTAGCATACGTATGACAAAAGGCATATTTCTAGGGTACTTACCAAGGTCGATAACGAACTGGATAATCTGGAGACGGGTGATCCACTCCTTCCACCAGATGCGAATGCCACGAGCACTCTGGAAGTAGTACCAGTACATGACAACGTGAACAAGCAGATTGATATCAATGACAACCCATTGGACAGCAGTCAAACCGATAAGCTGAGTGTAGCACAGAAGGGCGGTGGCACCATGGTGGTAGGTATGAAGGAAGGTCAAGGGCTTCTTCTTGAGGAACAGGAAGACGGTATCGAGAAGTTCGAGGTACTTGGTCAGATAGTTGAGCTGTCCTCTCTGTCAGCCGGCCAGCACTTCAAGCCTCGAGATCAGGAGATCACTTACATAGTACAGGACGATGAGGGGCTGGGTCCATCCACCCTGGTGATCGCAAATGCTGAAGAAGAGACCGTGCCTGTAGAGCGTAGGCAAAAGCTGCTCAATGAAGAGAGCGAGTAGAGTTGCGCTGATCGCGGTCAGGTAGAAGTTGTGGATCATGAACAGTGTGTTGAGCTTGAAAGCTGGGCGGTTCTTCATCAACTCGCGACCACCGAAGATGATGATGTAGTAGGCCACGAGCGCAATCGCTGTCTCCTTGAAGGTAGACATTGGCGTCACACCCTCGACGAACTTGAATTCGCTGGCTGGGTAGCCCACAACGACCTCGAAGGCCTTGTCGAAGATGGGCCATAGGTGAATACCAAACGGCCGATCAATTGTCGGACGGGGCAAGTTCTGCAGTAATTCGAGCGCCATGATGAATAGTGCGAGACGTATCTATTACCGAGATAGGTCGCAGATAGTGAACAGTACGGGAACGTTGACTGGAAAGGAACCCCTTAAAAGCGACCCCGACTTTTCGTTGGCGCCGTCAACGCGGCGAGGAAAGAGCGCAAACAAGAAGAGCACTCAAGGAGTGACTAACGAAGAGAAGAATTGGAGAAGAGAAAGGGAAGTAGTAAAAACAGGAGGAAGAAGGAGAATAAGAAGACGAAATAGGATGCAGGAAATCTGGGAGGTTGCAACGAGATAGACAGAGGAAAGAGAAAGTGGAGTGAGTTTTTTGAGGACAGCGATGAGACGAGACCTGAAAGAGGCTGCTTCCTTAGGCTGGCACCTTAGGTTTGTCCGCAAGGAGAGAGGAAAACCAAAAATCATCGAATCAGAAGCGCCCAATGGCCGATCGTCCCCTTCTTTTCGGGTCTCCCGGCGTGTCCGCAGTCGCCCAACAGGGACTAGCGCTGCCTCGGTCGCCTGAATATTAAGGAAAATAAGGGGCACTTTTCAGGTTTCTCTCTTAGCGGATTATGTGCTTCCGAGATTCCGCGTGTATCCAGCACGCAACATCTTAAGAGTTATTTATGTAGATGCTGCGTCTTCTGTATCCGGATACTCGTAGTGAGAATGAGAAAGGTATTTATATCAGTCCATTGATCCCGCTCATGGAGTGTCACCTTCGACGTTGATCCCCATTCGGTTGATATCAGAGGAGCCCGGGCAGCAGTCGTCTCGAACCACAAATTAAGCCGGCTTTCACATGCTCGATTTGCCATGTATCACAAACAATAGTGCAAAAGAAAGTTGAAACTGAAACCAACTCGTTTTCAACTGGTTGAAGCTATCTTGGCGTTTTCCATATCAATGCTCTCCTACAGATGAGGACTGACTGCTGTGACTGGTCAAGTAGCACAAAAAGGGAGTCGAGGGTAGTACCATGGTAGAAACTTTGGACTCGTTCAACAACGGGGCGTCTGATTTTTGGTTTAAGTTGATATCCACATGTTAGCTGATCGAGAATTAGAGGAAACCCAGACTAACAAAAAATGAGGCTTGCGATGTGATGCTTATGGTTGCACTCTAGGTTTCAATGGCCAAATGACTGCGAAATACAGAGTAGGAGGAACGGACTCGGCCATATGTTACATTCCCTTGATGTTCGACTCCTACTACACATTCGTTGCATTGATTCCTTAAAGTATCCAATGAGTAACTATACACTCCGACTCTTTGTATTTTCGGCTTCGGGCTGGGCCATAGTGGACTTGAGACATGCAGTGTTTCGCGTCTGACGAAACGTCGACGCAGCGAAATGTTGCTCAGAAAACTGGAGCATCCCGAACTTTTAAATTTCCAAAGAAGGGAGTATAAATCTCAATCTGACATCCAGCGTGAGGGTCAAATAATAGCCAATGACACGTTCTTGTGGTGGTCAAAATGAGTATCAATCCGGCTGTGCTGTTGAACATATTCTTGCAGCTGGCTCGGTTTTGTCTGCGGACAGCCGTATCGACAGCGCAATGAGACTCAACCGAGATGTTTTGATTGGCTAGATTCTGCCAGGGGAAAGTCTACCTAATCTTTGGAAATCAGCATAATGCGACGGATGACATACATACAGGAGGTAGCTTGATGACTTCCACTAGTCATCTACCTCTCCAGATGTGAGAATTGCTGGTCTGTTCTCAGAATAAGGCTACAACCCGCACGGTAGTTACACCGGAAAGGCTCGTGCAGCTAGTTATTGCATTTGATAGAACGGCGAATAAAGTCATCAACCCAATGCAGAATAACCAAGGTCAACACTGATTTTGATGTAGTCAAAGTAATCATACTCGTTCGTCAACAACTGCCCGAGGACTGGAAACCGATGATATGACAATTGACCAATCAGATACTCCAATTGCATTGACTATGCACTGGCCAATCAGAAATGACAAAATGCAATCAAAGCTGGTTAGCAGACTGTATGCCTGAGGCAGCAACTGTGTCGGGCATGCACGGGAGCCGCAAATGGTCAATCATGACAGCAACCGGGGAAAACCTGAGGCATCCACAACCTCACACCACCCGCAAAATCCTAGCGGCAGCCGGCTTGTCCTCTGACTTCCAACCTCGCCTACGTCTTGCCGTCGTCCTCCACTCCCCTCAAAAGGCACGTCAGTTCAACCACCCTCCCCTCCCATTTCATTCCTCTCGCAATGGCGTCCCTGTCTATCTTCCGTGTTGCGACACGCGCCGTCCGCCCTTCCGGCTTCATCAGAGCTCCTCAATTCCCCGGTCCCGCGTGCAGGTCCCGGCTGCTCTGGCCCTCAGCCGTCCTAGCTTCAGCACCACCACCAAGCGTCTGTCCGGTGCCCACGAGGATGAGACATACGAGGAGTTCTCTGCTAGGTATGCTACCACTATTAGCCAGCCATTGGATGCGATTTGAGCGAGGAAAGGCACGAAAGGGCGATCGCAGGGAACTTCTCCCCCGGATCGGATTAATACTTGTGATGCCGATTCCCGACTTGGACAAGCAGCCGGTTAATTCTGGGAGATTGTCGTACTGACTCGGCATTGGACAGATTCGAGAAGGAATTCGACGGTGTTCAGGATGTCTTCGAGCTCCAGGTAAGCCTGACCTGACCCGCTCGCACATACGGCAAATTCGTGTCACATCACCATCCGCTCCTCGAAATCATATGATGAAGAGTAGCAACTCGCATGGGTCTTCTCTCTTCTCCATGATATGTGACGCTGATGGATTATCCGCTACAGCGTAACCTCAACAACTGCTTTGCCTATGATCTCGTCCCCTCCGTCGAGGTCCTCTCCGCCGCCCTGAGGGCTGCCCGCCGTGTCAACGACTTCCCCACTGCCGTCCGGATTTTTGAAGGTGCGCCTCTGCCCCAATATCATTCACTGCTTTTCTTTCCACATACAGACACTCATGTATTGTGCTTGAACAGGTATCAAGGCCAAGGTTGAGACTCAGGACCAGTATAAGCAGTACCTCGAGAGCCTGGAGGGTCTGCGCCAGGAGCTCGGTGTTGCTCTGCGGGAGGAGCTCTACCCCAACGAGGAATAGATGCGTTCGCTCCAGACAAAACGCCCGCAAGAACTCTGTCTCTTTATTAAGTTGATAAGATAGGAAAGCTGTATACATACTTTAGAATACAGTTGGAGAAGGTCTCCACGGTCCGGTTGGTTGCTTAATTATCCATTTCTGACCTGGTGCCTGTCGATTCGGGGGGTGAATGGAGGTGCACATGTGTTTTTCTATACCAGTGCTACTATTATAAAGCTTGTGACGTTTGCGTGTACTCTGTACTATTGAGGATAGCGAAGGAATCTGAGGGGTTGTCCTTTTTCTACGCTCTCCAAGTAAATGTCCGAACTCATGACGTACATTCGACAGAAGCGACCAAGAAGAAAAAGTCTTTGATGTACAAATCCCATTAATTTCTTAGTACATGGAGATCGGGTTGGATATAAAAATATAGGTACAATGAAGGCCGGTCCAGCGATCCTCTCAAGGTAGCAACACACGGCTGACATATAAATGACAAGCATTAAGACAAAGAAGATACAACAAGAAACTCAGAACCACCCCCTGGGAACGCCACTATGATCTTGGAAAAAAAGGGTTTCAAGCACTCATCGTCATCAATGCTGGGTCTGATATATGGTGTGGGTCATGACAGTTGCCTCTGCAGTTATACACATTGCATTCCATATGATGAATCTTCAGAAATTAAGGAAGAAACATTTTCGCGGGTCAATGCATCCCCACATGCTTAAAGTAGCTGGGTCTGCAGTCTTCCTTGGCGAGGAAGGGTGCGCCCGCGTAGAATTGCCCAGGGGTGCATTTAGAGCACTTGGGTGAATTGGGACAGTTGTAGTAGGGAATGTGATTGTATCCAATGTCACGGAACCTGGGAAAGAAAGTGAAAGTTAGCTCTGAGCGTCGGCTCGATCAAGAAATAACATACCAGTGAACCTTGGCTGCGTCCGCAAACAGTCCCAAACCAATCGAATGAACTGGAGCGTCGCCCCATCGCTCGTAGAAGAAACCACCGGCACGGTCAAGATGGTTGAAGTAGGCATCGTACTGCTCTCCTCTGAAGAAATCCAAGTCACCGATTTCAAAGTTCGACCAGAAGTGGCAGGTAGAGTATCCATTCGCCGCCTCCGTGTGGTCTGGCCGCAGTGAGTCGTCCGTCAACCATCCCATCATGTTGTTGCTGGAGAGATAAGAGGGGTTTGCAGCCAGGAACTTCTTAGTCTCTGGCCAGAGGGTGGGAATAGTTTTGGGATCGTCGAAAAGATTGATGGTGAAACCATAAGTAAGGTTTCTATCCTCCATGAATCGGAACACATCGTAATCAACGTTGCAGAAGAACTGGACCTTCGGCTCAACACGCCAGTAGTACTTGTAGTCCTTAAGGGCGGGATGCTTGTAGAACATGCCACTGTTCCACCGGCACATTTGATGATACGAGAGCTTGTCGCTGTACTGAATCTTCTGCTCAGTCAGAATCGCCGCAGACTCGCGGAAGAGTTCCATGTTGATCCATTCCGGAGGGTCCCAGTGTTCCTTTGGCACTTGCTCTGGACACTTTGTCAGGTTTCTTGCATTAAGTAGAAATAAGATTGGGCGCAAATACCGTAATAGCACTTGGCCTTCGTCTCTGCTTGTGTGCGCTTTTTGAATTCTTCCGTAAAGGGCTTGTCGTTGAAGAAGATCCAGGGGTAATTGAATTTGCCATTCCATGTCCGCTCCAAGTCTTTCATCGTCGGGATAAGATCGTCCAGCTCTTCATTACGGACGAGGGAAATGAGAGCAGCGTTCGTGCGGGCGGAATGGGCGCTGTTGGGGGCATAGTCGTTGCTGTCGGCTCGCCATAAATGACCTTCGGGTTCGCCCGTCGCTGTAAAGATAATTTCATCAGTACGTGCGAGAGTCACGGAATTGAGAAGGGAAGTATTTAGGCAAGGATTCCAGAGACACCCAGGTGAGACTCACGATCTAAAAGGGGATCTCTCTTCATGCCATTATACTCTTTTGACCCCTTACTAATGAAGGATGGGCCGTGACTTTTGTTGACCTGAAAGATCAGAAAGAGGCACAGTAGAATGCATGCTGCACCTAGCATGCGTATAGGCCTCGCCACAGCCATCTTGACTGCTTGATTGCGAAAACCGATAGCCAGGGGAAAGTTAGAGGAAAATTGGCTGCTGTCGTCGACTTCTTCCCTCCTCTGGCGACTCTATCTCTGTCGGACCAGATGCCGCTTAACCAGAAGAGGAATAGTGTGATAATAATAAGCAACACGTCACGTTCCACGGAGCAGACGGAGAGAGAACATTCGTCTTGACGTCTACAGGCCTGGATGCCGCGTAACCCGGGCTTGATCCAAGGTCCTAGGAGCCACCAGAAGGGGTTGTCGATGAAACAACGATGGGGTATCCTCGGGGAATATTTCTCCTGACTTCCAATTGCTACGCTTACTTGTTGCAAATGCAACACGCGTCGACATGACTCTCCCCGAGGATATTGGTGCGCTAACGGATGAGCTAATTTTGGCTATCACAAAGATCGATCCGACTGTATGGGGTGCTATCATTGCTTTGAGCGCTCCGCTGTTGCTAACGTTAGCATCTAGAATACGTCACGACTCAAAACCCTAAAGCATCGTGTCGAAGACACGTTCAAATCCGCCTCTCATGGCCGGACTGACCAGTTTGCGGTCTCAAAACAGTTAGAAGGCCTGCAGGAGAAATTCCAGGTTCTCAATAAGGATGATCTCGCGGACGCACTCCGGAGTCGCTTGACTGAATTAGATGAACACCATAGCTCATGGTTTCCCGAAATACTATCTTTCCTTTTACAGCTCTCTTCTCGCCCTGCTGTGTTCTCGCGGGTAGACCGACTCCCAAAGCCCAAGGTTGATGAAGACGCGAAGCAACTCTCCTGGACGGAGTTGGATGCTTTGGGATCCGCGTATTGCGATGAAGATATCTGGGAATGTGTAAATTTTGGCGCAGATTCCTCGTCCGAAGAAGAAGATGATCTTGCGTCTTCGGGGCGCAGTGACGCCTCAATCCCTCAGACTCTACCTTCCAGTCCCATTGCCTCCGAAGAAGACTATGAAATCCCCGATGAAGTATTTTCTCCTGGAACGGATGTGGTTCTTGTGGACTCCGTTAGGGAGGCTCAATTCTGGAGGCCTAAGAAACATGCAGAATCCAACCAAGTCGAGAAGGTTTCCTGCCGTGTGGTCACGGAGCTCCAAATTGTAAGAGAAACATTGTTCATGTTGCAGGGCTTGCCTACGTCTTTATTTTGGCGACTCGATGACAGTATCGAGGTCGATCGACGGTATACTCTTACACACACTTCGGCCGAGGCCCTAACCTCGCTTTTGCGGTCATTCAGCATGGTTGGCGCCAAGCTAGATGTTATAAGACGCTTCATCAAGGTCACCCAGGTTGTTCCCTATATGCAAACCTTCCACCGATGTGTTGAGGACCGCCTAAACCAGTTCGACGCCTTTTTGTCGGAAGTGCAAACTCAGTGCATTTCGCAAGGGGCGACTTTCACCGTCAGCCTCCTACAATTGGCCGAAGATGCCCGCAGCGCATCAGCGATGCTCGTGCTTCTGGCCGATCTGATCTCCAATCTCAAGTATAACTCTCCAGACGACGGTGTACGGTGTCTTGACCTATTGTACGATGTGGTATGCATGAAGCAAGCTACAGGGGACGATGACGAGTTCAGATTTCTGGCAAACTTGTTCTTTTCGTGTCTCGAAACCTACATTCGTCCGATCCGTCGTTGGATGGAGGAGGGACGACTGGATTCAAGCGAAGGGATATCTTTCATCATAGACCAACGTGACGATAAAGATCTGCGGTGTCTTTGGCGCGAATGGTATGCTGTGGACGTCTCATTTGGGCTTCCACAATTTATGAGACCTGTTGCTCAAAAGATTTTCACCACGGGTAAAAGCATGGTCTTTGTACAACACTTGAATGCGCTGGAGACACTCGAAGACTCGAAGACGATTCCTCTTACCTTGGAAAGCATCTATGGTGATGACTCCAGCTCCTTACTCTGTCTTCCCTTTGCCGCCATATGCGAGTCCGCTATAGATAAGCTCGTCGAGGCTAACCACTCCTTTGTGTCCGATCTGCTGCGAAAAGAGCTTGACCAGCAATGCGGACTCTGGAAATCACTTCAAGCCTTGGAAAACATCTACCTCTGCAAGGACCTGAGTGTGTCCGCTATTATCGACAACAAGGTCTTTGACCTCATGGATCGCGGCAGAGGCGCCTGGAGCGACAGGTATCTCCTCACCGAACTCGCACAGAGCGCGTTTAGCAGCATGTCTTTCATCGACCACTCAAGGATAATTGTCCGCTCTCATCAAGATCCGCAAGGGCGCAGCCGCTCAGTCAAGGCCCTCAGAACCATCTCGTTCGATTACATCCTCCCCTGGCCTATCGCAAACATCATCCCTAAACACGCCATCCAAACCTACCAGCGCATCTCGACATTCCTGATGCAAATCCGCCGAGCAAAACACTTGATCGTAAAACAGCGTCTGAAGTACACCGATGAGACGGACGAATTCTCCCATGACAGGAGCAGCAACGCATTGAGCTACTCTCTTCGGCACCACATGCTCTGGTTCCTGAACACCCTCTACAGCCACATTACGGACTTTGTCATCTCCTCAGCGACAGAGTCCTTGCGCAAGTCCCTCTCGGCCACCAAGGACGTCGATGCGATGATCGCAGCGCATCGCGCGTACCTGTCCTCGCTGGAAGACCAGTGCCTCCTCTCCAGCAATCTATCGCCTCTCCACAAAGCCACAATCAGCCTCCTAGATCTCTGCGTGTACTTTGCAGACATCCAAGCGACACGCTACGGGGACAAGCTGTCCGATCAGAGAACACCGACCAAATACGCCAAGTTTTCGCAAAGCAGAAAGAGTCTCAGCAGGAAGCTTCGGGGTACATACACTGACGACGCGATGCAAAGTGATTATGACGATGATGACGATGACGACGATACACAAGACGAGACGGACGAGGATGTTGGCAATACCACCGGCATTTCCTTTTACGAGGCACCCTACGCGCATCGACTGAGGGATATCAAAGGCCACTTTGACCAGTTGCTTGCATTTCTGACCGCTGGTTTGAAGGGTGTAGGACGTGTAGATGGTCAGATCAGTTGGGAGATCCTGGCTGAGAAGCTGGAGTGGCGTAAGAAGCGGATAGCTGTTTAGTGCTCGGCTTGATCTTAAAAAAGGGAGGTGCGATGGTTCTACTGTAATGATATGATCTTGCTATGATATCCACGTTGTTTTGCTGTTCAATAGTTAAGAGGTCTACATAACTAGAATATGAGCGATATGGCTTGCTCAAGGAGTGCAATTCGTAATTGACAAATTGAGAAACGCTGTAATTATGCTTGTATTGCTGTTTGAATTCATTATAACAATTTGATTTGATCATCCTAAGGCATCGGACTCATCATGCAGAACATAGGTGTAGATATTTTATATACCAAAACGAAGTAGTACCTTCCCGATCAATTTTGGTTTTCGCTGTACATCACACATCACGCCCAATTTTGGGCCACTAGAGACAAAGAAGAAAAGTCGCAAAAAGGAATCTACACTTTTTAACCAACCCATCTTCTGGCACTGAAGAACACACGGCCCCATGGACCGATGTCACCCCATTCTTCGGCATTAGGAGGCAGCCAGCTGGCAATACCGCCCATCACGGTCCGCTCGGGGTGAGGCATGATGGCGAGGACACGGCCGTCGGCGCTACGAATACCGGCAATACCCTCGGGACTGCCGTTGGGGTTGAATGGGTACTTCATGGTTGGCTTGAGGGTAGCGTTCTCGACGTACTGGACGGGGGCCAAGCCTTCACGAACGAAATCCTGAGCTGAGGTGCCGGGAGCCGCAGCGAACGACGCGCGACCTTCTCCGTGAGCGACGGCAATAGGGAGCGAGGAGCCGTTCATGCCGTGGAGGAAGACACTGGGGTTGGCGGGGTCGGGATCAGAGATACGGACCATGCAGACACGGCCTTCGTACTGCTCGCTGGCGTTGCGTTCGAAGCTGGGCCAGTTGGATGCGCCAGGAATTAATTTCTTGAGACGGGAGAGGAACTGGCAACCGTTGCAGACACCGAGGGCGAATGTGTCGGGGCGCTGGAAGAAGTTCTGGAACTCAGTGCGGGTGTTCTCGTGCAACAGGACTGACTTGGCCCAACCCTGACCGGCACCGAGAACGTCACCGTAGGAGAAACCGCCACAGGCGGCAAGACCGACAAAGCTGGAGAGAGATACGCGGCCAGAGATAATATCGGTCATGTGGACATCAACGGCAGAGAACCCAGCCACATTGAAGGCAAAGGCCATCTCCGCTTGACTGTTAACACCTTGCTCACGCAGGATAGCCACACGTGGCTTGTTGCTGAAGGGAGACTTGAGGCTGGTGAGAAGGGGCATGGCCCGGTCCTTCGGGTCGAAGGTGGGGTTCCATGACAGACCGGGGTCGGTGTCGTCCAGGATGTTCGAGAATTCCTGTTCCGCGCAGGCAGCGTTGTCACGGATCTTCTGCATGTGATACGAGGTGGTAGCCCAGGTCTGCTGGAGGTTTGCGCGGTTGTTGCGGTATACCAGACTGGCCTTGTGGTAGATGGCCAGGTTCTGCTTTGGCCTTTCGGAGACACGACCGATCTTGTGGATCAAGCCAGCAGGGGGACCGCAGGTGGCGAAGCAAGAGCGGAACTGAATCTCATGCTCTTTGCGCACCTGGAAGACCGCACCCAGTTCTTCTGTGAAGAGGGTCGACACAAGATCTTGTGTGCTGTTTGTGGGGCAGATGTTGTCCAACATGATTTCCACACCGCAACGTCCGGCAAACATCATCTCCGCAAGAGTAGTGAAGAGACCACCATCTGATCTGTCGTGGTAGGCCAGAACGATGCCTGACTCCTGGAGCTGCTGAGTAGCGTCGAAGAAGTCCCTGAAGATCTCCACATCGCGGAGATCAGGGCATTCATTTCCAACCTGGTTGAAGACCTGAGCCAGGGCCGAGCCGCCCAGGGTTTTGCGGCCAAACGAGAGATCAACGAACATCAGAACGGTCTCACCGACATCCTCAACGCTGCGGAGGGCTGGTGTCCAGGTCTTACGGAAATCACCGACGGGCGCGAAGGAAGAGATAACGAGGGACATAGGGGCAGTGACCTCCTTGGACTCCTTGGTGGCTTCATCGGCCCACTTCATCTTCATTGACATGGAGTCCTTTCCAACGGGAATGCTGATACCAAGTTTAGGACATAATTCCATACCGATAGCCTCAACTGCCTCGTAGATGGCGGCTCCCTCACCGGGGTGATTGCTGGCGGACATCCAGTTGGCAGAAAGTTTGATATGGTTCAGGCGGTCGACCAAGTCCGCAGCAGCAATGTTCATGAGGGACTCCGCAACTGCCATCCGAGCTGATGCGGCCGGAGAAATAAGAGCAAGAGTTGGCCTCTCGCCCATGGCCATGGCTTCGCCAGTCTTCATTCCTTGAACCAACGCAGTGGCCGTGACGGAAACGTCAGAGACCGGGGTTTGCCATTTTCCAACCATCTGGTCCCGAGCAGTAAGACCACCCACGGTCCGATCGCCGATTGTGATCAGGAAGGACTTGGAGCCTACAGCAGGCAAGGAAAGGACACGGTTGGCAGCCTCACTGATCAGCTCGACGCGGTTCGGCGCAAGGGAAGGAAGGTAGCTGGTAAGACTTGCATCGACGGCGGGGAGTTTCAGTTTGCGGGTCTCCACAGTTCTCGTCATCCGAGGAGGCTTGCCGAAGAGGACTGACAGAGGAAGGTCAATTGGTTTGGGATACTCGGTGGAGTCTCTGTCAAGCAGGATGAGTCTCTTGTCTTCCTCAGAGCCACCTTCACCACGGCCAACGACCGAGAAACCACAACGTTCACGATGAGCGATGGCGGTGAATTTGTTCATGCTTTCTTCGCCAACTGCGAGGACATATCTTTCCTGGGCTTCACAACACCAAATTTGCATGGGGCTCATGCTCTTATCGGCGCTATCAATCTCACGAAGCTCAAAAGTGGCACCGAGTCCGGAATCGTGAATCAGCTCGGGAAGCGCGTTGGAAAGTCCACCGGCACCAACGTCGTGAATGAACTTGATCGGGTTGTTCTCCCCCATGGCCACACAAGCATTGATAACCTCCTGAGCTCTCCGCTGCACTTCAGCGTTGCCTCTCTGGACGCTAGCGAAGTCCAAGTCCGCAGATCCTTCACCAGACGCGATGCTGGAAGCGGCGCCTCCGCCCAGTCCAATAAGCATGGCAGGGCCTCCCAGAACAACGAGGTAGGAGCCGGGCTTGACGGCCTCGGGTTTTTTGATAGCATGCTGTGGTCGGACTGTCCCAACGCCACCAGCAATCATAATAGGCTTGTGGTAACCACGAAGCTCAGTCTGTCCCTTACCGACGTCAATCTGTGTGAGGAGAGTACGGAAGTATCCAAGTGTACAGGGACGACCGAACTCATTGTTGTAGTGAGCGCTGCCAATGGGAGCCTCCAACATGATGTCCAAGCTGCTCGCAATGTGGTTGGGCTTGCCAACATCGAGCTCCCAAGGCTGCTTCAGATCCGGAATCAGGAGATCAGAAACGCAGTATCCAGCAAGACCGGCCTTGGGCTTGGAGCCTCTGCCGACTGCACCCTCATCCCGAATCTCTCCACCCGAGCCGGTGGCAGCGCCAGGGAAAGGAGAGACGGCAGTGGGATGGTTGTGAGTTTCGACCTTAGCCAGGAAGTGGACAACCTCCTTTGTGTGGTTCCATTCGCCGGTGAATGGGTCGGGAGCCCAGAATGCGGCGTTGGGTCCCTCAAGTACGGCGGCGTTGTCACTGTAGGCGCTAACGGTGTGTTCGGGGTGCTTTTTATGCGTGTTGCGAATCATGGCGAAGAGACTGTTTGGCATCTGCTTGCCATCGATAACCCAGGAGGCGTTGAACTGCTTGTGACGGCAGTGCTCCGAGTTGACCTGAGCGAACATGAACAGTTCGACATCAGTAGGGTCACGGGCGAGAGGGCCATTGGGCCCGTAAGCATCTGCGAGATAGTCAATCTCCGATTGTTCCAATGCCAACCCTAGCCGTTTGTTCGCTTCTTGTAGTACTTCTTTGGGAGACTTGTCGCTGCCGTGAAGGGGGATCGTCTCGAGGGGCTGAGGAGCATGTTCGGAAAACATCAGGTGCAGGTCGGGCTCGGTTTGGCTGAGCAATTGGGTCATCCGATCATGCAGAATATCCTCGAAACCAGGCTTGAACTCTTGCGACTTCTCGCGAAGACATGAGATCTTGATACCCCGCTCAATGCGCTTCACATACTGACGCAAGCCACAAACATGCGAGATACCAGTAGCTTGGGAACTCCAAGGGGAAATCGTTCCAGTGCGGGGAAAGACATAGAAGACATCGAAGGAACCGTCCTCGGGGCTGAATGAGGCGGGAACATCAGTGATATCGCCGTAACGGAGCAACTGCTCCAAGACGCCCTGTTGCTGAGCATCCAAAGGTCGTTCAGCATGGACGTAGTGGATCCACTGAGCTCGAACATCCTGGGCCCCGATGCTGGCTGCAATTGCCCGTCCACGAGAGTTCGAGAAGGCAACTGAGCCCGGGATGGCCAAGTATGTGGAATTGGTGGATGTGGAGGCCATTGTGAAGTGGCACCTTTGGTCCCCTTTTACTAGTTTTTTTCTGCTTCCGCGGGCAACAGGATGGCGAACCTGAGGAAGACAGGGAGACAGGGAGATGAGAAAGAAGTATGTGTGTTTCTCAAGTCTTCATAGAAGTGTCAAAGAGACACTTCCAACGAGAAGAATCGACTGGAGCACCACAGCGACGGGGCGTTGAGCTGCTGGCCGTCGTAAAATTACTCTCAGTTGAGTCAACTCGAGTCTTTTGGGGAGGCGTCGAAATTCCAACCCCGCGCTAATCCCTTTTCGGCTTATCTCCCAGCGATCTCTGCTTATCAGTCATGTGACTCTTTGGGAGAAACCTTGGCCCGTGGATGCCTCAGGATGAATTCAGCACGTCCTGTTTTTCTGTCCTTGAAAGAAATTAAAGCAGCTCATGAGTTCCATCTTCGAGAGTCGACATCATTCGCATCTTGTTCAACGTCTAGTGTCCAGGATTCGAAGCGCCAAGTGAGTTTGTTACTACTGAAGCTCAACGGTCACGGCACCTAGCAGGTCTTCTGTTTGTGTCCACTATCCCGCATTATTTAGAGAGGTAGTGGAGATGTGTGAGACATGGGGAAGCCGAACCGGTCTTCTAATTAGGGGCGGTATTCAAATTGTCAAAATGTCAGTGGTTTTTGGCGGATTTGTTAAGGTGAAACGTTTATTATTTAACTTATTTTAACCCCCTTTTTACTAGGAATTTACTAGTGATTTAGTGTCATGGGGCTGCGGCCTAGGTAGGGTCAAGGCATTAGAAGCATGTTCTAGGCCGGGTTTGATTCCATCATTATAGATTTCTAGTAGAATCCTGATGATCTTGGGTGAATCACTTATACAGGAAGGTTTAATGAAGGAATGGCCGAATTTCTCCATTCGGTAAGCAGTAATCTAATTCAACAATTGTGCTGCATTCGATATCACGGCCTGACTGTAACTGAGGGAGCGTCTTGGCAGTCAGTCCAAATATATTTGGGCGCTTCTGAAATATAAAACGATGATACTTTCTCTCTTAGACCATGAGGAGTGAAATAGCCATGAAACTCGGAAGAAATATCAAGCACCCCATTTCGCTTCTCCAGCTTCTTGCTCCCCCTGTCTCCGTTGGCCCAGCGTTATGGTCAACCTTCGTTGTTGAGGCCTGATTGCGCCCAGCTGTGGGAGGGTAAGGTCCAACACACCCAGCAGATCCTGTGGCAGCTGAGTTTTGGCCGGGCTCGGTGCACATATGTTTTCGCGGGTCAACACACTCGGACAGAAAACCTCCGTTGTTGACGCCGATATCATCATCGGCCACTGGGACGGCGTCTGACTTGAAATACACGTCACATATGGAGGTTGTGACGGGCTGGCCACCTAAGTTGGTACTGATAGTAGACTCATAGGTTGTGACGAGCAGAGCTAAATCGGACTCGGTTGCGCGCGGGACCAGCGAGCTTGGTACACTAATTCCGATGGTATCTGTGTAGGTAAAGTCGGTTAAGGTGCAGGTTTGCGGGTTGGACACGGTCACCGGAATGTAATAGTTTGTCTTGATGGAAGGTCTTGCAGTGGTTGTTGGCGGAACAGTCAGGATAGGGAGATTGGTTGGTTCCGTAGGGAGCATAAGATAGCTGGTTGTAACGTTGATCACAGCGCGTCCGAAACCATTTTGCGTGGCAACAAGGTATTCAACTCTCACATTGGTCGAGGTGGATATCGGGGAAACAGACGCCGTGGGGTAGACGGTGCTCTCCACAATGTAGTCTGGTAGTATGCCTGTAGTGATATTGCGAACAATGAGATGCTGTGTTACAGTCCAAGTTCCAAACGTAGGCCGGACGACCATCGCCAGGAAGGTGATGAAAGCCTTGAACACCATGGTAAGAGGATCGCTGGAATCTTCTAGGGTTGGGTTTTACTATGGGAAACAATAAGCTTCTAGGCGCTATTTATCATTGCGTTTAAAGCAGCTCGTATTTGGATTGCTCTAAGTAGTGCCGGGAGCACTCATTTGCAAGAAGACTGTAGGCGTCAAAGTCTTTAGGGCTCGAATCTCATTTGCAGTACCGATCCCTCCGAAGGCTATTGTCCCTTGAATCTGCTAAACAGCGGACCTGAAAGTTCTCTGCAGGGGACATACACCGTAAAGTCTGCTCCAGGGTGCACCGGCAACGCCACAATGGCCGTTGCCAGTTGTTCACCTTCGGGCGGGACCCAGAACATGGAATGGTGGCTAATAAGAATATCGACGACATGATTTGTGACCTTTGACAGGCTCTAGAGAGGGGTTCGGCAAGGTTATTGGCGAGGATAATGTTATGCCTAGTTGACGAGATGGAGATGCAGGCAGGAGGAGACGGTTTACTGTGACATGGAGCGATAAGGCTCTCCACACAGGCGAGCTACGGGGCTTAATCGGACACGGACAAAGGATTTCCAGCAGAATGTCAGAGGATACTAACAATAGACGTGCGGGTTCTGATTCGTCGAGGCTTCTATTATCTACTGAAAAGCTGTTTTTCCTAAACTCCCTCGTTGAAGTTGTTGTATATCTCAGGCATGTATTGAGCGTTGTATGTAAGTAAGCGGCATATGGGTAAAAGGGAGGCTTCAGCCATAGATGTGAATAGCCCATATACCCTCGCCACGGAGGTCTTCTCCCAAGTTGCTTGAAGACATTTACCTCTTACGGAAGGCGAGCTCGCTTTACCATATTGGGAGAAACGCTCCGACGTCACATCAGCCTTCCGATGCCAAGAATTATTGGCGGCGGGAGCTTCCTTGGTGGTGGCTCTTTGGCAGCAAATTTTCTCGCCAACAACATTTATGGCCGAGTGATAACTAGGTATAATGATAGCATAATTGCAGTTATGCCAGTCTTTGAAACCTTTGTTCAACTTACAAGCTGGATAACTGTGATATTCCATATCTATGACTTTTGCCAAGAAACAGTCAAACATAAGATGTTGCTTCGTAACCTACACAGTTTGTAGGTCCAGGATACAGTGCAAGCTAATCAGACCCACTTCGCCATAAGCAGCTAACTTGACCAGGCTCATGGCTGAGAGGGAACACTGAACCAGCCCTAATAAGTGACTGATAACAATTCCTGACTGACCTTGGTGGTACGTGCTCTCTCTGAGCCGAGCTTCAACAAAAATTGCAGCTTACATAAATTGATGATAGAGACGCTCACGTCCAATGACAGAATATGGATTCTAACTATCAGAGGGACAACTGGTCATGCCGATTGAAGAATTCCCACTAGGAGCACTCCGTTGAACTAACATTCTGTACGGAGTACAGCTAGCTGTATTTACCCGTCTCTTTTATCCTCTCTTCTTATATCGAAAGATGCGTCCGAGGGTGATTTCAATGCCTACCTTGAACGGACTTGCGCCATAGGCTATCAATCAAATGTTTGCCTTGATCGCCTTTGTTCCTTCGTTCTTGCCTCATCCAGATTTGGGATGGTCTAGTGGGCGAGAAGATTTACCCTTGAGTAGGCTGAGTGTCTGCCCAACTAAATAAATGTCAAGTATAGGCTCTAGTCTAGACTCCATCTAGTATAGAGAGATAGAGACATGGAAAAAAGCATCCATGGTTGACAGCGGGATGTCATGATAAAGCAGTGGCCTCGAGGCATATTACCTGAAGAGGTTAGTAGGTCCACTGCCAGATCGGGCAACCGAGGGACCGCCGAGGCAGATTCGGGACAAGCTGCCGTCCTTGGTATCATGCTCTATGATGTTGACAATGGAAGATCCATTATTACTCCTTTCTTGCATTCTGGCCCGCCGCCCTCCCCGACTGGTCCCACAGGTTCAATCTCAAATGATAAAAAATGGATCGACTCAGCGGTATAAGTACTTGCCAGGATCCTCCTGGATGTTTATCTCCCGGCTACCGACCGTGCTCAGTACTACATCTCCATCCCAACTAGGATATCTGAGTGTCGCTAGTGCATAGCTCGACATGTCGGACCAACAACACCATCAGGATGCCACGCGAACCCTCTCCCTGGGAACTGGCCAGGGTCAATTCGATCCCTTAGACCTTCCCCTCCGCCAAGTAACCAATGATGCGAACATGGAAGAGTACACCGCGGAGACTGCGACGGGAGAGATCATCAAGCCAGTCAAATCTTCCGCTACCGGCAAGGTAGAGGACTGGAAGCTGGTCACTTTCAAAGTCGATGATCCCGAGAACCCAAAGAACTGGTCCAAGGCCTACAAATGGTACTGCACTATGGTCGTCTCGCTCACATGTTTCGTCGTCGCCTTCGCCAGTAGTGTGATCACGGCCGACCTTGAAGGGCCATCCGAGGCGTTCAATGTCTCTCATGAAGCCAGTCTTGTTACGGTTACGGTCTTCGTCATTGGGTTTGGTGTCGGTAAGTCTCAATGAACAGAATCACTCGGAGCTTGACCCATGCTGATTGACTTCAGGCCCTATGGTGTTTGCTCCTCTTTCGGAGATGGTTGGACGCAGGCCTGTTTACGCTGTTACGCTCCTGCTTGCGGTTATCTTCGTCATACCTTGCGCGGTTTCCAAGAATATCGGTACCCTTATCGTCTGCAGAGCTATCGATGGTATCGCGTTCAGTGCTCCAATGACGTTGGTCGGCGGTACCCTGGCTGATATGTGGAGGAATGAGGAACGTGGTGTCCCCATGGCTGCCTTCTCTGCCAGCCCTTTCATTGGTCCTGCCATCGGTCCTCTTGTCGGCGGTTATCTCTGCCGCGCTGGTTGGAGATGGCTTTACTGGATCCAGCTCATTCTGGCCTTTGTCGCCTGGGTACTGATTACTTTCACTGTCCCGGAGACCTATGCGCCAATGATTTTGCAGAAGAGAGCAAAGAAATTACGGAAGACAGAAAACGATCCGAAGTATGTCACGGAGACAGAATTGGACGCTCGCCCCATGGGAGAAAGATTGCGTATCTTCCTCATCCGCCCATTCCAACTCCTGTTTTTGGAACCCATTGTTCTGTTCATCTCCATTTATATGTCCGTATTGTATGGCTTGCTATACATGTTCTTCGTCGCGTAAGTTGACACTGCCTTGCGAGATTTTTCAAGGACTGGACTGACAGCTCATTTCTAGCTATCCCATTGTCTACCAAAAAGGAAAGGGATGGAGCTCAGGCCCTACTGGTCTGATGTTTATTCCTTTGGCTATTGGTGTCTTGTGTAGCGCTGCCTGTGCTCCTTTTGTCAACAAGCACTATCTTACACTTGTTAAGAAGCACGGTGGAAAGGCTCCAGCTGAAGCGCGTCTGATACCTATGATGCTTTCATGCTGGTTTATCCCCATTGGTCTCTTTATCTTCGCCTGGACATCATACCCGAACATCCACTGGATTGGCCCTTGCATTGGTGGCTTCCCCGTTGGATTTGGCTTTATCTTCTTGTACAACTCCGCGAACAACTATCTCGGTACGTTCCCTCCAATTTCCTCAAAGATGGTATAGTACTAATTGCTATTCCAGTGGATACATACCAGCATCAGGCAGCCTCTGCTCTTGCCGCAAAGACTTTCCTCCGTTCCATGTGGGGTGCTTCCACAGTATTGTTCACTGAGCAGATGTATGACCGCTTGAACGACCGATGGGCCAGTTCGTTGCTAGCCTTCATTGCACTCGCTTGCTGCGCAATCCCCTACGTCTTCTACTTTAAAGGCGCGTCTATCCGTCGTTATTCAAAGTTTGCCTTCGCCGACGACGAGGAGCAGCAGGGATCGGGAGAGAAGCACTAGAGATCTTGGATGCATAGCTCCCTGCTTAAGGGTTCGAACTTTCGAGAAAAAAATGCTATTCCATCCCGATACGTCCTTTACTAATTTCCGGTCGGTTTATTATGCATGTTTTGCTAGGGTTTGTCTTTTTGGTTACGATTCCGGTCCTCTGAATGGCATATAAAAAAAGCGGAGTCCTCTGGGTTGGTTTTCGGAAGCATTGATAGATATCATATACCAATTGCAATAGAGTTAGATTAGTAGATATTTTTATTCAACTAGAAAGGTACTTTTTCTATTCCTTTTGCTCCTATGTGACTTATTTGCTTAAGGTCTGGGAACATCGCCATCATTATTTCATGTTCGTGGTCAAGACGTCATCCTTTTCCTCTTTTGGAATTAGGGTTGGGCTTCCCGCGCCAATCACGTGCCATGCAGATTGCTGCTTAGTAACATCGGATTCTCCAACTCGGCAGCTCAAGGCCGCCTGCACCACGGCTTCTTCCAGATGCGACTGCTACCGCGCAGAACGCTGAGGACTGTGGCTCTGAACACTTAAATCTAGGTCTGTTACTGGAAAGCGATGTATTTCTCTTGACCTGACTCCCTGACGCTGCCGTCGATTGATACATCTCGCGCCGCATCCGCTCCTCCGCTTTCCTCCATGATCTCCGAGGTTGGCTCAGCCGGATCTCTCATCGAATCTTTACAGCCACAGAAACGCACACGGCACTCGGGAATTTCTCGATAGAGCGCCGATCTTGATATTTCTAAATGGCGTCCCCCTACCAAGCCTCAATGTCATTCTCACCGTCCGCAGCCGGCTCCGACATGACCGCCGCTGCCTCCCGATCTGTATCCGACCTCCCGCAATCCCAAGTTGACGCGATTATCCGAACAAAACGAAAGGCGCGCGAACCCAAAGCCTGTTATCCCTGCCATGCACGCAAAGTTAAATGCGACCGCAATCTTCCGTGCGACGGCTGTGTCAAGCGCGACCATCCCGATATCTGCTCGTACGAGCGGCCGTCGAAAAAAAGGATTATAGCGAGTTCAATCCCTCCGTCATACAATAACAGCCCCGCCGGAGCCTCTCAGCCCGGTGTGGCGGAGCATACGGTGTCAGCTGCCCAGGAGGAGCCTCATCTGCAGATCAAACAGGAGGCCGGGGCAAGTCGGATTAACTCCTTAGGATCCGGGAACCGTATATCCATTGCGCGGGAGGAGTGGGACAATGTTCGCAACAGGCTGAAGGAGATGGAGAAGACCATTTCAAACCTACGAGTTGGACTGGAACGGGCCGAGGAGGGCCCCGGTGGAATGCTGGAGACGGGCAGTGCGCATAGCGCTGATGGGAGTAATCGGTCCAAGGTTGCTTCTCCGGAACGGGAGGGCATTCATGCAGCAAACACGTTGGGCGAAGGCACTGTGCACTTGGGATCTCGATCCGTCCTTGCGTACATTCTCAACAACAAGTCCGGATCTGATCAGCTCCAAGCTCTCCTTGAGGGTGGGATCCTGCCGAAGTTGGGTCTCGACAATGAGTCCGCCACATATCCGTTCGTTGATCTGTGGTCTTCGGATATGTCGACATTTGACGTTAGCGCAGTCTGTAGTGCGCTTCCAGGTGATCAGCAGTGCAAGGAGTCAGTTCTTTACCTTTGGCTGGGATGTTATGGGCCTCGTTGAATGCTAACAGGCTGGCAGATTTTTCTTCTACTATCGGGACGTCGCAGGAGCCATCTACCCTGTCATCGAAGATATCCAGCAGTTTGAAATGAATCTCGATCTTTTATTACGGAGTAGAGCATCTATGGGTGGCGTATACCGAACGGACACGGATCAAGCACAGCGACCTTTTGGTGTGACGATAGCCTACTTGGGTCTGCTCTTCGCCGTGCTGGCCTCCGGCTGTCAATCATCCGACTTGCCTGGGAAGGAGAGAGAACTGACTTCTCAAGTCTATGGTATGTTGCAACTTTACACTTGCACGGTCATTCTAACTCACTGAATCTAGTTTGCTGCTCCTACCAATGTCTCCGGATGACCAATTTCCTATCGCAACCTACCATAGAAGCCATTCAGACTCTGTTGGTGATTGGTAACGTGTTGTCGTACAATATGAACCCTGGTATCTCTTATGTCTTACTTGGTGAGTGAATAAGGCAGCTTTTCTGAGCTCGTTGGCTGACTGGCGTTAGGTATGACACTTCGTATGGGACTTGCGCTTGGTCTCCACGTAGAATCAAGTCGCTTTTCACTAGAGGAGCGCTACCGTAGACGACATGTTTGGTATAGTCTCTCAATTTTAACCAAGGGCTTCTAACATCCTGCTAATGCTGTCTAGGTGGTCTATGGCATGGCAGGACAGCCATTTCTCTCTTTCTTACGATCGACCGTCAACCACCGCCGTCAGTCAGCCGGATATCGCGTACCGCGAAGACTCGAAGCCCGGAGAGCTTTCGTACTTTGAAACTCTTTGCCGAATAATCTCTCTGGCCCTCGAGGTCGTCCGCTCGCGGATGCTTAGCTCTCACTCGCAAATGAGCTCCAAAACCATACAAACTTATAAAGAAAGGATTCAACAAATTATGATTGAAGCAAAACCGCATTTGCGTGACCGCAAATACTGCCTTTCATCCACAGATCATTTGGAGAGGGTTGTACTGAAGCTGCATTCTTCCTACTTTTCTTCCGAGCTGCTGCGTCCAGCACTCAAGTCCCCACCCGAGTCGAACGATCCAACTACCCTCAGCATGCGCGCTGACTGTGTGAGGAATTTGATGACAACTGTCGAGGCATACATCGAGATGCATACAATCAGTTCTCATGCGTCACGCTCCTGGATTACTTTGCAGCGAGCGATCAGTTCAATGTTCCTTCTAGCAGTCACTGAGGAGTCTAAGACGGACCCTCAGTTTTGGACCCTGTTGCGCCAGCTCAAAAACATCATCGGCGAACGCGCCAATGAAGAAGGCACCTTCGGTCCAGGTCCTGCCACAGCCGGCGGCACGGCTTACAATACGGTTCCCGGAGCTGCGGATATGACGGGGACTAGTCCTGCTACTCTTGACCCGACCTCTCCAGAGTCTGCGCCCATACCGCTTGAGGCGCAGACCCAGTGGGCTAAGCCTTTAACCAAGACCTACCGTGCTTTGGAAAAGCTAGAAGCTGCGTTCTCTTCCCTAGGCAACCGCGCTGCCGCTCACAATGGCAGCTCAGCATATCGGAACGCCTCCGCGGGTTCAGCAACCGCAGCTAACCTCGTTCCTCCTGTGACCGTCGGTGCTATGACACCCAGCATTGGGTCGCTGCCGCCTCCGACGCCTGAAAGTTCCACGAGTGGGGAGTGGACCATACCGACCATCCTTGACCGCGCGGCCGAGTACATTCATCCTCCGCTTTGGAGCTGATTTTGATGCGTTGGACAACATGTTAGAAGCATGATAGCTCTCCTACGATATCGAGACATTTTTTGCATTAGTAGGGGTTTATGGGTGTGCACAGGTTCCGCGATGTCATTATCTGCTATTTTCAGATTTATCAACTATGATCTGTCTGTTGGGCGTTTGACAGTTGGATGGCTTCCATGTTATGGGCCATACTGAGTGAGGACTCCTCGCGTTAAGCATTTCGAATCTACTTTTGAAGTCATATTTCATCATCAGTCAATACGATTCTATAATACACGCCAGCTTCATCATATGACAACCCAAAGGCTCTGAGTTGTTCCTTTCATGAGTGATATACATCTACTGAACCGCCTTTGCTGGCTTCAGGTCACTAACGCACCCGCCAAATCCGACACCTGAGGACGCATCCTATCCTGCAACAAGTGCCTCGGCGACTCTAATATCAATGCCAGAGGCACCCTCCCACCCTGCGTGATCTCAAGCAACATCCATAGCTCCCCTCTGTGGATCCACTCACCGTGCCCGTGCCGAGGATGTCTCCAGTCCGTAAGTCACCCGCATGCTGGCGAGATGCGCGCACACCTGTCGACAGCTTCAGAACAGCAGGGACGCGTCATGCTCCGGCTCAACCTCCATACTGATGGCGTAGGTGAAGTCAACAATGTCCTTGAGGTGTCTCGGCAGCGAGACGCGGGGATACGATCCAGGGGAAGATGGTGGTTCCAAAGGCTTCACCGTTGGAGCAGGCCGAGGGGCAACATTTCTGACCTTGGATGTCGCAGGCTGTTCAACTCGAGGCAGACGATTAGCTATCGCTCTTTCTTTGTACTTTTAAAGCCGAGTCGACTCACCGCTCCAGTTGTTCAGAACCACCAGCCCGAATATATGCTGGTCTGCCTCCTATCACATTGGGTTTGAGGATACTGGGATGATGATGATGATGATGATGGATGATAATGCCGTTCCAAAGGGGACGTTGTTGATGGAGAAGTGATGGCTTAATCTGGCGAAGTCAGGGTGAACTTCGTTTGGGTTGATGTTGTGCTAAGAGAAGTGAGCAACATGGTAACAAGCATCTATTTGAACACTTTGAAGCTTATGAGTAGCTCGAATATACCCCATATTGGGTCATCTTGCCCCTACTCAGACCATCAACAGCCGTTGAGAAAGGCATCAGGTTTTATGCAGTTGGAAGATGCACCTCGTTTCTGTCCACATCCCCATCGCCCACTTTTCTCTTAATCTAATACTTCGACTCCTCAGTATTGAAGACGCAGTTGATTTCCAATCCTCACCTGACAATTATAGCAGGTATCAATCCATGCGACTCTCTACGAGACAGCAAGTCTCCTTGATCCGCCTATGCATTCTGGTTCTCGCAGAAAACTTGACTCAGTTGGGTGACGAAATATGACTACAAACACTCAAACAACATGCACCTGAGTATTTGGACTTTAGCAGATTATACTACTAAGTTCTATTAATACTTCTAAGCTCATTTACGGACAAGCGTTCCTGCGTTTTGAAGGATATATCCATGGGCGGACCTGACGGCAATTGAAAGTAAGACAGACTGGCCACCCAATCCCAATGATTGCTTGTCTTACTCGTTATGCTCCAAGGCTATCGCCATTCCTCCTAATAATCGCAAGTGATGATTATTCTTCGTGCGTCTCGTTCCTTGCGATGGCCCGACTCATTGGACCCGGCCGTGCAGATGTAGTCAGCAGTGTCAGCTTACAGCTGGCCGATGAGTTCCTTCACACTCGTACTCCTTCGCTCGATCAAATATCAGATCAGTACCTTACTTTCTAATCTCGGTCGGTTCCACAGAATTGTCTTTGGAATATTCGCGTTCGTGGTTATCAGAATCGCATTAGTGACTACACTCAACGATCAACATCCCAGTCTGAAACTGGCTAGAAATCACCCTTCACCATGTCTTCTACCCCGCCAAAGAAGTACTACAAGGTAGCCGTTTTACTCTTCGAAGGAGTGGACATCCTTGATTTCACGGCCCCTATGGAAGTCTTCACTCATACTTCCCACAACCGAAACCCGGACAACCCGGACAGGGTTTTCCAGATCAACACCATTGCTCGATCACGAACAGTGAACGCCAAGAAGGCCCTCACGGTCCAGACGGATCTCTTGCTTGAGGACGCAATGCAGGGCCTCGCGGATTTCGACATCATGGTTGTCCCTGGTGGGCCACCATCTCTTCTCAATGCGCTCGTCGCGTCCAACCCCCGGAGGTAGACCTTATTCGCAGCTTTGCCACACTACCTCCCAAGACGCCAGATGAACCGCGTGTACTTTTCTCAATTTGCACCGGAGCGTTTCTAATTGGAGCGGCTGGGCTTATGACTGGGGTTTCAGTCACGACTCACCATCGTGCCATTGAGAAACTTCGGGAGTTCTGCATCCGGGTAAATGGGGAAGGGGCTCCTCCTCCCGAGGTGTCGCACAAGCGCTACATAGATGCAGGAGTTCTAAAAGTTGGGTCTGCCAGGCTACTGACGGCCGCAGGAGTGAGCAGCTGCTTGGATGCATCCTTGTATCTCGTTAGTCAGTTGACCTCCCTTGATATGGCGGCATTCATCTCACGCGTGATGGAATATGACTGGAAAGGGCAGCCTTCTGAGTAAGGGGTCTCAGAAGAGGTGATCTAACTTGGAACAAGCTAGCTGAGAGTTCTTTTGGTGAGGGATGAGTTCGATACGTTCTCGACCCTCCTCTGTTGTCTGTTGGAAAATTCAAATTTTGTCTGAAAATCTTCTTTCAGCCTGTTCTGTAGAGTCAGCCTGAGTCACATCTCTAACAGGATCGACCCTAAAACTTGGTACAGCCTCTTTCCAGTAAGACAGTGAGGCCGTGCTCTCGAGAGTCAATCTTTGCGTATCTGTTATTACATGTGGGCACAGCCCGACGCCCTAGCCAAGGGCCTCGTCCTGGATGCTGTGCTCGTAGAGAACGTGGCGAGCGTGTAACCCTACAGACAGTTCCAACAGTTCCAACAGTTCCAACAGTTCCAACAGTTCCAACAGTTCCACAAATCTGCAACATATCTGCTGACTGGATCATCTTCACCAGCTGAAGCGTTCAATGTGAATTCGGCCTGACTGTGACCAGGCCCCTCAAAGGAGCTTGGCTCCGTATTGAGTGCCGTGAGACGACGCGCACATGGAACTGACGTGAAGGAACTGGCGGATATCTCGTTTGTCATGGCCGAGGATATCTGCCTAAGCAGCTGCAGGTCTTGTCATCTCCCAAGGCTCTGTGTCAGCTACCTCGTGTTCTCTTTCAAGGCTTCTATCGGATGAAGGTTCAGCTTCACTGCCATGCCCCGGGTACAGAAGGCACGCATACAGGTCAGCCTCTTGGAGATCCTTCTCGCACTGGGATTATTCAGCTACGGACGATGCTGACTGCCAGAAATCAAGCAGAGAGGGTGTGTTCGTAGCGTATGGGAGCATACGGTGAGGTTGCTTGTTAGTCAACAATGTCACAGTGGCTCTGAATCACTCCGCTGCTTCGACGTCACTGATGATATAGCTGACGAAGATGCGTTCTTCTCACTACGCTTTGCCCTGTCTCTTCCCTTCTGGAACGATATAAAACCTTGCATACCGACGGATTGAGCTCGGCCGAAGTCACTCTCGGAAGTACACAACATACCAACTGAGAAACCAACCTCATCAGTCTTTACATAGATTATCATTCTTCAATCGTGGTTCATTATGATCACCGTACTGCAGAACCCACAGGACGCTGCCGTCTCATATCCTGCGGAGCCACAAGAGAATGACCTACTTGGCTCGTATGGAACAAAAGCCCTGAACGTTGAGACGACTGAAATCGCGGCTTCCTCCTCCTCCTCCGAAGCTGCTGAGGATCTCACTGAGGAGCACCATCGCAATGAGTCTTCTCTGCAGCAGCCGTTGAGCGAAGTTGATCGACATGAGCAACCTGCCGCAAACGGAAACACGGGGTCCGCGTTGGACATTCCTCCTGTAACCGTCTCCACCCCCGAAAGCAGCGACAATCCGGTTGTTGAAGCAAACGAGGAAGTCCCAGTCACGTTCAAGCACGAGGGCAAAGATGTCAAGGATGACACCTCGTACCTCCCAGCGGAAGCCCCCAAGACCGCCCACGGAGAGGAGAACAGTCCCGTCTCCGAAGACGAAGCAACAGCAATTGCAGTCTTAAAAGTCGTCGAGAGTTACGGGGTGAACTTTGAGAAGACTGGCGAGTCCTGGCAGGGGCTGACCTCGTTCATTCCCACCGTGGTTGAGCAAGTCAAAAAGCGGGAGCCTGTTCGGATGATCCTCCCGGCTTTCCCTTTCAAGTCCCCCAATGCTCGAGACAAGGTGTTGAGTGTGATGCCAGATCTTGGAGAGGAGCTGGCTTTATATCATTTGAACGGCCTGTGCGAGAACATTGGAAGAGTCTACGAACCGGGTGCAGATGTATACATCAGCTCCGATGGACTCGTATACAATGGTAAGTCTCTTGTACTCACTATGGCTTCAACATGCTAACCGGGCGATAGATATCCTGGGAGTACCTGACGAGACTGTCTGGGAATATGGAGAAGCCCTCCGCAGGATGGCCGTTGAGAAGGAGCTTCATCATGTCAAATTTATCCGACTCTTTGAGCTTCTCGAACACCCGTGGATCCCTCTGACCAGCGCTGAGCAAGCCAAATCATATTATCTGGCGCATGCCCAATGTCTCCGAAGGGAATTGATGTACCGATTCGAAGACCGCAGCTTCGACGCTGATGCAGCCATCCGCAGTGACAATGATACCTGCCTGACATATCGCGGGTACATCAAGTTCCTGACCAAGGACCTGGCCCCTCAGATGGACACGCAGTATACGAGCAAAAAGGCAAGAGCGGCTCATATTGCCCAGATTGCCCGTAGCATGATCGTCCGCGGAAAGATGTTTGCGGCCGCCATCAAGGCCAACCGTGCCGATTACGTCCGTCTCTCCATCCACGAGTCAAACGGAGCAAAGAAACTGTCCATCTCGCTCGTCCCCCAGCTCCGAGGCGCCCTCGGGTACACACCATGGCATTCGTCGGTTGCAGTCGGCGCTGACGGCACATTCCGCACCGTTCATGCGGAGGATGTGCGTGAGACGCACGAGCTAGTCTACAAGAACGGCCAGCCATACTACTTCCGCGAGAAGTCCAAGCTCTTCGACTGGGTCGAGGACGGCCTGCGGGTCAAGTTCGAGCATCTCTACCCATGTGGCCTCGTCATCCGGCCCAGCGATATCGATGACTCGCGGCCCCCTCCCTCCATCCGCGACCTGCCAATGCACAAAGTCCGCCAGCTCTCCAGTGGCCTCTCCCCGGTCGTCCTGCGCGGGTTCCGCGAGACCCTCGAAGAAGAGCTCTACGTCCAGAAAGCATCCGAGCTCGGCGCCATCCTCCCCTGGAGCTTCGGCATCATCCAGAAGGTGCGCGACGCAGGTCGCACCGACAAGCTAGGTAACAACGTCACCTCCAACGAGGCGATGCCAATGCACTACGACGGCATGTTCAAGTTCGAAGAGGAGACAGATCCCGTCACGGGCGAGGTGAAGCGCGTCCAAAAGCCTCCAGGTTACCAATTCTTCACCTGTCCCGCCACCGCGCCCAAGGGGAGCGGGTACACGCTCTTCGCCAGCTCCCGGCTCTTCTTCCGCTACCTGCCTCTGCCGTGGACCACAGAGCGGCTGCAGAATGTTACCTGGGCCATGGACAACGACGGCTTCTGGGACGCCAAGCTGAAGAATCTGCCCCTGGTCGTGCCGCACCCTGTCACCGGGCTGCCGTGCATGCGCTGGCACCAGCCGTGGGACTCTACCAAGACCAAGTTCTCAACCTGCGCGGTCACGATCGAGAACGATGAGCAGGGCCTTGTCTCTGTGGTTGATGACCTGACGTATGACTACCGCGTCTGTCTGCGGTTCTCATGGGAGCAGGGCGATCTCCTTGTCAGCGACAACACGGCCATGCTGCATACCCGGACGGGGTACAAGACTGATTGTGATCGGGAGCTATGGAGAATTCACTTTGACTAGTGTTTCAACTGATCCTTTGGAGGCAGATTGGTTTTGCGCAATCAATGGCTTTCTGGTCACTGAATTATCTTTGTTGATTCTCTTCGTTCCCTTTCTTCATTGCATCCGAGTTGTTATTGTATTAAGCAGTCAGGTAGATTGTTCCACATTCCTTAGGTACTTAGACTCTGTTTCTGCAAAGGTCTACTGGCACCTTCTCCTTATATCTATTCTCAGTAAGCCAAATAACTCTTAGCATATAATGGCAACTATTGGAAGTTGAATTGAGTGTCAAATGTGGAATCGCTCTGTGCATAGACAGAATACAGAGTATGCTCTTAAACCGTAGAGAAGAAGCAAAACCAGAGAATCAAAAAAAGTATTTTTTTCAAAATTCATACAAGAAAAGTAGTAAGCACTCCGATCCAGTCATCAGGGGGCCGGGGCCTTGTTCACACCATGTGTGGTCTATACTATATACCTCATCCGACCAGGTTTTCACAAATAGCATCACATAAACATAGACACATAAGAAGGATAGAAGCAGAGTTCAAAATATATATGACTCAAAGCATCATGGACTGAAAACTGTCCAACGATGACGACTGCGAAGGATGCAGCGGACAGAACGGAGTCGAAGACGGCGTGTTCATCCATTCTCCGGATGTTCCTAGATCAGAGGATTTGGAACTGCGGTCGTGCCTTAGGCAGTGGCATCCTGGATTTTGCAAATTTAAATTTCCGTTCAACGTGGTTCCGCGGCCTGTGGACTCTGCCGTGTTTGCTCCTGTGAATGATGCTGGGGAATATCCATGTCCATGCGGTATTAAGATGATGGCCTTGGGATGCGAGGTTGTGCTACCCAATGTTTGCATTATATGAGGTAGGGAGGCCTCTGAGCGAAGACACAGTGGTTAGTCAATTATCTGTTGGTATTTGGACATTGGTTCTCACCTGTCGCTACATAGAAGTGTGGGCAGTGTGGATATTGTTGGGAGCCTGGAGGGTCAGCATATGGCGGGAAGCTGAATTCATTCGGAGTGTGAAGCCCTGTCATGCTTAAAGATGCGTCTAAGCTGAAAGGACTGAGCTGAGACGATGAGGGAGGACAGTTCAAGAGAGTAGAGGATGACGAGTTGGCGGAGTCAACCCCGTTGGCGAGACCAAGGTCGAACGGCAGAGGCGACGGTGGGGAGGGTAGAGAGGACGAAAGGGGCATCTGGTTGAGTAGACTGCAGCATGAACGACAAAGACTGGAGGAGACGTTCCGTTGGGGGGATTCGAGATTGCTGGGTCTTCCGAAGCAGAAGCCAACGGGCTGCTATCAAAGTCACCTTGCGGCTTGGATTCCATCATCGACGCAGCTGAAGGACTCGCTTGGTCCCATCCATTCAAAGTTGCAACGGCTCTGAGCTCGCTAGCGATAACACGTTCTTGCAGTTTGGCGATCCTGTCCCGGATCTTGCGGCCTATTGACTGGTGAGTAAATGGATGAGGAGAATGGGATTAACAGGGCACAGGTTCCACTGACGATGATTTCTCTGGGATAGCCGATTTTGAAGTCTCCTGCGTTCAATAGCGTCTTGCTTCTCGTTTGAAGAGTCATCTTTGGACTGCTCGTCCTTTGTGGTCTGTGAATGCATCGCTGGCTGATAATGGCCTTTTGACCTTGTATCTTTTGCTTCTTTCGATGAGGCAAGTTTCGAGGCAGGAATTAGCTACGAGGTTTCTATACAGGCCCACCTATGTTGAACAGGCACCGCCTTCTAGACCTGATGCTCAGAATGAGGAGGATTACGCAAGAAGCCTCAGCACTCAGCGATGATCAGCCGCGCCAAGTTTATTATTAAAAGGATCAAGGGCTTCCCTGCCGTTACTGCATTCATTTATAGCTGCCTGACAAATATTTAGCTGATGCACCTATTGAGTTTCCAATGCGAGCCGGGCTATGTAGTCGACAAGTCAACACTAGTCATCCTTGGAAGTAAGATGCTCCCGGGGTCTTGACTGATGCAAAAAGTGTTAGGAGCGATCATTGGCTCGGTAGGTTATCTTAATGGCAGCCGGGGGCGGTTCAGGTGAGGTTTGGCATTACCTCATCCATTTACGGACGAGTCATATTGACCATATTAATATCAGCGGCCAGGGCTACTGATAATGGCAGCCTGTAATGCAATGCAGGGCTAAAGAAGCCAAGGGCCCGCGAGGCCACGCGAGTTCGTGTTTCTCTCTGGCCAATGCAACGTCGTCCCATTTTCGTATATCACAGCCGTGACTAGTGCAGTTGCATTGTACCCCCATAGGCACTATAGATCTGGGGTCTGACGTTCAACCATTGTAAACTCTGCAAGTATCGACGTCTAAGAACGCGGATGCTCCGATCTAGGCTGGTGGTGGCGCATGAACATCAGACCAGCCTCCCTCGTCTGTACTCTTGAAGATTGTCGGGAAGATCTTGTTTTCCTCATTTCAAAACGGCCGGCTCGAGGCCGCAGATCCGACGAAATGGCGAACTTCTCGGCGTGGTCCGAGAAGTCAATGATCCCGTGGTCTTCATTGAGCGATGCATCCTTGAGTCGCGTCCACATGACAGTATGACATACAGAGCACCCCTGGTAACCGTAGATAAAGCCTCCTGCAGCTCGCAGGATAGGGACCACTCAGTAAATACGACGCTTGTATGGCAAAGGTCTAAGTCTCTCCCAAGGTTGATCGTGTTGCACAGAGAATGGTCGGAGTAAAAGCATTCAATCTGACATCATCTGTTTGATAGCTCTGGGATATGGTATTGGGCTCAAAGGTAACCCATAAAATACCTCGTAAACCCAAGGCTCGGCTCACAAAATATTGGTCAAGCTGGAAAATCCAGACCCGTATCGCGGCCAGGCAACAGTGCCGCAGTCGAGAGGACTATCAAAAGTACGAGGTCTTGAATAGCCCAAAAGGGACGCCCTACAACGGTTTCTGACAGGATTCACCTGTGTTCAAGGAGATCAACCAATTAGCGCAGTTAGCAGGCAATCTGCCGTCAGCTAACATCCTCGTGTTCGTTCGTTGGTCAGTCGAATACACGAGACGCGTCAGTAGCTTGATGGGAATCCGAAACCAATGGTTTGAAGCATAACCATATTGTTGAAGAAGTGCCTGTGAAGGACCTTCTCCTCCAAGGAGTCCGTTGCTTTCCGGTAGTAAGGCTGTACAAGATGGCGGGGATGTACCCACAATAGATGCAAGTAATCGGTCGAGGCTGGAACAGCCCGGACTGCAATCGATCTTGGCAGTGGAACACGAATCTGCGTGAGGGGCACTCGTGTCACCAGCTGATGATGAGAAGCTGATACGAATATGTCTCAAGAAGCCAAGAGCTGAAGGAAGAAAGGGAGGAGCCTGTCTTGGAATCGTATCTCACCCTACTTCTCGTAGTTGCCCTGCAATCCTTGATTCATTAGTAACAACTTCCAAGTGAATAGGAGATGATGAGTAATGCGTATGAGATGGATTCAAGGGCAGTAGTAGTATGGATGATAGGATGAATGTCTAGTTGATGCTGAGAAGGGTGCAATGAGGAGTTGACACCCCAAAGCGACAGGACAAAGGAAAGGTTCTTACAGGGGCCTTAAGGCAGCCATAATTGCCTGTGGCGCCAATCACTTATTTCTGGTCTGACTTTCTTACGGCCTCAAGTGCTCGACTTCTTCGTCTGCTTTGTTAATCGTTTAAAGAGTACCTGTTTTCTTCTGAATCAATCGACACTATTCCCAGGCTCTAAACAGCAACTTTAATTATAATTCTAAACTCTGACACAACGAGAAGACATGCAGGCGATCCTTGAGACCGTCAGTAATTTGCTTCCGTATCATCTCCTCTCATATGGAGCTCTTCTGGGGACAGAACTCTTTCAGGTGAGAGCGCAGAACTCCCCTCGAGCCCCTCCAGATCATGAATTTTAATTGACAAGTCTTCCTCTCAGAGCTTTGTCAACACTAAAGTCTGCTACCAAGCCCTTCCTATGAAAGAGTTCCTCGCTCTCCAGAAACGCATCTTCCCAGCCTACTTTCGCTGTCAAGTGGGACTGGTTGTATTGACTGCGGTCACTCGGCCGCCTTATAGCATCCTCTCTTTCTCGCGAAATATATGGGACTCTGTTCCTTTAATCGTGGTGGGTGTCACCGGGGCCCTGAATTGGTTCGTTTTTGGGCCCCGGACCACGAAGACTGCTTTTATTAGGAGGGCGCTTCACGGTAGGCTTCGAGTTCTTATCCATATCTCACTCGATGGTGGCTGACTGCAAATAGAAAGTGCCATGAATGAAGATAACTCTAACACGACGGATCCAGCGAAGCTCCAACAGGCAAACAAAGCATTTTCCCGCAATCATGCTATGTCAATCCACCTGAATGCGATTTCCCTTGTTGCAACCGTTTGGTATGGGTTTGCATTGTCGTCGAGCCTTCTGAAAGGGTTGTAACCCAATCGCTTCCGTAACTGCTGATCTGTTCAGTCGGGCGGTCTTGGGTCATCGAGGTGTCACAAATCACTTAGCTACCCTTGTATATACTTTTTGACTGAAGCATGAATGCAACAATCGCAACTCTTACTATATCTGACACTATTACAGTTTGAAAGTCAGCGGAGAAGGATAACCCAACCTTCTGTGACAATCCATTGTAAAACTAAGTATTGAATCTATCTTTGCCTCAAATAAACAAATATCAGAGAATCACTCTTGCAGTCGCAGTTCTAGCATAGTCCCCGATTCGGGCCCGCCGTCTGGCGTTTTCCAAACCTTCTCCAACACCAACTTGGGACTAACCATCTGGAACAAGTGGTCCCACTGCTCCAAAGTCCTCTCCTTTCCATTCAAAGCAACAAGCATGTAGAGATCCAGCAAGTTATAGAACCGAGAACTCTCCGGGCCCAAGAAGCTGGGAACAATCGCATCGTCAATAAGAATCCGCGACTTTCCCGGCTCCATCGCATCCACGATGTTCGACAGGATTTTCGCACAGCGACTAGGACTAGTTAGCTACACCCCTTCTTTCATGAAATTGCATCAACTAACCTGTCCGGATGATCATGCAGAATAAACCGCAAAAGATACACATCCGCCCCCTTGACCGGCTGCTCATTGAAGAAATCATGCGGCATGAACTCGATGCGATCTTTGACTGCTTTGGGAACACCTTCTGCCTGACCAGCCTCTAGCATGGACGCATCGTCTTGCACGACGAAGTTCAGACCAGGGACCTTCTCTGCAATGCGTACGCTGACATGGCCGCGGCCACCGCCAACGTCCACCACCTTTGCGCCCTGCGGAAGAGACTCGAACGGGAACATGTCCTCCGTGAGGGTCTTCATGATCTCGCTGCCTGCCATCCCAAGGGCGAAGCGCTGGCCGCGAGCAATATCCTCGGTGTAGAAGTAGTCGAAAAGGCCCTTGTTTGCTACGAGGATTAGCAACGAATTCGTATGACGTTGGGGGATACTCACTTTTGAAAGCAAGGCTAAAGGCCGTATCTTCTGGATCATCACTTCCCTTCCAATTAGTTTTCTTAAGAGAATCGGCAAAATGTGCTGCCATGCGCAGTCCATCGTCACACCTAAGCGGTGTCAGTTCAATCGTTCAATTTTACGGACCATGCTACTCACGCATGACTGATGAGCGCTTGCACAGGAGGCGCAAGGAACTGCAACGACACTCCGTTATGAACGAACTGCTCCGGCGCAATCTCATCGAAGATCAATCTCTGCGTGCAAACACGCATAATCCGCTCTGAGGGTTTGTCAGCTCCCATTTCACACTAGACTGCGGGCGTCGCATACTCAGAATTTCCTTCGAAGCACCCGTCGCCTCTACAATCTGATCGAGAGACGTTGGCTCAGGACCAGGGGCAATGATGCCGTAAATCCCCATGTCGAGGATCGCACCGACGCACGCGGCATCGAGGAACGCCATATTCTGGAACATGAGCCATTGAACCGGGCCCTGGACCAGTGCCATGAGCCGTTCGCAGAGGCGCAGGATCTTTAGCCGGGCCAGCTGCGCGCCTTCATCTTGGATGATCTCTGGAAAGGGGTTGTCTAGGTTGGGTCGTTCGGCGCCGATTGTGTCCAGTCTTCCGATGAAGGTTTGCACCGTGCTGGAGATGTTGACGGCGAGCTCGTACAGGTCGTTTGTACGGTTGGACTTGGGCTCTTGTTGTGTGGACATGGCGTTGGGTTCACGTCGTACGATGAGATATCTTTGTTACAATTCTGATGATATCTTTGGCTACCGGATTTCTATTTGAAGAAGTACGAACCTAAGTTAACTTTCTTATATGCTTACAGAGGTATATTGGCTATCCAAAGATTACCTGCAGGTATAGTCAGAGCAGTCATCTTAACTCCTGCTTATTGGGACAATCTCTTCATTGTCAGCTCCGTTGCGATTACACCTGCGGCTGACATGGATTGCTTAGTATAAATCATGCACTCGCATACAAGATGGCGTCCGTATAGTCCGTATACGCCGCGCTGACACACTGGACCAGCTACAGTCAGCATTGGTTGTAACTAACGTATTTCCCGGGCGAGCGGGACACCCGACCGAGCGGGACACCTCTGTATTCCATATAGAATAGCACTCTTCAAGGCTTTGATATCTCAACCACGTCCATATATGCTACAATATAAGCAAGATATTTAGACTATATACAGATTAGAGTATATGAATACTTTTTTGCATGGCCCTAAAATTCCATCCTTCTCTCTTAATGTCTAAAAAGCTAATTTCACCAAAAATACTAATGTAATTTATGTTACCTGAGTATTCACATATACTAGAAGGCTGTGGCTTATAAATATAACTCTGTATGATTATACTAACACCTCCTATCAAATCTCAGACCCTGTAGATGCTTGGTTGTTGAGATATGGAAGCCTTGATATGTGCCATTTTATGTGGGATATAGAGGTGTCCCGCTCGGTCGGGTGTCCCGCTCGCCCAGGAAATACGTTAATTCGTACTCTGCTGACACAGTGAACAATAAATTTATTGACGAATGACATATTTACGATTCTGATATGCACACACCACACCTGAACAACAACAGTAACAATCACCCGTGGAGTCCACCTCAACCCATCAAAATCTCGGCGTAAACTGCAGCTCCCTACCCAAACCAGTCAGCTACACCACCCCCAAACCATCCATGTAAAGACAATAACTCACCTGCGAAACTGCATCGCACCCGCCGTCAACATCCCACCAACAATCAACTTCGGAATCCCCGGCGGGAAAATCGCCCTTTCCTTCGGCTCCAGTCCCCGAAGAAGATACACAGCCGTCCATAAATGCCCATACACCTTGACATCAGCCCTCCTTCTCTCCTCCTGCTTCTTCTCCAGAGCGCGAATAGTCTCGATAGGCACCTTGCGGCCTAGCTGGTTGACGAGGTCCTCTTCGAGATCGTACTGCCTGTCAGTTAGATCGTGCAGTTCTGCGAACGCCCCTGCTATCTCCGTAGAGAGGGGCTGGTTCCCCTCTAGCTCCGCTGGGGAAGTGGCTAGCTGCGCCTCCAGCACGGTGAGTTTCTGGTACAGGGCATCGTGTGCGTCTTTCTGTGTCAGGAAGCGGGGATCGTGTTCTGCGAAGACGGGGAACCAGATCTCGTCGATGGAGGTGAGCTGGTCGCGAAGGACGTGAAGGGTGTACTTTGCGTAGGTGGTGAAGGCGTCGATGTTTGCTGGTTGGACTGTGGTTGCGTGCTCTGCGCAGGCCTGGAGATTGCGGCGGATGACGTTGTGGATGGCGAAGAGGGCGAGGCTGGAGGAGACTATCTTTCACTCAGTAGCTTGTTTTGTTAGAAGGGTAGGATGGAGGCGAGAGTACCGTGGGGATCTTTGAGATCGAGGCCCTCTGCTGAGAGACGGTCTTTGTGCATGTGTAGAGCTTCGGTGGCCATAATTGCTAGACTTGGGACTTGGTTACGGTCAAGAGATGATGCCCTGAAGTGCTTGCTGTTGGTCAGTTCGTCAGCTCGTCAGTTTCGAGGTCATATATAGGAATATATGGCATGCTACGCTTCGCTCCGCGATGACTTAGGCAGTCGTTGAGATGACATCAGCTCGGATTTTTGCTGACTTGGGATGCATACGCTACACTCATCAACTGAGTACGATCAGCCAGGCGAGTCTTAGGTCGGGACTTGTACGCGAGAATGTCTTTCTGAAAAAATTGTGCATACAAGAGACAAGAGGACCGCCATCCCCCCATCATCTATCCACTAGCCTTTACACACAGAAGTCAAAGACGCCCAAAGCGAAAAATGACACTCTACTACCTCGCCGCAGTCCCCCTTACCCTAATCCTCTACCTAGCCTGGTACCTCCACGTCCCGTGGGACCTGCCCTCACTCCCCGAATCCCCTTCTATGTCTCCATCCTCGGTCTCTGGAGCTCAATGGGCCAAGACGAGATCTACGAGCGCTGGCTGCGCAAACCCCTCGAAGCCCACGGCGCCGTCCTAATCTGGTTCGCCGGCCGATGGAGCATCCTCGTCACGCGCCCGGACCTGCTAACAGACATGTTCCGCAACGAGGACCTATACGCAAAAGCAGGCAGCCAGAAGAAGATCCCCTGGTCGGTGATCGCGACGCTGGTCGGCGACAACATCATCAACTCGCACGGGGATACCTGGAAGCTGTACACGGGGATCATGAAGCCCGGGCTGCAGAAGAAGAACTTTGACACCGCGCCGCTGCTGATCAAGTCGCGCCGGTTCGTGGATGAGATTCTCGCGGAGCAGAGCGCCGCCGGTCGTGGCAGGGGTATCCTGGTGAACACATATGTCCAGCAGTGGGCGGTGGATGTCATGGGGATGAGCTTTTTGGATCTGGACCTGCGGAGCCTGGAGAAGCCGCATGGCGCGGTGCGCCTCGAGGCCATCCAGTCTGTGATCAAGATGATGTTGTTCCGGCCGCTGTTCTTTAATTTCCCTGATCTGGACCAGTTCGCGTGGCTGATCAAGTCGCGGCAGCGCGCGTATGAGATCATGCACGAGTTCGGAGATACACTCATGGCGACGGTGCTGGGGCGCATCGACAGCGACCGCGAGAAGGGCATCAAGCCCGCTGAGGAGATGGTCGTGCATATGCTTGTTGACGCCTACCGCGACGGCAGACTCACGGAGAAGCAGTTCAAGGATAATCTCAAGATTGTGTTTCTGACGGCGCACGAGAACGCGCAGCAGCTGGTTAACTCGATGTTTTGGGAGATTGGGAAGAATACCGTATGCCTTTTTTTTCCCCTTTCTTCCTTTCTTAGACATCTCCCTTTGCTCCAACGGCATCTAACACGATTTGATTGATTGAAGGAAGTTCAAACCCGCCTCCGTGCCGAAATCCTCTCCACAAACACTACAACCCCAACCTCCGAAGTCGTCAACCCCCTCCCCTATCTCACAGCCGTCGTCTACGAGCTCCTGCGCCTCTACCCTCCCGTCTCGCAGCTCATCAATCGCGTCACGGTCCGCCCGGCGATGCTCGGTAACGAGATCCCCATTCCTGCAGGGACCTTTGTCGGCTGGAATGCGTACGGGGTGCACGTCAACCCGGCGATCTGGGGTGCTGACGCGAACGAGTTCAAGCCGGAGCGATGGGGCAGCACGGTGGGTGAGATGCATGCGCGGTTTCGCCGGGAGACGGTGCGCGGCACGTATATACCCTTCAATGCGCATTCGAGGAAGTGTCTCGGGCAGGGGTTTGTGTTGCTGCAGATGAAGATCCTGTTGTTCGAGGTATTGAGACGGATCGAGTGGGCGGTGGATCCGGAGTATCGGTTGAAGATGACGCCGGTAAGTCTCCTGAACCCCAAGGAGGATGCAGAGTACTGATGCATGACAGGGCGGGATTCTGGCGCCTTTGGGATGCCGAGTGATTCTGAGCGAGGTCAAAGAAAGCGAGACCGAGCAAAGGAGCTGATAGACATAAGGATTCAGGTGAAAGCATAGATTAGGTATAAAGTTAAGATGATATACAAACATCCACAATGCTGCTAGCTTGAAACCATGGTATCGTAACGCATCAATTTTACCCTCCCATCACACGCTCTGTCGAGGTCCCGTCAACGCAAACAACCCCAACGGCTTGGTGCTGAAAGCCCCATTGTAATTGACTCCTCCAACTTCCGTCTTGTAATTCTTATCCGCCAACACAAAGTCCACGTCCTTCATGATCGTGACGAGGATCATAAACGACCATTCCCAGGCGTAGCGCTTTCCGAAGCACTCACGCTTGCCGTTGCCAAAACCCTTCTTCACACCGGACGGAAGCCGATCGTACTTCTCGCCGACCATTCGCTCGGGCTTGAACGCGTCGGGGTCCTCGAAGACCTCCGGGTCGCGGTTGACGGCCGCCAGCAGCGCAATGAGCGGCTGCTTGTTGGGGACCTGGTACTCGCCGCCTGCGAGGAGGACGGGCTGCTCCAGGTCTGGAATGGGCTCGATGTTGAAGCCCGGCGCGGTAGCCGACAGGCGCAGCGATTCACGCAGGATGGCTTCGCAGTAAGGCAGGCGGGCGAGATGTTCGTGCTCGAGCTGGGCGGTTGGGCCGCCGACCACGGCGTCAATCTCCTCGCGGGCGCGGGCAATTTCGTGCGGGTTCTTCATGAGATAGTACAACGCGAAGGAGACAAGGTTGGCGGCCGTAGCGCTTCCAATGAAGATGTTGATGATCTCATCCAGGTGCTGGCTCTCCGTGAGGGCTTTGCCGGTCTGGGGGTCCGTGCCGTGCATAATGGCATAAAGCATATCCTTCTTCTCGGTCGGAGCAGCGCGACGCTTAGCGACGATCTCGGCGGCGTAGTCGCGCATCGTCTTGATGTAGCTGTCAAAGCGACGCTGGTAGATGAGCCATTTCAACAGCTTGGGGCGGGTGGGGCGACGCAGCGCTTCAAACGTGGCGGCCTCCATGGCCTTGAGGACCGAAAGCTCTGGTCCCTCAAGGCAGTGGATCCGCTGGTCAAAGAAGCAGAGCATGTTGGCGGCATGGTTCAGACGGTCCATATCATCGCTGACATTGATCCGCTGCCGAGGGCCCGCGGTCCATTTTTTGATCAGATCTGTGGCGGTCTCGCGCATTCCAGCAAAAGCGTCGATCACGGCCTCTGGAGTCACCAAAGGGGCCATGATACGGTGCGCAATACCCCAGCTTTCTTCATCGTGGTACGCGGTAAACAGACTGTCGTGGACTGCCTCGCGGATTTCGACAATGGGGCCGGTCACACATTTGCGAAACCGTTTCTCATCGCAAACCTCCTCGAGCAGCTTTGCGCTGGTGATGAAGACAATGTCGTGCCCAAGGATAGTGATTTTGAAAATCGGGTCTGTTGAAGGATCGTGTTAGTAGTGTTCGTGATTGCTGCCAACTGGCAACCGGTAAATGCACGGGAAACACACAAAAATCCTTATTATTCACCGCTAGTTTATTGAAAGAACCCCAAGTATTGCCAGCGCTCATAGAAAACAGGTTTCCCAGGATCGGAACACCTGACGGGCGAGGAATTGGAGTCGGCATATTGGTCGTCTGGTGTATCAACCAAACAAGAACAATTCCCAAACAAAACTGAAAGGGAAACTGACCACGCAGGAAGGGGATACTGCGAATTTAATCCACTGCACTTCCCCCAGAGGTCTATGACGGCAGATGCCTTTGCACCTGCTAGTAGCTTGTTTGTGTAACGCATCCCCAGCTGAGCTCACCCTACATAGCTGCATCACAGTCCTGGCGATGATTGGTCGTTCAGCTGTGAATGCAGATCTGGGTCGCGATGATCCTTCGATAGTGGGAGGGCTCTGCCGCTTTCGGTGCCCTTGGAGACTCCACCACGTCCTCTCCGAGACTCCTACTGGATGGACTCGTCTGCTGCACGGATCATGGTTCGTCACGGGCGCTGACTCCTCGCTTTTGGAGCAGCCATTCAGAATGGACCGGATTGTCATAGCGGACTCGTGTGTTTGACAAAGTGACACCGAAGAGACAGCGAGGAGAAGCAAGGGGAAAGTCGGGTGGCTGGGCTGTCAGCTTAGAGGTATGACATTATCAAACATGGAGATCTTTTAAGATCATATCAGACAACAGAAGATTGACACTTGGACTTGACAACGATAACTTGATGGATAACCACGGTTCTGTTGGAGATAAGGTCGATGGAGACGATGAACGGACTTGTCGCTACGGGGTCCACTAGTCTACCAAGTAATGCCTGAGCCCTCCAGGTGCATATTAAGCGTGTCCACCGCGGCAGACATCTCCATTCTCCTGTTGCCTGCAAGAAAAAAGAAAACTGGGTGAGAAAGAATCTATTTGGTATCATCAAGAGAAAGAAAATGGCTCCAATACAATCAGTGGTCATTCTCGTACACCAAAACTCCGTCTTGCTATGTTGCCCCAGCTCCGTAAGCGCTTCAGTATCCAAAGAAACCAAAATGGTCAAAATGAGTTGGCAGCGGTAAAGTCAAACATTCGCTGACTCTCCAACAACACAAACGATTCGTATCGCAGACCTTGTTCAGCCTGGTGCGGGTGGGAGCCCTTCGTGATGGTGCTGTTCCACACGCTCTCGTACCCGTCGAAGAGCTGACGCCAATAACACGCCTCCGCGGCTTTGGTCAGGTATCGTTCGCGAAATGTCTTGACGCTATTGTTGGCAATGTCGTGCGCGACGCTGGTGTCCCGCATGAGCGGCTCCAGTTTGGCGGCCAAATCGCTAAAATCGCGCTCGACTTCCACGTAGTTTTGGTTCGGTCCATCGGCCGTAAGGAGATAATGATGATGCTGTATGTATTGTAGTTTATGTGCCACGATGACGGACTTGCAGGCCTGGCGGTATTTCAGGGAAGCCGAGTATGAGCGACCTGGGCGCAGTAGTCAGTTATCATCCAAACTCACAAAAAGAAAAAAAAAAAAAAAAAAAAAGGATCCACAAGACTTACCCTCCACATGTGCGATAAACATATACTGGCAATGATCCTCCATACTCAAGACATTGGTCCGATCCGGCCAGCTGACTTGCTTGACATCGCCCCACGGCTGGTCGCGCGCGGCTTCGATCAAGGCCCGTCGCAGCTTGGGTGCAAAACTCGGCTTACCACGCCAAACCAGCTGCTGCTTCTTCGCTTCCCACGGAATGTCGGCACGCTGGATTCTCGCGACCACTTGGTCAAACGGTCCGATCGCATTATCTGGATTGTCCCAGGCCCAGTAGCCAAAGTCAGGCATCAGCCAAACCGCCTCCTCGTTCGCCGCACGAGCCAGAACCCAAACCGGGTGCTCAGCGCTAGTCACATCCTCCACCTTATCCTCCACCGAGAAGACGAATTCGATGTCGCGACGGGTACTCCGTTGGGAATCGGCGACCAGCGCACGATGGATAGCACTAAGCACGGCCAGGATCTTTCGTCGGTGGTCCTCGCCCTTTGATCGGGCCGCGACCACATACAGCTCCCCGCGGAGAATGGCCGCTCTTGCCATGCCGGGCTCCAGTCTAATCTGATCGAGATCCTCTGCAGCGAGAGCGCTGTGCGAGCGCCAGTAAGTCACCGCGCGAAAGACATCTTCGTACAGACCGGGAAAGGCAGCATCGCACTGCTGCCGACTGAGGCCCTCGTTGTTCCCATCCCGCTCGTACTCGAATACCCATTTCGCCGCTGATGGAGTCAGGTGTGTGCTCAGGCTGGGTTTGGAGCACGACAGACAGCTCGCGCATTGGAAGGTGGTCGAGGTCTCGCAGGCGCAGTGACCGGCGGGGATCAATTGCGTGAGGAGCGGATGTATATAATCTCTGTCTGTATTCATGCCGTACCACATGGCTACAAGGAAGCCCACGCTCAGAGCACCGATGACGTAAAACAGGCAGACGAGAACCCCCTGCCGCGGACGCAGGAGAGAACAACTCGGGAGCACCATCGCCGATGGGAGCAAGGACGAACTATTCAATTCAGAGGGCGGGTTTCATTGTAGGTTCGCGGGTCGCCAGTCGCAAGTCGCAATCGCAGCAGGCAGAAGAGGACAAAAAGCGAGGGGAAAGAGGGTCTCAAATGAGGAAAGAGGCAGCACCAGACTCGCTGGGAGTTTTCTGTCTGGGGCACCGCCTTTGGGGCTAACAAAAGGGGATTTTGGCCCCATGCTAATACCGTGGCTTAGAGTTAGTAGTGGAGGCCATCGCCATTATTTTGGCCCTATGGGTCTCATAACGCAGCCTCAATGAAGAGTTGGAGACCCTGACGCCTCGCTTTGGCCTCTTGGCCTCTTAGGGGTCTGAATTCGATGATGAAACAGCCACCGCAGGAACAATAATCCTTCCATGAGAGTACTGATGGACAAGCTTTCGTGGGTCGTCTGTTGCTGGTTATGGCTCTCAGTGGTTGAATGGACGACGGTCGACTCCATCCACCCAAAATGTTATTTGTTTCTCGACCATTCAGAGCATCGCACAGGGGCCTAAAGTGAACAAGGTGCGTACGTAAACGCTCGAGGTTAGTGTCCACTATCAAACGTTGTGGCGGTGGAGTTGTTGGACTTGTTCTCAGCGTTGGAGTCCATCTTGCTGGAAGAATAAGGCTCTTTCGCTATGAACACTGAAGAGGCTGTGTGCACACTACAATCAAACTGATCATATTAGCTCATAGAACAATGAACAATGAATGCCTACTGCAATAACTTCTCGTCATAGACTTCGTTGATACTAGTACTTGATCTCGTCTAAACTGAGACACGCAGAATAGCCAAGCTGCGGTGGAGTCAGTCCGTTGATCCTGTGGTGATCGCAATTTGCGGGTGACAGTAAGGCTGGTGCCTGTCAGGCTACAAAAATTTTGAACTACATCAAGCGTCTTAGAACTCTTATCAAAGCATTAGCCTATATTTTATCTGAGATAGTTCTCTACTATTTTGTGTTAATTTTTCACAGCAATACTTCTCTAGGTTGGAGATAAAACAGGCAGAGGAAAAGTGCCCGAGAGGCTGAAACTGAAACAATAATGCGGCGGTTCGTTCCGTCTATGGAAGACTAAAAGGAGCCTATTCAGAACTACTCTATACTCTCTAGGATCCTGATTCCTAACAGGTGTGATACAAGGAATACGGAGATGTACGTATCTCAGGCCTAGACTTCGGAGTCTAGGGAAGGAGTGACGCTGGTCGATATAAAAGGTCTCGATGAGATGGCTGCGGATATGACTCTATTGGTGATGGTAATTCTACAGAGAGAAGGTACCAAGATAGAGAGAAGCTGGCATTGTACAACCAGCACTACAAAAAAGGGGAAATAGGAATGTCGCGTCAATCTCCATCAAGCAATCTAATGACCAATGGAACCAAAAGGAAACCTTGGGTATATCCATCAAAACGCCCAGTTGCAATGCACCCAAACACATCCCACCATCTATCAATCATGGTCAAGCATGATCACGAACGGGCTCTGGACCCTCGACTACGAGCTCCCGCCGGCCCAGGGGTCTCATTGGCCTCAGTGTCGGGACTGAAATCAAGTCGTCGTCTTCCTCGCCCGCCGCGAACACGACTCATTGCGTGTCGCAGTAGCCCATCTGCCTCGTCGTCTAGCTCCATCTCCACCTTTTGTTCCAATGTCTCCGTTGCAGGGCCCGTGGGCGGGACACTAGCTTGAGGGACTTCATCCGTCCATTCTTCCTCCGTCATGCCACGCCGCCTTGATGCCTTTCCCTTGCCCTTGTCGCGCGAACGAGTCGAACTGCGGCTGGTGGCCACTCGCTCAAGATCCTCTGGTGGTGCAGACTCCCCCTCATGACCCTCCAGAGCCCAGATCTCCAAAGCGCGGGAGAGAAGAGTGCCAGCGATACCCGCGCCGCCAGCCGCATCCCCGCCTCCGCTCGCCCCAAGGACGCGAACGGCTTCATGAAGAGCTGTTACCGCCTCCACGGTCCGTCCAAGTTCCAGCAGAACAAGGCCACGCGAAGTATGAAGCGATCCGATCAAGCCACGGTCTTCGTAGCCCCCAACACCCGACGACGCGACACCCGACGCGCTGCTGCCTGTGCCGCCTAAAAATGGACCGTAGGCGACGCCCGCACCACCCGCACCGATTCGAAGGCATTCGTCGAACTCAGCAAGCGCCTCGGCTAGTCTTCCGATACGGCGCAGTGCGTGACCTAAATTCGCTCGTGTAGCCACCCAGGCACCCGGCTCACAATGAAGTGCAGTCGCTAAATCCAGCGATTGATTGAATAGCTCTACAGCACCCTCGAGATGGTTCTGGTGGTAGAGTACCACACCGAGTTCATTGAGAACCAGAGGGTCACCGCCATGGGCGTCGCCGGAAGGATTAGCGGGAATGGACGGCACCGTGCCGGCCGCCGCACCCGTGGACATTGCGTAGGCTGCAGACAGGTACTCATGGGCCAAGGACATGTTATTCAGAGCCAAATGCTGCATACCAAGGAACAGCTGCGGTAAATGGCTGCCTTGAAACAGCCGAGCGGCCGTGCTGTAAGCGGCTATAGCTTGATCATGCTCTCCCTCAGCCGCAAAGGTATGCGCAAACCCTATCCATGCGGGTGCCGAGTGTGGATCCAGCAAGGATGCTTTCGAGAAGAACCGCCGTGCTTCGGCAATCTTTGACACAGACAGGTAGTAGACGCCAATCGCAAGGTACGTGTACGACTCTTCTGGCGCATGGTCAGCCAGCGTGTGAGCGAGTAGGAAGAGCGCGTTTGTCGCGCCTGTTTCGTATAGACAAGCCAGGTGCAAAGGGTAAACCGCCGGAGGGTGCCCGAGGTGACTTAGAGCCGGTACATTGGGTGTGGTCGTCGCCTCCGTGGCCAAGATAGAGGATGTGAGCTCAAGCGCCTCTCCAAACCGGCACTGAGTGTAAAGAGCTTCAGCCCGAGAAAGAAGAATATCAGGGTTCTCCGCAAGGTTGTAGTGAGTGGACAGGGTCTCGGTCGCGTCGGACAGGATGGCGGGCGCCGAGTACTTTGACAGTCGGGTTGTGTAGAGCATCTTGGTGAAATGAGCCGCCTCCTGTGCGACAGACGGATCGGGCGAGGATACCGCATCAAAGTCTAGAGATTCCAAAAACTCCAGCTCTTCAGCCGGCGACATGAGCGAATTCTTCATCAACTGGTCAAAAGCCTCAAAGCACTGTACGTCAATGCGCACCGCGTCCTTGTAACAGTCACGGGCGCGATCAAAGGCATTCTGCTTCGCAAAACAGAGGCCCCGCAGGTAGCACATCGCCGCCTCAAACCGAATGTTATTCGCATCCTCCCTTTCCCTCTCCTCATTCCGGTCAATCCGCGATGCCGTAGTCTTGCCGTTGCGCAGAGTGAGGTGCTGCAGCTTGCGACGGCTGTTGCTGCTGCGGATCAGATGGGTTGGGTTATGGTCGCCAAGCACTGACAAAGCCTGTTCAAACTGATTCTGTTTTATATAGCAATGGCCGGCGAGATAGCGGCAAGCGGTACTTCGAGAGATGAGATCTTTTCGAGAGAGGAGGGCCAAAGCGCGCGGGTAGTTGTTGTTAGAGAAATGGACTTGGGCGAGCCAGAACGCATCGGAGTCGCTGTCTTGAGAGCACGTTAGTCTATTACTCTTCCAACAAAAGTTCAAAGTCGACTCACTCGTCAATGCGAGCACTTTGTCGCCGATGTAAATCGCAGCATCGTGTTGGCCCCGATTCAGCGCATCCTGGCGCCAGGAGCGCAGGAACTTTTCCATGACCAAGCACCAATCGTAGACCGAGAGTCAATCGAGACACGAGAGTACTGACAACCACCGCGAGGGCAAAAGCACATTGAGGGTGAGAAAGAGCGTTCAGCTATACTGGTGGAGACAGTGGACAGTGGCCAACGCTGTGGAATCGGGCAACTTGATTTCGAGACACAGACAAGTCTTTGCAATTCGTGATAGGTATCCACTTGCGCTCCAACTACCTTCTAATGGGAGAAAGCAGGAACAATGTGCAGTGCTGGCTGCTGAAGCAATCTTTGTGCATTACCATCATCGATGATCTTCTGTTGATCCAAACGCGTCAAAATGGCCCGTGCATCCTGCCTGATCAGGTAGTCTGTATCCTCCACAGTTCCTACAGTCTCTAAAAGTTTAGTATGTAATGCGCAGAACCACTCTAGCTATGAATCAATATAACAACAGAGAATCTCTTGACTTATGAGTAAAGTATGACCGCACTGTCTCCATGTCTGCTTTCTCTGGAGCTCTAGGCAGACAATGTGCGTGCTCAACATTAGTTGTGCTCACTGATGATTAATCAAATCATGTGATTTGTGCATGTCTTATCGCCGCCTTGTCGCCTCCAGCATTTACATCTCTCATCTAACTTCAATATCTCAGTTATTCAAGTCAGCATCTGCCGATCAGCCACCTCGCCTGCTATCTAAGGCTCTTTGACAGTCTCACCCTCAAATATCTCCTGTAACACAGACGCGACAATCAAACTAGGACCACAGCGCAACCATGTCCGAACGAAAAGTGCTCAGGTAAGTCTAACCAACAAGGCAAAAATGAACCCAGAAACCAGCTAACACCGCATAGCAAATACTACCCTCCCGACTTCGACCCGTCGGCGATCGGCAGGACGCCAAAGCATCTGAGACAGACCGGCCCCAAGGTCATAACCGTCCGTCTCATGGCGCCCTTCTCCATGAAATGCACTCACTGCGGTACGTCCTCCTCGTTCTCTCCCATACATACAGCCAGCCAATACTAACCCCCCACAGGCGAATACATCTACAAAGGCCGCAAATTCAACGCGCGCAAAGAAACCACCGACCAGAAATACCTCAACATCCCCATCTACCGCTTCTACATCCGCTGCACGCGCTGCAGCGGCGAGATCACCTTCCTGACGGACCCCAAGGCAATGGACTACAAGGCGGAAAAGGGCGCAAAGCGCAACTTCGAGCCATGGCGGGACACCAAGAACGATATCGAGGAGACGGAGCAAGAGACGCTGGACCGGCTGGAACGCGAGGAGAACGAAGAACAGGAGCGGTTGGAGCGGGATAAGATGGCTGAGTTGGAGGAGAAGATGCTCGATTCGAAGCGTGAGATGGCGATCGCGGATGCACTGGATGAGATCCGGACGCGGAATGCGCGAATCGAGCGAAATGAGGCGCTCAGTGGTGATGTGGCGTTGACTCATGTTCGAAATGAGGTGGATGAGGCGCGGCTGAGGGAGGAGAAGGAGATTGAGGAGGCCGCCCGGAGGGCATTCACGACGGAGACGGGCGAGAAGGTGAAGAGACTTGTGGAAGATGATACAATCAGTGGGACGACTCCGAGCTCGAGTCAGACAGACACACCCCCTCCGCCCTCATTCGCTAGGGTTAAGAAGCCCAAGAAGCCTCTGATCAATGGTTTAGGCATCAAGAAGAAGCCCAAGCCGGCTCTGGTATAACTGTATATATGCGCCGATTTCTCTGATGAGCAGTTGGAGGTTGCAGGTCTTTGGCGTTTCGGTTTACGGCTATGCATATCATGGGATCCTCAGCACAGTACCTTGTACATACCAATCAATTATGATACATCTATTTCAATTGAACCTATTTCAAAACACATTAAGAAAAAGTGGCTGTCAATGCAGTGCCCTGTAAAGTTCAAAGCCACTGAAAAGAACTGCAGACAAACGTGCGAAAACGGAATGTGATATCATACGCATATCCTCGAGGAATCAAATGTGTCCCAGGGCGCCACGCTAGAATAAAAGCTAGTAAAAAAATCCAAGTCCAAGTATGCCCTTCAACTTTTCCCAAATTCATGACCTCCGCGAACCAGATGCCACCCCCCTGAACCGATTCAAACAAACGCCAGGTAAAGAGTACACAATAGAACATGGACGAAGCAGAAACCAGTCGACGTACAACTAGAGGTACGGCATCCAGAGTGCGTCACAAGATGCCAGGTGCTGAGGGTTCACAGCCTTGGAGATCAGGTCAATGGTGGTTTGGTTGGCGGGCAAATTGCCCTCTGGCGGGCTGGCAAGGCTAACAGCCCGGTTGACAATAATATCACTATTGTTGTACACCAGGTCACGAAGCTGTTGCACTGGAAGTACACCACGATGTTGCGCTGTGGCCCAGAACATCATCTCGTCACGAACAAAGATGCTCAGTTGCTGCTCGAGCTCATGACGCGGTTCGGTGAGGCAGCGGGCGATCGCCATCAAAGCGCAAGCAAAGAGACCTTCAGTTGCGATCGGTCCCATCAGTGTCTGGATATTAGGCGTGAAACGGAATGGCACCTGTTCTGGGTTGTAGAAGAAAGCCTTTGCGGGGTTAATCGCGGGTATCAGCTCCGTGCCCCAGATGTCACCTGTAGATCTGGAGATCATGATCTTATTGGGATACCGGTTGCCCATATGCATCACATAGGTCATAAAGGCGATAGCCGCGTATTGATAGGAGAATTGGCGACGGAAGAGCCAGAAATTTGCAAAGTTGGGATACGTCTTCTGGAAGTAGTCTTTCACAATCGTGGTAGGCACCCACTTCTCCTGAATGGCCGTGAGAATCTCCGTCCGAAGAACCTGCTGCTGGTCAGGGGTGCGCTGGGATATGTTAGCTAGTTCCACTATTAAACAGTCTGTTTGACGTACATTTTGCTTCGTCTCTGCCAAGGACCGCATTTTCTCCATAGTAAACATAACAGGTTCATCCTTGCTGGTTCCCACTCGGCGGCAATAATCCTCGAATATGCCCTGCATAGAAATGTATGAAGGATCATCGCGTACCAAGCGAATGTGCGGCGCGAGAGGAACCATGAGCGGGAGATGGAAATAAAGGTTACGGCGCCGGCTTTCCTTGCGCTTGCCAAGAAGCCCGTTGAAGATACGGAAGAGCTGCAGGATGCGCTCTTCTCGTCTACAGTGCCGAGCTGCGGGATGTTGAACAGCGAACGGATGCACGCTACCGTCATGGCCACGAATCTTGAGCCGACGATGACAAACACCAATACCCCGGACAAGATCAATATCTGGCAGGAACCTGTCGATGCGCACGAAATCCTGGTTCTTGTCCTTGTGCAGCAGATATTGTCCCGGCACCTCGACTTCATCAAATTTCAAGAAGCGGAACTCGCTCAGATGCGGGGAATACGTTTCCAAGAATTGGTACTGGCCGCGCCGATCCAGCTTCTCCTCGAACTTGTCACGCCAGCGACGTAGCTTATGGATGTATTCGTACATGGTTGGCTTCTTGACGACGAAATCGGCTTCGAAAGACTTGCGAATATGTGCGGGGAGAATCGTCTCTGCGAAGCGTGTGATATTGGCCTCGGTGGCGGCAGGTAGTTTAAAGTCCTGGGCGTATGAACCGGGCATGCGACCAACGTAGGCCAATCCATCGTTAAGCAGGGCGACAATGAGACGATAGGCGTCCTCGTCAGGGGGGCACTTGAAGTTCTTGTGAATCTGATCGACCATCGTCTCCATCGACAGTGCAAGTAACGGGAAGGCAGTCTTCAGGCCGGACATGATTTCGTCCGAATACTCCCACGGTTTCTTAAGAGGCTCCTTTTCTGGCTCTGTGGCAGCAGTCTGGGCCTGCTGCGGCACGCCGTTCTGCCCAGGGACCTGCAAATGAGCTTGTGGTTGATTCTGAGGTTGCTGCATTTGTCCTTGCCCTGAACCTTGGGGTCGTCCAGGAGCTGCACCGGAGGGTTGAGCTTGTCCCTGGGGCTGAGCTTGGCCTTGAGCGGGTGATTGCTGGGCCTTGATCTGGCCCTGACCTGGACTCTGGCCTTGGGGCAAACCTTGTTGCTGGCCTTGGGCTTGACCTTGAGATGGTTGGCTAGCCTGACCCTGAGCAGGAATATTTGTATTAGCAGGTTGGCTACCCTGTGCAGGAGAACTTTCGGCCGTCGCTGGAGAAGGCTTGGTGTGGGGCGACGCCTGCTGCTGCCTAGCACGATTCAACTTCTCCTGCTTCTGGTCATGCTGTTTCTTGATACTGAGCATGTCCTCCCGGTTCGTACGGAGCAGGAAGAAGAGCGCCTGAGGGTACAACTTCGCTATCTTCACCAAGACTGCCTTGCAAAGGCGTGCTTCGCGGTGTGACAGGCTCGTAAGAAGCTGCGGTATGAAGGTAATCCAGTACCAAACAGGGGTGTCTCCCTTGAAGTTCTCGAAGGCCCCAGCAATTCGTCCCTCTTCGTTGTCCAAGCTGAGAAGCCAGAGAATACGGCTGAGAAGTTTTCTAGACTTCGCATTCTTGTAAAGGCCGGCAGCCTCAAGGTAACAGCTAACCGCATTGCTGGCCAGTTCATAGTCCGATGGGTCGGCCTTGAAGCGTTGATCACTATACTGACCCCACTCAGACCAGGCCTTTGCGAGTCTCAAGTCGTAGTACAAAGCGACCCCAAATGCCTCATTGGCCTCATTGACATGGTTGAGCTTGGCCAGGAACATGCCTTTGAGGGTGTAGAACTCTGCCTTCTGCTGTGCGCCGAAGTAGTTGAGATTTGTGTTGTTGATTACATCCAATCCACTGTTGAGTTCCTTGGGATTTTGATAATGACATTTTGCCTGTTCCCGCAGCTTCAGGAAAGCCTCTTGGATTTCAATGTTCGGTAGGGTGTAAATCCGGCTGAGCTGGTTGATACAGACTTCAGGCATTTGGTGCTTTCGAGCAACATGGGCGAACCTGTTGATGATCCATGCTGTCTCGTGGTAGCCACGATAGGCGTAGGAATTGCTCGCCACGTTGTTCGTCTGTGGGGGCAGTAGACTTAGGTACGTCGCGTTGATGAGCTGGAAAATATGCTGGCGCCAGGTGACAAGATCCTGCCAGGCGTTGATATCGTCCCAGAGATTGGGAAGACGATCTCGCCATGTTCCAAGCAGCAGCTTCAACTCAGCGGACTTGGTATCCAGGTTCCTCTCATTAGTTTGGGACAAGCTTGCACAGATATGGCTGGCATCATGGAGCTCGACGAGAAGTTGGAAATGCTGCAATATCGGAATATGGGCATTTGTAATATTCTTCGGCAGCTGGAGCCATTTGCGAATGGATAACTGGATCGACTCATCACACACGCCGTTAAAGTCTTGCAAATTCTCTTTCTTGAGATGGAACTGCAAAAGCGACATGAAAGCTTGGAAGAAAGTCCGCCTGGGTGTGGGCGCATCGGAAACGGATTTGATGAGCGATTCGATCTGCTCCCGATTGCCTTCGCTTTGCCAATTCTCGATGTTCCTCCAGGCAGCCTCCAAGAGAAGGTCATTAAGATTCTCGTGCTTGGCAAAGTCGCTCAGAATCTCCCACTGCTGCAACTTCTGGGCGCAGATCAACCAGTGATCTTCCCACAGATAGTATTCGCCTTGCGAAAATGGCATTGCACCGGACCGTGCCTTGATCTGAGCATTTTCGTAAAGCTGCTGGGCCTTATCCCACATTCCCTGCTGTTCATATGAGAGGGCAGCGTTGGTTTCAACGAACTTGCATCGACGCCGCCAGGTACCATAGAAGAAGTCATCTTCTTGTAGACCCGCATATACTTCTACCAACGCATCCAGGTTACTCTCACGTACAGTCGGGGTATCAATGATTGGACTGATTGCGGTTTCCTCCAGATAGCTGGCAGCCGTGTACCATGCGTCATAAGTCCGACTGAGGTACTTCATCACATGAGGAGGGACTTTGAATCGGGGCTTGGACCTGACGGCACCTTCAAGCAGAGCTTGCACAACATTTGGCCTCTTGTCCAGCTGTCTTTGATGGTATTCGCGCGTGATGAGTGTCACCATGCCCTTCTCCAAGTCGATACGGTCCTCCCTGGACAAGGTAGACCAGAAGATCGGGAACAATGTGGTCCACAGGCTGTACGCGACGTTTGGGTCCGTATGCTGGAGTTGGCAGAGCGGTTCCATCAAATCCCGAGTTCTCACGTCGCCTATATCGGCTATGAATCGCTTGCGATCAGAGATGAAAGCCTCCAGCTGAATATCGACCATGACATCGGTCTTTCTTGCGTCTTTTTCAGCATTGCTCAAAAGGAAAGATAAAGGATAGACGGTGAAATCGTCAGGGTGAAGTCTAGCCGGTGCCGCCATGTCGACACATCCCAGTATGAGATGGGAGGCTTGAGCGAGCCAGAAAGAATCCGCGAGAGTGTCCCAATTCTGGCAGGTAAGGACATAGCTTAGCCGGGAGCTGGCTAGTCGGGTCAAACTCCGATCGAAGATGTTCATGAACCGATTACGCATTTCAACATCCTGCGCTCTAGTGCCGATTAAGAATGCATGCTCCAGCCTAACTGTGAGCTCGGTGCGCGTGATCTTAGAATCTTCGTAGATCCTGATCACCAGATCCAAGAACTTCTTCAGCATTTTCTGGTCCGATCGAGTCTCGAAAAGTAGCATCTTGTGTAAGACGGCAGTCTTCTCCTTCAGGGTCGGCCAAGACTCGGTGGAATGGAAAATCCAGGTTTCAACCATATTCAGTACTTTGGTGCAAAGGGCCTCATTCTGTGACCTTTCCACCAACTGTGCAAGTACACTCAGGAAAGGACGTCTTTGCTCACCGAGGTGAGACATGCGCACGGAGATCAACTCG